ACGAACTTGGCTAACAAACTGGAGATTCACCATTTATGATACATACTATTAACATTGTCTTTCGAACTATTACGATGATAAGTATAGTATTTCCGAAATTAGTATACATTAGGACACAATAGTTGCTAAGATAAGTATAATGATGACAACTATATTTATTGGCCTGCAGGTATAATAAGTTAATTGTATTAAGCTTACCAATAAAATCATGCTAATCATGATTTCTGTAATTAATAGATATAGATCTACTAACCATACATATACATATACACATGATCCACGCAAAGTTTATAATAATATATATATATAATCACACTTAATTGATACATAATATCTATAGGTGTAATGGATATACAATATATCTATTGTTTTGAAATATATAATCAATATCTAATATACAATATATATATATATACATACACATGATCCACACAACGTTTATATATAAATATAATATAAATATAAATATTAACGGTGTATATATATACATAATCACTATCAATACAATATATATATATATTTATACATATCCACAGGTAGTTGTCTACATCTCCAGGTACTACTAATCTATGGTATCAAAAACACATGTATATAATCACTAAGGCATTAAATATACAAAAAAACATCCCTATATATCTCCATAGTTCTCTACAGTTCCCTACATTCATAGAACTGGATGATGGGAAAATTTTAACCGGAAACCCCGATCAATTTGATGGTAAAAATCCATGGGTTTCCGGTTAAAATTTTCCCTTAAACCAATCCATTGATACATCTAGTGGCTCATCCCACTTAGTAAGTGGGTTATAATCCCAGTGATTTACATGGGATAAGTAGGGTTAATCCACTGAAATAACTGGGGTGAACTAACCCACAAAACGAGCCGTGGGTAGTTCGCCACCATTGATACATCTGGGCCCCCCAGTTATAAGTTGGTTTATAAACCCCAGTAACTATAGTTATAAATACCATAAACCATAGTTATTGGAGTTATAAACCAACTTAGCTGCCCTATATTTGATGGTAAAAACAATGGTTTCCTGTAGATTTTCCATGATTTTCCCTTAAACCAATCCATTGATACATCTGAACCAGGTACCTCTGCGCCGGTGAGCTGCTTCCCGCCGTCTTCCACGTCTCCGCGCGTGCTTTGGCTCGGCAGAGCTTGAGCATCTTCTGCGACCACTCGGATGTCATGGCGGCGCCTTCGCACCGGGACTGGCTGGTTGAAACCCCTGAGAAATGGGAAAAAAACCATAGGTACCCTCTGGTAAACTAACATAGCTATTGAAAATATGGTGATTTATAGTGGATTTTCCCATTCAAAATGGTGATTTTCCATAGTTATGTAAACGTTTACCAGAGGGTAAATGGAAGAAAATCAGGAAAATCCATGGGAAAATGATGGTTTAATGGTGCTCTAACTGAATAAATAGTTATTTTTATGGGTTTCTCTTTCCATAAACGGGCTGACTTCCTGATTTATAACTCATACTGTAACTAATTAGTTAGCCATAAGTGTGGCTTTTAAAAAACATGGGACTGTGGCAAATTTGTTGATGCTCAAATGGATGAAAACACACCATGGGACCATGGAGATTTCATGGTAGAGTTCATCAAAAAAACACCTCAGAATCTGATCTTTAGGATGAACAAAACCTGGAATTGACCATCCAAAAAATATGTGGATTTCAGTTTCAAACAAAACATGCATTTGATGGGATATCCTTCAACAATTGATGTTTGATGATGTTTGATGATTTGCTTCTGTCATAAAATGGTGCTAAATAGCCCATAAAAAATGGCCTCTTCATTAGGAAACGAGTGGAATCAATCACAGGATTTAGAGATTACCACTGGAGAGTTGTCCTGGATCATCCAGTGATATCTATTCCAGTGGATAATTACAATGTGAGGTCCCCAAGATATAAGTTGGTTTATAAGCCCTAGTTATTGGACTTATAAACCAACTTAGCTATCTTGGGGGCCTCACATTGTAGAGATAATTATATAATAGTTATCTAGATATAGAATAGATAACTGATGTAGTTTGATCATGTTCACTGGAATGTCCATGAGTTCATGACTGATTCTTGATCATCAAAACCTGGATTTTCCATATTTTCCTGGAAAAAAAAAGCCACAAACCAGATTTGGCTCTACAGAATGGGAACACCCAACCCCCCCAGTGCAATATGTGTTTTCCTGGGAAAAAAAAACACGTATTTCAAATTACTGCAGAAAACGCAAGAATTACTGTGATGATCTGCTAGAAATTGGGATTCAATCAAGAATTAATGAAACTTTCCCTCACAATGGGCACTTAAGGATAACTGAAGTGTACATTTCTTAGATTTGACCACAAGAAATTTTGATGTCATAAATGATCTAGAATCTAGTAAGTAAAGAGGATTTAGATGTTCCCTGGAACAAATGCAGACTTTGATGTAACTGAGAAAACGTGGGATTTACGCAAGAAGAATTCGATTATTCCATAGATAAAATTGTGATGTTCACCAACATGTGGGTTTTACCCTGCGGCATCGTCATGTTCGCTGCAAAAAAAGAAGATTTGCAAAACACATTTTTCCGCAAAGAATTTGGATTTTGTCAAGAAACACGAACCTGGTTGGTGGTTTGGAACATGAATTTTATTTGTCCAGATATTGGGAATGTCATCATCCCAACTGACTTTCACATTTTTCTGAGGGGTTGAAACCACCAACCAGAATTGTTTCTTGGTGTTGAACGACTTGTGGAGATCTCTGCAACTGAGATGGATTGAAACCACAGAAACTGCTGCAGTTCAGCCCGATTTTAAACATCTGTTAATGGTTAATGGTCCTTGACTGGTTGGAAACGCCGGGCAGCCCGATTTTAAACATCTGTTAATGGTTAATGGTCCTTGACTGGTTGACTGGTTGGTGGTTTGGAACATGTTTTATTTTTCCATGTATTGGGAATAATAATCCCAATTCAATTGACTTTCATATTTTTCAGAGGGGTAGGTATACCACCAACTAGATATATATATATATATCCCATTGACTAATATTTTTCAAGATGGTTGAAACCAAGATGCTTGAAAATTGGGAGGGGTGGAGATGAAAACATGGAAACACGCCACCCCTACAGGTGGCACTCGGCTTCTGCTACTTTGAACCCCATGCTGGTGGCGTAAATATCCAGATGTTTGTTATTGGTAACCATGAATCAGGTACAATGTGAGGCCCCCGTTCGATAGCGTTTATAAGTCCAATAACTATGGTTTATGGTATTTATAACTATAGTTACTGGGGCTGATAAAACAACTTATAACTGGGGGGCCTCACATTGTAGGCTATGTCTTGGGTTTTCACCATCAAACATTTGCAGATTTCAATGATACCCAGATCACTGTAATAACTATATCGTAATGATATTGTCTTAGTTAATTATCATTGCAATAAATTTAACACATTGTATGATCAGAGAATTGAAAACGTGATTCATATGAGACTGCATACAAATGGTTATTAAATGTTATTAAATCAATTATATCCTAATATTACAAACAGTTTATCATATGATAATTATATCATCTCTTCTCCAGTTGTTTGTGCAGTGAAAGCCCGTTATCATTCCATAAATGGCGTGACTTACTCACTTATAACTTACATACTGCTAGAGGGCCAAAACTGTAGGTATGATTGATGATTGGGATATATGAGCTTAATTATCATAGATGATATATATATATATACATGTATATATATATATACATCATTTATATATATATATCATATATATATATCATATATATATATATCATATATACGCAATTGTAATCCCTATATTTTCATCTGTATCAATGGGATTTTCCCCTGGATGCTTCAAACTGCACAATCTATGTCCTATGTCTCCAGGTGCGTTCGACCGGCTGCGCGCTGTTGAGTGCTGGCAATCCACAGGAGGTTCGCCGGTGAAGCGCCGGATTTATGAGGGGAATTTAGGTCCATGATGATCCAATTATAATGTGTTGTTTTTTGGGGGGATTTTGAAATCTAGTAATTCTACAAAAGATTTTGGGGATTTTTGGGGATTTTTGATTTTGAAAAAGCGGTATATTTTCTGGGGTAATCTAAAAATCACCTCTGGTAAACATAGAAAAAGCATGAAGAGAGATCCAGCATTTTTGATGGGTAAATCATCGAAGTTTCTATCATGGCTTCCACAGTCTTGGGAAAAAGCTCCATCAAGCCGCAAAGCTGGCTTTCTAGCCACAGCTTTGTGGCTAAGGTACAGCATATACTGATGGAACATCACATCCCAAGCCACGTTTTTTTTAGATGAGCAAAATGCATGGTGTTTTCATCTTGTGCCCTGAACAATCAACCCAGTCAACATGTTTGCTTGAGCGGCATTGATATTGTAATATATACCCTCCGGTAAACTAGCATAGCTATGGAAAATCACCATTTTTAATGGGTAAATCAACTATTTCGATGGCCATTTTCAATAGCTACGTTAGTCATTACCAGAGGGTATTATCCATGATAATTATCTCCTATAAATCCCATTAAATCCCTATAAATCCCTATTGTAATATATAGTGTCTTCCATTTATGGCTCAAACTTCAATCGGTCGCTTGCTTAAGCTATCTCCACGGGAAGGATGAAGTGGGAAAGAAAATTAAAAAAAAAACTACCTGAAACAACGAAACACCACTGGGTAATCATATTATATATATGGTTATAACCTATTATATCAGGTTATATCCTATTATATCAGGTTATATCCTATTTTTTGTCCTCATATTTAGGTAAAACATAGCCAAGGTATTAGTAAAGGTTATATCCTATTATATCAGCTTGTATTCCCCATGTTGTTGGCTAAAATACCAATGATACAGAAAACACTTTATTAATATACAAATATATATATATATATATACAAATCCCCATGTTAACTAAGTAAACCCTTAGATTAATTGGTTTCTCCATGTTTGAAGCCGCAGGTTATGGATCTGGGTCTGGTGGCACACCTGGCCTCGCTTCGTTCCTCCGTTCCCTTCGTGCATTTCTTCGATGGCACGTGGCATGGCGTCTTTATAGGCATTTTGGTGGTTGATTCACTTAAAAAGTGCTTACAGTACTTTTTGAGACATCTCAAGGTTCATTGACTGTCTATATATACATATACATATATACATATGTACATATATCATATATGTACATATATAATATGCACATATATCATATATAAATATATATATATCCAAATATACATAATTATACATATATATATATGACTTGAAAATCTGCATAAAACAGGGGGTTTCAAGGATTTCAAAGCGAGTTTTTGAGGATAAAAAATTCAGACATTTCTAGGCGCACCAGTGGCGTCATCGAATGCGTCAAACCCATTCCGTACAGCACGATGAAGAGCCTGGGCAGCAGGTGAAGTTTCTACGAAAAATCTGCTGGACACCACAAGAATCATCCCATATGCTTGAAGATATGGGTTTGTCTGAAAATAGGGTATATTCCCAATTATAGCCATTTAATAGGGATAATGATCATTAACCATTGGGTTTAGGGGTACACTATTTTCAGACAAACCCATATTTTTTGTTTCAAATATGTGAAACCACCAAGCAATTACCATATGAGTTTTCAGTCAAAGAAGATATTTGAAATATAGGACAAATTCTTGGTTTCAGTCAAAGAAGATATTTTTTGTTTCAAATATGTGAAACCACCAAGCATTACCCTCTAGTAAAGTAACAGTTGGACCCTGAAGATAACCCATTTTTAATGGAAACTAATCTTCCAAGTCCTATCTGCCAGGGTCTATGTTAATTTACTGGAGGGTATTATAGAATTATATATATATATATTATATTATATTACTAAAAGAAAAGAAGCCACCATCCCCAATTTTACGATGTTTATGAGTGCCACAATGGGTTCTTTTTTGTGGGTGGTTTATGACATTGCTTTACTAACATGATGCTAACATGTACTAACATTATCAATGTTCACCCGAAGCTTAGCCTTATGTGGCTTTTCCATCAATATGTCCCAAGATTTATTCCAACGGATGTAAATTCCGGTGAGTATGTGGTGAAGAATTTGCTTAGCTGATTATAGGCCAGATGGGGGTTTGAATATGTTTGAATTAGTTTGAACTCAGCAAAATGAAGAAATGACCCACAACAATGGGGGTTGAGCGAACTTGTACTGGTTGGTGGTTTCAAACATTTTTATGACTTTCCATATATTGGGAATGTCATCATCCCAACTGACTTTCACTCCATGATTTTTCAGAGGGGTAGGGCGAAAAGCCACCAACCAGTGTAGCATTCATTTTTAGTGAAACCAGTGAAACCAGTTGCCAGTGAAACCAGTCGCGGATATCATCCCATCCCAACATGTGCAGATTAAGCGTTGCTTCTCCGGGGGATGTGCATAGCTTGGATCAATAGTTATATGCCACAATGCAAACTATTAAACCCTGGCTGCCATAAAACTGTGGTAATTAAATGTGGTAATTAAACTCTTAAACATAAATAAAATGTGGTAATTAATTAAACTATGAAAAACCCTGACTGCCATAAACCTAGCATTTGGAGATGATTTATATAATCCCACCTATAGTGATATCAGGGATGGTTTACTATTGGGTCTACCACATTAAACTATTTCATGATCGCTCATAGTGTTTGTACTTGTGGTGTCTGTAAATTTAGGACCATCAGAATCTACCATGTTGATTTGATTGTGTCAGTTGGGAAGACTAAATTGCTCCGCCGTTCGAAGCCTGGAACTATCTGGAACTATCTGGAACTACTTTGGAACTACTTTGCTTCTGTGGTCTTGATGGAGTTGATGCTACCACATTATTTTCCATACCACAATCAATGGCCATTCCAGGATCCTAAATTGGAGGTACCTACCATATATAAGGCCTATTTTCCAGGCCTAAATTTCAGGGAATATCCCCACAAAATATGGCCAAACATATGGTACTAACGTACCTCCATTTAGGATCCTGGAGTTCCCATTGACACAATTCCTATTCATTACACTCCTCAAATGTGTCACGAGGACATCAACAAATGCCCGAAAGATGCTACCCCCCAGTTAGATTTATTGCTTGCTGGAACTAACCCCCATCAACTATGTCGATGTATGTACATATTAGTATATATATATATATACGGTAACGACATTTAAATATGTGGCGGGCGGGCCAGACCGCACGGCCCCGGAGGTAGTATGAAATACCAGTTCGTATATTTAAATGTAGTTGCAGTATGTTTAAATGAATTGGATGCCGTATGTTTAAATGGCTGGGCGGGCCAAGGGAAACCTTTCCGGAGGTAGTCTGAAATACCTGTTCGTATATTTAAAAATCCGTATATTTAAATGTAATTAATTACCGTATATATATATATATCTATACCATAAACCAAGAGTTATTGGAGTTTGCCCTAACAAAGTCATTCCCTCCGATGGTGCCTTGCCCGCAGGAGTATTGTTCCCTGGGACGACTTGGATGCCTTCCGTCTCTCGGGCAAATCTACACCGGAAAGCATCGATTTTCCCATGAAGATCATGGGGCTAAACCCGGTTAACATTTTCCCAACAAAACCAATCCAATGAACAAGATGTGTGAAAATTCATTCATCATTTCAATACCTAGTGATACCTAGGAGTTTTTGTCTATATCCATGGGGCTAAACCATAGATGTTCCTGTAAATTTATGTAAATTGACCATAGATTTTCCCATGAAGATCATGGCATCATGGGGCATAAACCCGGTTTAGATTGTCCCAACAAAACCAATCCATAACGACACGACTCGGTTTCCTCGCTGTTCGAAACGGAACGCGTGGCCGGTTTTATCGCGAGGTCAGCGTGGCCTGAATCCACAGCATCCCATGATGCGTGGCTTGGGACAAGACCCGAAGCTCGGTTTTGTCAAAAACCTGGTGTCCTTTGAGTCAGAAATTCTACTGTTTTGTGGTGGTTAATAGGGGTTAATAGTGGTTAATAGTGGTTAATAGGGGTTAATAGGGGTTAATAGTGGTTAATAGTGGTTAATAGTGGTTAATAGTGGTTAATAGTGGTTAATAGTGGTTAAGTGGTTAATAGTGGTTAATAGTGGTTAATAGTGGTTAATAGTGGTTAATAGTGGTTAATAGTGGTTAATAGTGGTTAATAGTGGTTAATAGTGGTTAATAGTGGTTAATAGTGGTTAATAGTGGTTAATAGTGGTTAATAGTGGTTAATAGGGGTTAATAGTGGTTAATAGTGGTTAATAGTGGTTAATAGTGGTTAATAGTGGTTAATAGTGGTTAATAGTGGTTAATAGTGGTTAATAGTGGTTAATAGTGGTTAATAGTGGTTAATAGTGGTTAATAGTGGTTAATAGTGGTTAATAGTGGTTTAGTGGTTAATAGTGGTTAATAGTGGTTAATAGTGGTTAATAGTGGTTAATAGTGGTTAATAGTGGTTAAGTAATAGTGGTTAATAGTGGTTAATAGTGGTTAATAGTGGTTAATAGTGGTTAATAGTGGTTAGTGGTTAATAGTGGTTAATAGTGGTTAATAGTGGTTAATAGTGGTTAATAGTGGTTAATAGTGGTTAATAGTGGTTAATAGTGGTTAATAGTGGTTAATAGTGGTTAATAGTGGTTAATAGTGGTTAATAGTGGTTAATAGTGGTTATAGTGGTTAATAGTGGTTAATAGTGGTTAATAGTGGTTCATAGTGGTGATAGTGGTTAATAGTGGTTAATAGTGGTTAATAGTGGTTAATAGTGGTTAATAGTGGTTAATAGTGGTTAATAGTGTGTTAATAGTGGTTAATAGTGGTTTATATAGTGGTTAATAGTGGTTAATAGTGGTTAATAGTGGTTAATAGTGGTTAAGTGGTTAATAGTGGTTAATAGTGTGGTTAATAGTGGGGTTAATAGTGGTTAATAGTGGTTAATAGTGGTTAATAGTGGTTAATAGTGGTTAATAGTGGTTAATAGTGGTTAATAGGGGTTAATAGGGGTTAATAGGGTTAATAGTGGTTAATAGTGGTTAATAGGGGTTAATAGGGGTTAATAGGGGTTAATAGGGGTTAATAGGGGTTAATAGGGGTTAATAGGGGTTAATAGGGGTTAATAGGGGTTAATAGGGGTTAATAGGGGTTAATAGGGGTTAATAGGGGTTAATAGGGGTTAATAGATGTTAATAGTGGTTAATAGGGGTTAATGTCCTGTTAATGTACTGTTAATGGTTAATAGTTAGTGGTTAGTAATGGTTAGTGGTGGTTTTTCTAGTGGTTCGTAATGGTTGGTAATGGTTGATGGATAATGTTTAATGATCTATAACTGGTTGGTGGTTTGGAACCATGGAATTTTATGACTTTCCATTCAGTTGGGAATGTCATCATCGTAACTGACTTTCACTCACATTTTTCAGAGGGGTAGGTTCAAACCACCAACCCGATAAATATTAATATCTGGAGGTTTTTGCCGTTTTTGTCATTTTTGGGTATCTCTTTGCATCAGTCATCTCAGGAAGGATGACAAGCTGAATTCGTAGCCATGACGGATCCATGGTGCTGCTATATACGGTAACATGGATCCCATCCATATACCCCAGTCATGTTAGCATATACACCAGCACCATAGACCCAGAGGAGGGTATTGAAACAGCCCATGGATTGATTTTCGGATCCCCATCTGATGGAAAGTGGTGTTATTCACACCCACAGATGAGATAACCATGGTGAATCTGGGATTTAGAAACCAAGATGATCAACCACTAAGTGGAATGATTCTCGGGATTTTCTTGGGATTTCCTTGGGGTTTACTCGGATTTACATGGGATTCGATGGTGATTCAATGGTGATTTCATGGGACTTCGAATGTTTTTGTTTTTTTTTTTTAAAGGGGTTCCGACTGGGATATGAAATACCGTTGATTTAAGCAACGAAACCTGGGAAGATATTTGAAAACTATATATTTGGTTATAATATAAAACTATAACCGGGAAAAATTAAAACCCGTATGATTTTCAAATATATTATATTTAAGCAACGAAAACTGGGAATATATTTGCTTAATAGCGGATATATTTGAAATCTTTAACGGATATTCAATTATAACCAACTATAGCGGATATATTTGAAAATCATATTGGTGGGGCCCCCTTAGATAGCAACAACATACATGGTAATTTAGCCAAGAAACATGGGGATTTAAATGAACTTATAGTTGATATATGCTAAGTTCGTTTATAGCTATAGATGAATTCTATAGTTTATGGAAGATATATTCGTAGCTCATGGGATGAAACTAAACCAACAGAATTGGGAGACACGACCTTTAGCTGACATGGAAAAATAACATTTTTCGGTGAATCATCGAACTAAATGAGCCATGTTAAGTTACCACATGGTATTCTGGTTGGTGGTTTGGAACATGAATTTTATGACTTTCCATATATTGGGAATGTCATCATCCCAACTGACTTTCATATTTTTCAGAGAGGTAGGTATACCGCCAACCAGTATTTATATGTGCGGTTTATGTATAGTTTTTTAAATGTTGATTGTGGATAGAATACTTGCATATAATTGCATGGTTGCTATACCCACAGGATCCATGTATGGTATATATGCTAACATTTGGGGTATATGGATGGTAAATGTTACCATAATAGCATACATGGATCCTATGGGATATAAAGTATATAGTGACTACAGTGACTGCTGATAGTTTTTGCTGACCATGGAAGTTTAAAATCAAAAAGTCAACTTTGCATTTGCGAGGCATGCTGTGTTTGTGGGGTTTGACTGGGCCATATCCTACAATTGCAAAGGAAGCAAAAGCGGCAATGAACCAGCAATATATATATATATGTATGTATGTATGTATGTGTATATACATATATATATATATACATATATATATTTATATGTATATATGTATGTATATATGTATGTATATATGTATGTATATATGTATGTATATATATATATATCAGTACCGCATCAAACAATCATGGTTAATATCAATAGCCCAAGCTGCACGTAATGAATTTCCGTTCGAGCCAAGCTGGTTGTCTGAGGCAAGTGTACTACCAATCTGCAGTCTCGGCGAACAAGCAACTTGAGAGGAACGAATTATGTGAGATTTCAAAAACAGTCCTTGCAAGTGCGCGTGTGACCTCAATCTGCTTCGTGCTTTTTCAGGGGGGTAGGTCAACCACCAACCAGGAATTCTAGGGGTCCAACAGGTCCTGCAATGGCGTTTTTGTTGCATTCTCAAGAGGTGATCTGTAAGGAAATCTGGAGAACCTTATGTGGACAATGTGGATACGTAAACATGAAAAACCTGGTTCGGGCTTGGAATCTTTTGTTTTGTTCAACCGTACTTGGGATATTTGGTTGAGATTTACCCTCTGTTTATTTAACATAGCCATAGAAAATTACCATTTTTAATGGGTAAACCATCTATTTCTATGGGCCATCTATACCATGGCGAACTGTTAGTCATAACCAAATGACGAGGAGCAGATTTTTGGGATGGCTTGAAACCAGAAAGTTGCCGCAGATCTTGAGGAGTGGTTTACTGGTTGGTGGTTTGGAACATGATTTTTTATGACGTTCCATATACTGGGAATAATCATCCCAACTGACTAATATTTTTCAGAGGGGTTGAAACCACCAACCAGTTTATCACTTGCTACGAAAAGATACAACTCAGGATTACACAGAAGCTGGGTACCTTCATGTTCATATCAAAATGGCTTTACTTTACGGATGTTAGTCCCCAATTTATGTGAAATGTTGTGACCCATCCCATGCAATTTATGTTATAGAATCCCCCAATGTGTTGGAAGAAAAAATGAAAAAATGACAGGTTAACAAGGACTCAACCAATGTATTACTAGTTCGTATCCACAATCAACAAGCATTGTTATCTGGTTGGTGGTTTGGAACATTTTTTATTTTTCCATATATTGGGAATGTCATCATCCCAACTGACTTTCATATTTTTCAGAGGGGTAGGTATACCACCAACCAGTTATCCATTGAATCAATAATCAGCAAGTGATACGCTTGATATTCATTCCACTGATCAATCCATGTCAAATTCGGTGTCAATCCAGTCATGGGGAATCTCCAAGGGCTTCGTCATGACTGGATGACTGGGGGTACCCCCATGACTTAGGAAACCTGCATAAAAAAAAAAACACTTGCATGAAACAGCTACGGTTATAGCACTTAACAGTTATATTTGGCTTACAACCTCAGTTCAGTGATATGTATATTAATATATATATATATAACCTTAGTTGCAGCAGTTATTTCATTCATCCCATTAATATTCTAAGTGTTAATAGAATATAATAGAATATAATCGAATATAATAGAATATAATAGAATATAATAGAATATAATCGAATATAATAGAATATAATAGAATATAATAGAATATAATAGAATATAATTATATATCCCATTAATATTCATTAATTATAAGCTGTTCTTCCACCAATACTACGTCACCACGGTCACTACGGCACGGTGGGCTGCAGGTATTATGATGCCGTGCCACACATCGTCCAAGACGTCATGGATCAGGTGGCAGTGATCACGGGACGCCACTTGGTGACCATGGAAAACCACATTTGATTGGAAGCTATATAATCTATCTATGTATATATATATATTATTATGATTATTATTATTGTTATTATTAGTTTTATAACTATATTTACATTATATTATATTCCATTATATTCTATTATATTATATTCTATTATATTCTATTATATTCTATTATATTCTTCTATTATATTCGATTATATTCGGTTATATTCTGTTATATTTGATTATATTCGGTTATATTCTGTTATATTTGATTATATTTTATTATATTCTATTATATTCTATGTATATGTATATATATATACTATTATATTATATTTTCCCTACGAGGACGTAACAAAAAACTGATGTTAGTTTCAGTGCTTCAGGGTCCCGCAAAAACTAAACATAAGACAGCTGATTGGGGAAAGCCTAAGTTTTGATTGGATAAACAAATCGATACTAGTTGTGCAAATTGGATTTTTGGAAAACTTAGCCTAAGTTTCCATTGGATTATTTTTGATTAGTTTTGGACAAACAAATATCGCTGGAAATGAGTTGTGCAATTTTCCAGCTAGCGAGGCCAGACTACTTGTTCACATATATACTTGTACTTCACGAGTCATCACTTTGTGATCTCTGAGTCTCCAGTAATGTTAGTAAAGCAATAGTAAAGCCATCCAGAAATTTGCCATAGATGGGTGGTATACGTATATATATATACCATCATGAACTATCAAAAGCGGGATGGTTTATTACTGTTTAGGATGGTTATAATTATCAAGAAACTAACAATATTATTACATATGATTGTTAGTTATCGTTTACTATGGTTGTTAGTACTTTTTTACTATTACAAACTAACTATCAACAATTATTACTATTATTACTACAATGTGAGGCCCCCAAGATAGCTAAGTTGGTGCAAATAACTCCAATAACTATGGCTTATGGTATTTATAACTACAGTTACTGGGTTGAATCTAAACCAACTTATATCTTGGGGGGCCTCACATTGTATGATTTTTTTTGTTTTATACATCTTTATACAGATGAAATCCCTGGCAGGGATCGCCGAGGTCAGTACAAACTCTTTGAATACTATGGCGATCCGGAGGCGCCGGGACGAGCCTGGGGTGGTTTCGCCCCAGTTCTTCGGCATCTTGGGGCGCGATCTTTGGACCTATGGATTTATAACATGTTTTTTGGTCTATTAAAAAAGGGCTATGTAAGGGGGATATATCCCCCAACTATGGTTTTATATATAATATATGGATATATATGGCACAACGCAAGGATTTCGCGCAAGGATGAATCATTTCCATTCAGTTTTAATTGAAGTTTTGAACACCGCTCATATGGTAATGGATCAAATACATATTGTACATGATATAACTCCAATAACTGTGGTTTATAGGTGATATGTCGAACTAGTTTTCATGGGCTTATAACCAATTTATAACTGGGGGGGGCACCACCTTGTACATATTGTACATATAATTGCCTCAAAAATGCCCTAATTTTTGATGTTTAGTACATAGTAATATAATGTAATTACTAAAAAGGATAGATAACATGAATAACTACAAATTATATAGTACATTAATATACTTAAACCATCAGGATGGTATTACATATATACATATATCTGGGTAAATTATAACGACCTCACTGTTCTCCCTCACTGGCCTCATGGTTAATAAGAGAAATCACCCCCAAATAGCCTCAAGATTCAGGTTAGTGCAATATTATAATTTACCCAGATATATAAATAGCGTAATATATGTTCATAAATCATACATATGTATATATATGTATTGGTTGAGAATGATTCTATGGCGATGTATCAATACCTATAAATACCTTCTTTAGGGTGATGAATCATCTATAAATCCCAGCTATGTGGATGTGAACTACAGGGGTACAATGGGTACAAGGTTTTGACCCAACCCCATATCATAGAACATGACTTATCTACCAAGTTGGTGATAAGTTAGTTTATAAACCATAGTAAATATGTCAATATATCTACCATAAACCCGAAATTGGAGTTATTTGCACGCACGCACCAACTGAACGCTAAGGAACTGGGGTCACCAGCGCACGTATCAATCATCGTTTGGGGATTTTGTTCAAAATCATTTGCTTATCACATGGTGATGTTTTTTTCCCAGGACATACCCTCTAGTAATTTAACATAGCTATTGAAAATGGCAACTTATAGTGAGTTTTCCCATTAAAAATTGTGATTTTCCATAGTTATGTTAGTTTACCAGAGGGTATCCCCCATCACCGAGCCAGCGCAGCAAGTTCCAGGCGGAACGTGTGGTGGTTTTGATGGGTTCATCGGCCAAGACTGCGGAGGAGACGGTGGATTACCTGCGACAGCAGGGAGAGAAGGCTGGAGCCTTTATGGATCTTGTTTTTTCCCCAAAAAGATGTGCTGAAAACCAGGAAAAACCCCATGTTTTTGCTTGGAAAATGTGACTTATAAGACCATAAATTAGATATAAATGTCAATCATTGATCATTGAAACCATCCAACCAAGTCCAGCCCAGCCACCTCGTTTTGACTAGGTAAACCATGCTGTTGTCCCAATTTTTTGCCATGGTGGGGTTTTACACTTTCGGTTGATCACGGTTGATCACCTGGTTTCTCGGTGCCACGGTGCCAGGTGGGCATCCTGAAGGTTCATCTCTTCCGTCCCTTCTCCACGGAGCATTTTTTGGCGGAGCTGCCGGACACGGTGCCGCGGAGCCAACGGGACGGGTTACGGAGACGTGTAACTTGAGCAACGGGGACGTGTAACTGGGTGATGTTTTGATGTTTTTTTGGCTGAAAGCAATAGGTAAAATATATGGTTTATTGATTTACATTCTAAATTGAATATGAAGGAATGAACCTGCCAAGCAGTCTGGAAACCCTCACATTTGGTGAAGAATTTACACAGAGCCTGCAAGGAGTGACCCTGACAAGTGCTCTTGTCCGTTTTGATTGCAGGGGGGTCTTGGTCAGCCGCGGGTGATTTGCTTCTGAAGTTTGTTGAATTTGAACGAAAGAGTCTGAGTGAAGTTTGCTGGTTTAAAGATGGCTGACTGTTGCAGGCTGGACTGAATCACTATGTACATGTTTCGACGATAGAGGTAGATGTATAATTATCACATATCGTATCATTTATGCATTGCATTATACATATTATATATATACACACCAAATATCAGGTTTCATACCATTTATCGGCTACATCATGATATATGTATATACCATATATACATATATCATCATTATCACATATCAATCATGATACATCATATATCATAGAATCATATACATATATCATATCATATATATGTGTATATATATACATACATACATATCATATATATATACATATACATATCATACAATGTGGCTCCCCCCAGTTATAAGTTGGTTAACAAAAGCCCCAGTAACTAGTTCGTGCACGCACCAAGTGCTGCCAGGTGAAAGCCATCGCAGTTTTGGACCGGACCAAGGACACCGGTCATCACCGGTTGGTGTCGGATGGTGTCGGATGGGTGGAACCGTTGGACCAGGTTACTGGTGATTTTTCATGTTGGCTATGGATTATATTTATGATATGTATATATATATATATGATTATGATATATATGATATATATGATTATATTTATGATTTTTATATATTGGATTTTTTTAATTGTGATAAAAGATGATTATGTGGCTATGGATCAATACCATACATGCCATTTTTAGGGGGATGAACATCCATTTTAACCCAGCTATTTTGATGTGAACAGAAGGGGTACAAGGTTTTGACACACTGCCATATGGTGATTTTTGTTGGTGGTTTTTCATGGTGACTCAATGGTGATAGAAAATGGTGATTGTTCATGTTGGCTTAACGGTGGTTCTGGTGATGATGTAGTGGTTTAATGGTTTAATGATGATTTAGCCGTGGTTGAATGGTGATTGAATTGTGATTTGGTGATTTTTCATGGTGATTTGATTGGAATTTGATTGGATTTCATCGGGATTTCATTGGGATTTTCTATGGGATTTTCTATGTTCTCAATTCATGAGGGATTCCCTGGCGCCATCATGGGTTTTTCAAAAAGCAAATCATCCAGTGGTCCGACTGGATGATTTGGGATACCCCCATGACTTCGGACACCTATATATACGGTAATATACTGTATACTTGGTGGCTCATCCCACGGCTCGTTTTTGTGGGTCATAACCCCAGTTATTTCAGTGGATTAACCCGCTCCTTATCCCATGTAAATCACTGGGGTTATAACCCACTTACGAGCCGTGGGATGAGCCACCAAGTATATATATATATAGTTTTTGGGAAACATGGTGGATTTTACCTGATATATGATACAAGGTGGTGCCTTTTCAGTTGTAATAACTGGTTATAGGCCCATTGACTATAGGCCCATGATATATCACCAACGCGAGCTCGAACGGGGGATCCATCCTGTAGGATAAAGGGTTTTTTCTATGTGTTGTTTGGCACCCTGCCCATCTGCCCATCATACGCCTTGTAAAGGAAGACTTGGCACCGTCACTCCCGCTTCATGCAGATGTCCTGACGGCCATGAGTGAGGCCTGGTCAAAAGATCATGAGTCAAGCGTCAAAAGATGAAATTATATATATTTATATACCCATATTTGAATCCATTACACAGTGCAACAAAAAAAAACATGTTGCAATTCCTGTGATGTTTTTTGCATTGTGGTCGCATTGTGGTCATTAATGGTCATCACAAACTCAGGCCGGGGTCTACAAAAAGGTGGTGGGTGGCAACTATGGCCTCGGCAGTAAAGAGTTTGCTCCCAGCCGCTTGGTTGCTGAGATTTTTGGATGGCTTAACGCATGCTGTGCTGGAAATTTCCCATCAACTGGGATGCGTCACCTGTTCAAAACAGTGATCATGGCTATGATATTGTTTTGTTTGAAATTCGTTTGAAAATGTTGGGAAAACCCCGTTCTATTCACCGGTTAATCATCATTTGCCTTTTATAGCAACCCCAAAACATGATAGAACATTAAAATCTGGTCAAAATAGTGACGTTTTTGTTTAACCCTTGTAAAACATCGAATCTTGTGGGTTCCCTTGAAGAGTGCCATACCTGGATGCTTAATCCATCTTAATCCTCCATTTTGCAGGGAGTCGTTGTGGTTTTGTGGCAATGCCAACAAGGGTGCCGACTCGAGAGAGCCAGTATCTCCAAGGAAATTTTGAAAGAAGAGATATATTTGTATATAGATATATATATATATAGATATATAGATATATGATACGTATATAAATAATATACAATTCATATTAAACTAGGGATGACAATTCTATATCTAATTGGGTCATGAGAAGAAGGCTTATCAACTACTTACATCTCCAAACAGAGAGTCGCGTGCTATCAGGACACGTCAAGGCGGTCTTTGACAACTTGCTCAATGAGGCCATGGTGACCGTGACTTGGGGGGCCCTCCCAAAGATGGATGGTTTTCCTGGAAAACCCGAGCTATACATGGATGACAACTGGGGGGTATCCCCCTAGGATTTCGATCAGATCTGTGGTTTTTGTGGTTTTTGATGTCATGGAACCACTTGTTTGGAACCGATGAACATATCTACGTCTGGGTTACCCTCTGGTAAACTAACATAGCTATGGAAAATCACCATTTTTAATGGGAAAATCCACTATTAATGACCATTTTCAATAGCTACGTTAAATTACCAGAGGTTAAAGACACTGGTTGAAGCGATGTTCGGAATGACAACAAAAACCGAAGCATCCACCAATTCCCAACGTTTGATTCACCGCCAGAAACGACATGAAACGAGTTCCCAATGACTTGCCATGCTAGTTGTGGCGGCAGAATCCCACATTGAGGTGATTCTGAACAATGACTACCTTCATTTGAAAAGGCAGTTCCTTTCTTGCGAATTACATATATATATATATATTATAAATATATATATATATTATATATAATTATATATATATATGTGATTGTTTGTTTTAGAATCTGAGTTTGCAATCATCAATATGACATTGTTAGATTTTTTAGAATCCAATATGATAAAAATTGATTATGGAATTAAATTCTACAATGTGAGGCCCCCCAGTTATAAGTTGGTTTATAAGCCCCAGTAACTATAGTTATAAATACCATAAACCATAGTTATTGGACTTATAAACCAACTTAGCTATCGAACGGGGGCCTCACAGTGTAGTTAATAGATGTTGTTACTCACGACTCACGGCCCTTGAAATTCCGCCGATGTGAATAAAGAGTCGCAGATCGACGGATGTTATATAGGGGTTAAACGTCGGCACATGGAAAGGCAATGAACATGGATTCATCGGGTAAAATGTTTATGATCTATTATATATATACCATCTGGTTACTTAACATAGCCATGGAAAATCCCCATTTTGAATAGGTACAGTAAACCATCTATATATGGGCCATCTATACCGTGGCTATGTTAGTCATAACCAGAGGGTATAATTGTTTGATAATACCTTATATAATACCTTATATGTTTATTAATCATGGTTCACAATACCAGGCAAAGGTAATGGATTCATTAATCATGTTTTATAATACCTTGAGTTGTTTCTTTTCTGAGAAAGTACTTGCTGCATTGCAGTTTATACTGATTTTGGCACAAAAAAGGCCTTTCAGAAAATCTACGTTCGCTTTTGTACTGAAGTGCCTTGCGTCCTTCAAGCAACTCAGCATAGCACTTGGGGATACTCTGCTAACTGCAGAAAGTAGCTGATGATGAATTTGCTGCAAAATCGTATTCCAAGTTGTCCAGAAGATGATTAATATCAACCCTGGATGAATAAACCCCAAAGGGCTGTTTAATTGGGAGGGCACCATTAAAAAGTATCAGGTGAAATGACTATTGGAGGAGTACCCCCTAATTAAAAAACCATCTGGTTGGTGTTTTGGCACATGTTTTTTTCCATTCAGTTGGGAATGTCAGACATCATCCCAACTGACGATTCGTCATCATTTTTCCGGGTAGGGCGAAAAACCACCAACCAGACCATGCTCTATTCCATGTCTGGTAATCTCAAGAACCCATGCGCTGGAAGCTGGAACAGACAGCTGGATGTGCACCCTATATGATAAGAACCAGTATATATAATTATATATATATACTGTACACATGTGTATATATATATATATGAATACCATATGATAATAACATATAATAACCAGTATATAATATCCATATGCTCATATGGTTCTTCTCCACTTGTGTTCCCATAAAAGATCCCGTGAAATTCTTTGGAACCCCATGGAAAATCATGTTTTTTAACCCAGTTTTTTGAAGTCCATGAAATCCCCATTTTTCATGGTAAAATATCTATCTAACCTGGGCGCCGGAGCAGGTTCCTAAGCGGCACTTCACCGTGGGCATCAACGACGACGTGACCAACACCTCCCTCCCCCTGGGGCCCACGATCAACACCCAGGATCCAGAGGTAACTCAGGCGCATGACATCACCGGTGACCCCAAAAACCATGGGATTTTGATGGTCATCCCCAATTTTTATGGTGATTTTTGAGATGCACTTTTAACAGCATCTTTCTGAAGGCTGGTTAAAAACGCAAAAGTTGGGAATAGGAATACGTGGGATATGGGAAAAAAACGCATTTCAAAAGTAGATCAATATAGAACCATAACTCATAGTTGGGATCTGGGATCTCTTCATGAAACTCTGGTGATGTTGTTCACGCTCAAAACGCGAAAAAATGGGTGGAATCCGAGTGGAACTGCCAACAAAAACCATCATTTTTCAGACCATGATCAACTCGCCCGGCTCGGCCTCGCGCAGGCCATCTTTTTCGGCCTTGGCTCCGATGGCACGGTGGGCGCCAACAAAGCGGCTGCCGCGATCATCGGCGAGCGCACGGAGTTCTACTCGCAGGCGCCGGGCCCTAAACGGGGTTTGCCGGGCCTTGCCGGGCCTTTCAAGAGATTTGTGTTGGGTGAACCATGGTGTTTTTTGATGTTTTTTTGGGGGTACCGGTTTAGTACAATGGTGAGTAGATGTGAATGTATGTGAGTGAATTAGTGGACAAAAGGTATGAATAACAAAAAAACAACAATTTTGGTTTAATGGCACTCTATGCCTCAAGGATTTGAATGATTCTACTAATTAGAATGTGGCGGTTGATGACTCATGGGAGTAATAGCTGGCCCCAGTTGGGGTGTTGTTACAACGGTCAAACACATGCCACGAAAAGCAAGTGTTTGAGAAACAACAAATGCCTCCATAGATCTCCATGAATCATAGCTGGTTGGTGGTTTCAAACATTTTTTATTTTCTATAATATATGGAATAATCCACCAACCACCAACCAGATCACCTCACAATTTTATCGACGTCACTGGAATGATGTTTAGTAACAGGAATCATCCCCTTGGGGATGCCCCAGAATTTAAAATTTCAAATAGCCTCTGGTAATGACGAACGGTTTGCGAACTTGAAAAATGGACCATTTATTTAGTTCGGTGATTTACCTATTAAAAATGGTGATTTTCCATAGCTATGTAAACGTTTACCAGAGGGTATTTCAAGTTGGCAAAATGATGTTAGCCCAGAAATGATGTTGGTTGGTGGTTTGGAACCATGGATTTTTATGACTTTCCATATATTATTAATTGGGACCAGTAATCCCAACTGACTAATATATTTTTTCAGAGGGGTTGAAACCACCAACCAGATTGTTATTGATCTTATTTTCAGACAGAATCATGCTTTCAACAGTCACAATAACTAAATGTTGATTCAAGTCCCATTTAGCCATGATGCCAATGCTTCAATGATGTGTTGAACTGTCATCAAGAAACCCATGAAATATATTGAAATATCCTCTATGTTTATCCTCATATACCTCAATATCAGTTTCCCCATGTTTCCCCATTTAGATAGCAGAAGATTGCAGATTCTTCGTTGTACCCATGAGATCTCCATCGAACCAGCGCTATGGTTGTGGGGCCCCCCAGTGATGTTTGTTGGTTTATCAGCCCCAGTAACTATAGTTATAAGTACCATAAACCATAGTTATTGGAGTTATAAACCAACTTAGCTATCTTGGGGGCCTCACATTGTATACTATGGTAATTTAACATAGCTATTGAAAATGGTGATTTATAGTGGATCTACCCATTGAAAATGGTGATTTTCCATAGTTATCTTAATTTACCAGAGGGTATCCGACCTTCTTTGCCAGGGTCACTTCAACTATTCCTCGCAGAAGGCCGGGGCTTCGACAGTCTCGCACCTCCGTCGCTTGGCTGATGTCCGCTTCCAAATGTGTTTTCTGTCCGAATGGATTGTTATTTAGTGGGATTTATAGGGGATTTATAGGGGATTTATAGGGATACCATGAGGATTTCTAGGGATTTATTGGGATATAATGGGGATTACCATCTGGTAAACATACACAAAACTATGGAAAATCACAATTTTATAGCTGGTGAAATCAACTATTTCCATGGCCATGTTCAATAGCAAGATGTTTGTTTACCAGAGGGTAGTACACACCAACGATCATGGGAAAAAAAAACTAAACTAAGGATTTTACTTTTCGATCTATTTTCGGGCTGCTGTATCTTATATTATCTACAGTATATCATGATATTATAATACTCTACGAGGTGGAAGGTTGACCTTCAGGTGGAAAGTTCTTGGCTACCTTTGGCTATTGATCCGTGCGCATGCTCACATTTTTTCTGCAATATTGGAGGATATTGGCTCAACATTCGCTTAGATCATCTAGTATCCCAATATTCTTTTCTTAGCCAAGCACATCCGAGATATGATAACAATCATATTGTTGGCTTGCCCTTACCATCCAGTACACCTAATCATAAGGTATCCCATTAAAACATCCCAGCCCCTATGATATTCCCCTTGAGTGGACCCCAAACAAATGCTGTGGGCCGTGTGGGTTAATTCATAGGTGAAAAGGCATGCCTGGTTCAGAACTGGTAAAACAACGTCAATATAATGTTGAATCACTATTCTAAAAAATAAATAAAGAAAAAACTTAATGTCCATATTCAATAAAGTTGAAGAAGAAAAAAAACAGAATCCATAATGCCTTAACACATGATTATGGAATGTAAATGGTCTTGTTTTAAGATTCTATCGCCAGTATTCAGTGCTTAAACGCCCCATGTTGATATGTTGGTTGGCTCAAACACCTCATCATCATAAATCATTAAATGCCAAATACTTGGGGTAGCCTACATTTGCCAATTTCCTAGTCACCTTTTTGAAGTGCCATAATTCTATATAATTCTGGGATGGTCATGTTTGGATTTCCACCATGGGATGGGTGACCACAACCATATACCATGACTAAATCGCACATATGATACTAAATCATAGACCATTACAGTCTCATTATAATGACCTATACCCGGTAATTCAACATAGCTATGCAAAAATCACCATTGTCAATAGGTAAATCATCGAACTAAATGGGCAATTCTCCTCCATCTATACCATGGCTGTGTTAGCAGACGGTTAGTGTATAAATGGTGGATTTAACCATGTCTAAATTATAATAACCATGAATAAACCATTAATAGCCCATATCAAAACCCTTAACAGTCGTATCGTGCTTATCACCCCATTTAAGTGATATGTAACCTTAGTTGCAGAAGCTATGAAGCCCATGACTGTATCATTCAAGAATCTTTGCATCCCCAAACCCAGGTCATATCATCCCCAACAACCAATCATTTGCTGTTACGCTGTTGTATGAAGCATTACGACTTGACAAAAATACAGTACCACCTTCCCAGATAATCCAAAAAACAATGCCATATATTTTGGTATATACCCGGACTACAATGTAGGTCACAAATATCACCTGGTTGGTGGTTTCAAACATGTTTTTTTTCCATAATTAATATTATAATATATGGGAATAATCATCCCAACTGACGAACTCCATGATTTTTCAGAGGGGTAGGTCAACCACCAACCAGTAACTGTACCTTGCTGGGCTCAAAAATGTCACAATCTTCAAATCTTCAACCACTCAATTCACAACCCAGCTATTTGTACTGTGGATGGGCCACTGCAAAATCCCGCAGTTTGTTTTTAGGCTAAGCCTAGCATCCCAGGGCAGGATTTCGCGACCATCCACAGCCACGTTACCCGGCCTGGTAAACGTTTACGTAACGAACTGGAAAATCACCATTTTATAGCTGGGTAGATCAATTATTTCGACTGGGCCATTTTCAATATTTTTCAATAGTTTTTTGTATGTTTACCAGAGGGTAAATCCCATTGAATTGCCAGTAAATCCCGCTAAATCCCTATAAACCACCATTAAACCACCATTAAATCACCAGTAAATCCCACTAAATCCCTATAAACCACCATTAAACCACCATTAAATCACCATTAAAACCATGTTACGTGACCCATCTCATTTTTTCGAGGTTTTGGACCCAAGCCCATCCGCTCGGAGTATGAAATCGAGAGCAGCCCGGGAGCAGACTATGTGGCCTGTCACCATACGCGCCTCAGAAGCACGGCCAAGCAATTGCCAATCCCAGCGAAGAATGCACGGGTCATGTTGAAAATTCTAGACATTCCAGTGGAAATCATCTAAAATCTAAAATCTAAAATCATATGTCATTTTTCATCTAACAAGGGTCATAAATCCCTATGAAATCCCTACAAAAATCACCATTTTCACATCCCATTCAGATTCCCATGGTTCAGTTCTCGCAATCAATCCCGATTCAAATTCCGATTCCCAGTCACCATTAGAATTCCACACATTTCCCAAGAAGCATTGAGGAATCCATGGGATTTTGATACCCAATCCCCATGGCATCCACCAGAAAACCCATTTGATTCCAGAAAATCATAGTCCCATTTTCACTTCCCAATAAATATATATATAAAAACATTATATATATATATAAAACATTAAACATTCACATTAACATTATATATAACATTCCCATTAACATTATATATAAACATTCCCATTTCCAATCCAACAGTTATGGCCCTCTACCTGGTATAAGTACTTATATCACCATTTATGGAATGTATAATCCCATTCATAATCAGTTATAACCATCAATCACTATCATAGCCACTATTAACCATTATTATATAATCACTATTGATCATCATTATCCACCATTAATCACTATAGAAATCACCAGTTAGAACTAATAGCCATGTCCATAACTGAAGATATTCATAAAATCCAGCATTTTTCCCATCGCTTTTTTCCTGGCTCCAGGTCCTTCCTGTCGAAGTTCGACATGTTGTCCAAGGTTCAGCAGTTTGCCATTTCGATCCAAACGTTGCCCGAGGTTTCCCCCATTTTTTGGCCGTATAAAAATGTGGATTTGCCCTATGAACATACAAAAAACATGTGGAAAACCATGGAAAACCAATGGGAAAATTCAATGAACATGATGTACAAATGCTCGATTTTCTACATCTATGTTGGTTTACAGGAGGGTAACAAACCAAAAATTGTGGTATTTGGTGGGATGTAATGGGTTTCTTTGACGGGAATAGCAACATTGTATGTTTTCAATTTTTAGCAATGATGATGGAATAGAACGCGGATATAGTGGGCTTGGCATACAAATATGCTTGATATTTGGGTTGCTCTGAAAAGTAGGTTACCCCAGAATTTGGTGGTTTTAGAACATCATTGAAATTGCAATTTGGGGTGTTACCATTTTCAGACAAACCCATGCAAGTAATGTGCCTGAACAATGAGCAGTATGTGCAATTAAGCTCTTGGTAACTGGTAACTCTAATTGGTACAGTATATATTTCCATGAATCAATACTGACAAAGAAATAAGCATATTAAATACCTGTGCCTCCTTTGTCAAAGCAGTACAAAGCCATGGCGTCTTTCATGTTCAGACGGTCTGTGCAGCAGAAAAGCCAGCTCAAATCTTACCAGAATTGCTTGTGAACATCTTGAGGGAACACCGTAGATGTTTTGCTTGAAAAAAAACTGATACCCTCTGGTAAATTAACAGTTGGACCCTGAAAATAGCACTTAATGGAAACTAATCTTCCAACCCCTATCTGCCAGGGTCTATGCTAATTTACCAGAGGGTATCCTGTAGATTGTCGACATGAAATCACTCTATTGAAATCTATCAATAAAAAAAAACAAACCATCACCTCCATCAGTTCTAGGCACGTGAGGGAGCTGCTTTCGTGGTGAACTGCCCTTGGAAGACGGTCGAGGAGCAACGGCAGAGGATGACCTGGGTTAACCGGAGTTTTTCTCTGCCCCGGTTGTGGCGTTTGTTTCAAATATTTGTTGGCATAACCTACAACATATGTGATGTTAACTACTTGAACATATGCGGTGTTCAAAGATTCCGGCTGTGTTCTATTTTTCGAATATGTTTGTTGGCATAACATTCCCCTAACATGATCCCATTTGAAATGATCCCATCTGATCATTCTGATCATTCCCCTAACATCATCATAGTATATCATAATCACATCCCCCATATTTTACAGCCTCTAAATGTCCCAGTCATATGTGATTTCATCCCCTACCAGTCAGCATGGTTTCTGGGACTGTAAACCAGGCCCTTTTTTCGGGACTGGGGGTTCCATCCGGCGGTCTCGCCACGGCAGATGGAAGACGAAATGGCCATGAAGAATGCGAAAAATCATGGGAAAAATGGGAAACATACCCTCTGGTAAACTAACATAACTATGGAAAACCACCATTTTTCATGGGTAAATCCACTATAAATGACCATTTTCAATAGCTATGTTAAATTACCAGAGGGTACATGTTTAGGGTTTCATGGGAAAAAGATGGAAAAAGTACGATGAACAGTGGGGTTTTGGGCTGTTTTTTTTGTCCATATCTCAAAGATGATCCCCATTTCCAAGACCCGGGTGGTTGATATGGATATTGTGCATACGCACATTTATAATCATTTATACACACGTATACACATTTGAGCCATTTTGAGCCACTAAAAACATCCTTATATCTCTATTTGATTCTGATTGATAGGTATTGTAATCGGGGTTATACTACCTGGCTTATTGGAGATTCTAATAGGTCATACCTATCAATCAAAGAGTATGCCATGGGATGGGAAAAACATGTTATTTTTTCATGGCTCATGGCTCGTCTCCAGTAAACTTATGTAGCTCTGGAAATCCACCCCCAAATCCTAACCATGATTCCAGGGTTCGGGAGAACAGGCTTCGGTCGTGATCAAATTTACCCAGCTATATGAAGGTTTCCGTTTTGTCATGGGGGTACCTCAAAATATACTTACACAAATATTCTTTACCCTCTGGTAATTTAACATAGCTATGGAAAATCACCATGATTAATGGGAAAATCCACTATTTCTATGGTCATTTTCAATAGCTATGTTAAATTACCAGAGGGTACACACAAATATGACCTTCCATTGATACACCTTGACTTCTACAAGTGCGTTTTGTCCCCCCGTTGTCCGCGGCCTTGCGCTCCGCGCGATCCCCGGCGCCCCAGGAGTTGGAACAGGAGTTCCCGGCCAAGCTCCGCCGGGCCGTGGCAGAGAAGAAGGCGCCGGTGACGAAATCCATGGGGAGATCATCCAAATTTATAGGGATTTATAGGGATTTATAGTGATTTATAGGGATTTATAGGGATTTATAGGGAATTTTATAGGGATTTAATTATAGGGGATCTCATGGGGATTAGCCTCTGGTAAACTAACATATATAGCTATGGAAAATCACAACTTTTTAGAGGTAAAGCAACGAGCTTTTCATGGGCCATTTTCAATAGCTATGTGAAATGACCGGAGGGTCGAAGCAAGAAACCAGGGCATTCCATGATTTTTCCTTGGTTCCATGTGTTTTCAAAAAATCCATGAAAAATCCCAGGGTTTTTTCATGGTGATGATCGGATAGTTGGGCAATTTTGATATTGACTGGTTGGTGGTTTCAAACATGAATTTTATTGTCCATTTCATATATGGGATGTCATCCCAACCCCATTGACTTTCACTCCATGATTTTTCAGAAGGGGTAGGTCAACCACCAAGCAGTTGACAGTTGGATGACTGGAACATCATCCCATAACCGATGATTAGTTGTGAATCCCATGATTTATCGCGGTTTTCCTAAGCCTAGTGGACTGGCAGGGTTAACCCACTCACTTCTGGTGTCTTGAAGGCTTCGTAAGTGGTTAATAGATGTTTTTTATTAAGTCCACTAAGTGGGGTTACCCCATTTATAAATGGACTGTAGTGGTAATCCCACTTAGTGTACCACATTTATAGCTATAGTTCCACTATAAATGTACATACATACATACATACATTCATTCATTCATTCATTCATTCATTCATACATTCATATATTCATACATTCCTACATTTATACATTCATACATTCATACATTCATACATTCATTCATTCAAACATTCAATCATTCATTCATTCATTCATTCATACATACATACATTCATACATTCATACATTCATACATTGATACATTCATACATTCATACATTCATACATTCAATCAATCAATCAATCATTCATTCATTCAATCAATCAATCAATCATTCATTCATTCATACATACATACATACATGCATGCATGCATACATACATACAGCGGGATATAACTATCCAATTTGGTTTTAAATATAATCAGATTTGGTGATTTAAGACCAACCACATGACAGCTATTGGGAGTCATCCACATTGTTTTTTGTTGATGAAAGTCAAATTCAAATTCCCCGGAAAGAAACTATCCCATCGTGAAGGCAACTTATTGGAATTCACATGATTAATGCATATTAATGCCCTATAAACATCTATAAACCCTCCGGTCATCAAGCACAGCAATGGTAAAACTGCACAGTCTATATGGAGCCCGAACTATATGGTGGATGTTTCAGCAAGCTATGATTGATTACCAGAGGGCAATCGTTTTAATGATGGTGGTTTATATGCTGGGAGCAATCCCAATGTTTTAATGGTGGTTTACCCTCTGGTAAACTAACATAGCTATTGAAAATCACCATTTTTAATGGGAAAATCAACTATAAATGGCAATGTTCAATAGCTATTTTGACATAACCAGAGGGTATATGCTGGGAGCAATCCCCATCTTTTCTGTTTTTGTGGGTGATTTGAATGAAAAAAAAATCCCTCTAAATCAACAAGGTCAAATCGCCTAAATCCACTCGCCCTTGTTGAGTACCCTCTGGTAAACTAACATAGTTATTGAAAATTGCCGTTTATAGTGGATTTTCCCATTAATAGCATCGTGATTTTCCATAGTTATGTCAAATTACCAGAGAGTATATTAACTGGAAATGGGTTAATTTCCAGCAGAATCTCAGCAGTGTTCCCATGAGAACCCCCCGTTTATCCATTTCAAACGGAAGAAATTCAGCATGTCCCATCATTCCCCCTTTAATAACCCATATAATTGGTCATAATTGGAGCACATAATCCCAAATTGTTCCCACATACAAGATGTTACAAGAGTTATAACATGTTACAACTATCAGCAAGAATCCCACAAATATTCCTATGAGGACGAATTAATACCAGAAGTAATCACATCAATCCTATGATGCATATGAAAACCCAGCATGATTTCCCATTTCAACTAAGTCATGAACAAACTACCTCTGTTGCTATGAGTTAATGAATTCGGGGTTTTAAGTACTTTTTCTGGCACAAATTGTGGGATTCTGAACTAGCCCATTTCACAGGATTTTTTGTGCTAACCAACCAATAGTATAAACCATAGTGCAACCCATTTAATATAAACATAGTATTATAGTATAAACCATAGTACAAACCATGGTATAACCAATTATCAGGATTACTGATTAGTCTTGGTGATTCGTCATTGTGATGTATACAGGTATAATATATAACTAACCCGTAGTATAGCCATAGTCGCACCAAGCCATTAACCCTTTTTTGTTCATTATGGTAAAGAAAATCCAATTTTATTCCATTATACATACTAGCCACAACTTTAGAAGACCTGCTAGTTCGTATATAGAGGTTTCCGTTTTGTCATGGGGGTACCCCCAGTCATCATCCATTGAAACTGATTTTCCATGAAATACACCACCTTGGCTGGGGTACCAGCCATTCGGAAAGCTAGCTACATATTATAAGTTCGTATAATGACCATGTCTGAATGGCTATGGCATGATAGGATATTAGCATATTAGTAATCATGTGAATAATATATCTATAGAGTAATATTATCATATATGATCTATTACCATTTTACCATTGGAAATATGTTTTTTCCCATTTACCATCTCTATGATTTTTTATCATATTGTAATACCATCTTATCTAGTACCATTAAAAATTAGGTTACCAGGTTTTATATAAAGTGGATTTTCCGTTAACCATCCAGCTATTGGGGTTACCTCCAGCAACGGAAACGGCGAAAAAACCGATCGACGTCCAGGTGGAGCTGTACACGATCGACGCCCACGCGGTCGCCAGCTCTGTAGGCGATGAGTTAGTGACAGTTGGTTTGTTTATTTGGAGAAGTGATGAACACTACAATGTGAGGCCCCCCAGTCATGTTAGTTGGTTTATAAGCCCCAGTAACTATAGTATTACTATAGTTATAAATACCATAAACCATAGTGACATTGGACTTATAAACCAACTTAGCTATCTTGGGGGCCTCACATTGTAAGATGACTTGGGGATTTCAATGATTTAAACGGATGAACTAAGTGATGAAAACCCTGACTTGGGGGAGATTTCATGATTTATGTATGGATTAAGTCAAAAGGTTATAGTAAAGCCGGATATATGTTGAATGGCGAACGCATCGTGATTTGAATCGGGGTTTCGCTGGTAAAACACCCACAATGTGGTACCCCAAGATGGCAGATCCACTCATAAACCATTTATGTTTTTGGTAATTTCATGTTAGGGTGATGGTCGTAAGTTTGGGAAATTATTCAACCTGGGAAAGTTATCAAAGTCAGGTTGAATCCCTGATTCTTACCTGGAAAATGTGGAAACCATGTTGAGGTTTGATGATTTCATGAAAACAAACCACAGTTTGCTGTCCAAAATATAGGTCTTGCATGGTGTTGCCCACCAAAGTTCGTCATGACTTGTGCTGAACCTTGACCATTGTTGACCTAATGTCGTCAAAAAAAACCCTGACCAGACCGGGGGAAAAAATATAATTACTTTTTGCATTACTAACCCTACAAGCTTGACAAGCAAAAGTGATACTTGGACTTGATGAGAACACATGAATGCGATGAATGCGATGTTGTGTCATGCTCCGAAACCCCGAAACCCCTGCCACAGCCTCAACGCAGCGGTACTTTGCCGCGGCCAACTGGATGGACGAGGCTTGGCCGCCTCTGGAGTTGCGGTCATTTCTAGGCCAATCAGACATGCGAGGCCTGCCGGACTGGATGACATCTGCAAGAATTGTCCACAATGTCTTGAGACTTGGCGAATCACATATCCAGTTGATTGCCCTGTATTGCAGACCAGCAACTGGTCAACAAGCTTCACTTTTCAACCAGCTGATGGACGTTGCCCTAGCACAAGCCAGACTTATCCCACTCCCATTGGTTATGGGTGACCTGAATGCCACAGACGCATCAAAGACATTCTTGCCCGGTGGACAAAGAGTCTCTCCTTGGGCACCTGCCGGGAGGCTCTCCTTTGCGAAGTGAATCGAGCCTTATTTCAGATTCAGATTAGTGAGTTATTTTTAGTTACCCAGATATAAGTTATATATATAATATATATATAAGATATTATATCATATTATATCATATTATATTATATTATATTACATTATCCCACTCATAGCCCCTATAGATCCCTTGGTTTTCGGTCTGACGCTTTCTCGGTCTGCCGGATTTGTGCCGAGTTCCAGGCCTTCCGGCGAAGCGCATCAACCAGGTGATGCAGGTGGGAAGGAAGGGGGATTTATAGGGGTTTATAGGGATTTAATGGGATTTACTGGTAATTTAATGGGATTTAGCCCCTGGTAATGACTAACATAGCTATTGACAATGGCCATTTATAGTTGATTTTCCTACTAAAAGTAGTGATTTTCCATAGTTATGTAAACGTTTACCAGAGGGTACCAGGATATGTTCAATGTTCTAGATGTTCTAGGTGTCAAGGATATGTTGAACATCCGTGAGGATATTTGTTTTTAGATCACCTTTCAAATATGTACATACAGGATGTTTAATGACAGAGGATATGTTTACAATGTTCTAGAGGATGTTTAATTTATATTTAGGAATTTACCATGAAAATTATGTAATATTATTATAGATGAACGGGATTGTTTAAAATGGGATTTAATGATTCATTATAAATGTTCTAGATGTGGGATTGGAATCATAATCAGCATGATGAGCAGGTTGATGACTCTATATATATATACCAATATGAAGGGGAATTGTCATGTGGTCATACCACTATTATATGATGTGTTTCTTTAATGTTGTTTAAATAAATATTATATATAGATTAAATGATGGTGGGATGGCAATACCCCATGTACCCTGTTTTGGCCGTGGCATATATGCAACCAACCCAATTTTTGGCAGTGAAATCGCTGAAAACAATGCCTGTTGAATCTCCAAATTCTCCCATATATTGTTTTATTTTTTTGTGTTTTTTTTTTCCAGAATGTCACCGATGATGATATCTACTGCATCTATTGGACAGGGGCGTCCAGGTCTTCTGCTTGGGGGGTTGCCAAAATCAAAGCAAGGTGAGAAACTTGAAATCTAAAAACAATGGCCCATTTAGTCCAATGGTTTACCTTTTTAAAATGATGGATCTTTCCATGGCTATGTTAGTCATAACCAGATGGCAATAGTATTGAGTTTTTTTGCATTCCCCAAATGAGTCTGGTGTCTCGTGTTCTACGAGTTTTTTATGGTCACTCCATGAGTGGCAAGGTGTTCTTTGATGCATTATTTGGGCATTCCCGGAAAGATTCTCGTTCCCAGAAGTGGTTGTAAACTGTATTGATTAGACAACATTATATCTGGTTGGTGGTTTGGAACATGAATTTTATGACTTTCCATATCTTGGGAAGAATAATCCCAACTGACGAACTCATATGAACTCATTTTTTTTTTCAGAGGGGTTGAAACCACCAACCAGATATGTATGTATTACATGTGCCATTGTCAAAAATTAGATAGCTCACTGGCTCAAACCTCCACGCGGTTGGGCTGGAACGTGTTGTGGCGCACAACACAACCAATTGGGCCATGCCGTTACCAATCCCTATGAATGCTTTCCATCACTGCATTGAAGTTGCAAAGGAGTTCTCATGCGCTACCTACATCTGTCCATGCTCAGACAGGCACACAGTCCTGCTGGAAAGATCGGACTCGATCACGATGGGTGCCAATCATGTGACTTTCGATGCAGTTCTCAGGTTGACAGGATCGGCAGTCAAGACAGGATTTGGTGACTACTCTTTCATGCCGAAGAGGTGTGCTCATGACCAGGACTTGCACTGGAGAGTGACGGTATCCATGTCGCAATGGGAACAGGTGGTATCGAAAGGACGGACTTTCATTGCTGTGAAGGCCAAAAGGTCCATGACAACTCTGGACACATCATCCCAAGGCTCCGGAGTACTGGCAGATCCAGATCGACGTGCATTTTCAACAGGAGATGATAGCTATGTGACAGCAGAATTCTTTTCTGGTGGCTTTTCTGGCTGGACTCAATCACTTAGACGTCTCAGTGAGTTGGGATATGAGTTCAGACATTTGCTTGCCGTGGATTCAGATGAGATAGCAGCTGAAACATATGCACGATCACATGGATTTCCTACGGTATTGTCCAAGGGCAACTATGGTCTCACGGATGAATTTCTGCCTGAGCACATCTTTGTACAAGACAGTATCCTCTCACCAGAATGGTATCATCTCATGTCCATCACAGGTTTTGACATGGTCATCAAATCCCCTCCATGTCCACCGTGGAGCTTGGCGTCCACATGTGAGGGATTGTACAAGGCAGACGGCCGCTTGACCATTCAGAGCTGGGGACTGTGCCATTTGATCAAACCGAAACTGGTGTTGTTAGAGAATGTGGGAAACATGAAACAGCACGAGCAGTGGCCTCTCCTCAAAAGGTTCATTGAGTGGTGTGGTTTTGCAATCCGTTATGCAAGGGTTCTCAACATGAGTGATGTGGCACCTCAGTACAGAGACAGGCTGATCCTCATCGCATCGCATGAGGATGCAGACACACAACCACACCTTTGCACAGGTTGGCCGAAGCTTGAGAGGCATACCATGGAATCGTATTCCAATTTGATGCCTTTGGTGGAGCCTTGGAAGTCCCAATGTCTGATTGACCCAATTGTTTTGAAGCAATACTTGGATCCAAACTTGTTGCCAAAGAACCCCAATGCCAAAGCCAATCCTTTGAAAAAGAGCCGGATTGATGTTGAGCAGTACCGCATTCGATTTCCACAGAGCTCCTTTGGGTGCGTGATGGGAAATTATTCCTTTGGTCATTTGCTCCCTTCGTCAGTGCTTTCATCGTTTGGCTTGTTTGGAACGCTTGTTTGCAGACCTGATGCATTAAGATTCATGACAATCCCAGAGATCATTATCTCCATGACAGCCGTGATGCCACTTTGGCTACCCAATGATCATCGTGCCTCAATGCGGTTGTTAGGCAACGCAATTTCAGTGCCACATGCTATGATCGCAGTGTGCAACGCTCTGGCCTTCCTGACTCCTTTGTCCTTTTGGGAAGTTCAAGACTTGTACAAAGAAGCAATCTCAGCACGCATGACATGTCAGAACATCAGATGGGAGGCCAAATGGGGGGGCATGTCATTTGAACGCAGTGACGAGGTCGCACCAACCATGCTCATGCATACATACCAGAAGATCACCATGGAATCCCCTGTGAATGCCTTTGCCTTTCATGCGGAAAAAGGAGTTGTCATCAAAGATGCCCTGAAGCTTTTGGCAGAAGACTCCATGCCCACGACAGTTTTCCTTCTGCCAGGAGGGATACATGATGCCAAAGTGAACTTGCCTTCCAGATTTGAGGTGGATGATTGCGATGTCAGGTTGTTTGCAAACGTCTCATGCGCACTCAGGACAGACTCAGGATCTTTTTCTGAACGCTCAAATCAATCTTCCTGCATCATTGTCTTGACATGTCATGGAACATTTGCACTGAGAAGAGACAGTGGCATGACCATTCAGGATGTCCTCAACACACTGAATCACCAGTTGTCCATTCGAACCACGCATCTTGTAGGGGCCTTTGGAGAAAAACATCCGCCTGAGATGATCTGCCCAGACGCTGTGATATCGTTGGATGTTGAAGGATCCTCGGACACACTGCAGAGATTTGATTACATACGTTTGGACCTGGAAGACGGTGAAATCAAATTTTTCGCATCTGACGCTGCCTTGCGTGAGTTTGCACAGTTGATCCATGAGACCGCTTTGGACCAGATCCTTGGTGCACTGGGATGGACTTTCATGATCTCGGCAGATTTTCTTGTTGACAGAAACATAGGATGCATTCGACTCATGCAGAAACCTGGAGCCTTCTCTTTGACTCATGATGACTTGCGGTTTTGCTTGGCAATCCACCTTTTCCTGATTCGCATCCGAAACTGGCAAGAGATTGGAAGGGAGCCCAACATCAGATGCAGGGTTAAGCTCTGGCATGCTTGGATTTGGGATGGCCTTGTTGATCCTACAGTATCGATGTTGCGATTTGATCAGGAGTGGGAAAGGATCTCAGGATGGTTCAATGTCACCAGACCGTGGCGATACGTCATCAACAACCACACAGTGAACCCGGAGTGGCCTTTGTCAGGATATGTCACCGAAGATGAATCAGGGGGATCTCACCTGAAGATCTTCATGATACATGGGCTTCGTGGAGGAGGTCCTGCCCAGCTTTGTTCCACATCCCAAATCCGCAATTCAGAAACCTCTGGAAATCTGAGGGATATGGCCGATTTTGAGGCGAGCAATCCAGAAGCTGCATTGGCTTATCTCCTTGGTCGCCTTGTGGAATTCCCAGCACCCATCAAGAGGGCAGACATTTCGGTATTCCTGGAACTTGAAGCAACCGTACTTGATGGCCTCCTTTGCATTCAGGGTAGTTTCGAGAAGCTCCGTGAATTTATGCACCGGATCAAAGTCTCGGGAACTGAAAGAACGCTTGCATTTGCAGGTTGGATGATGGCATGCCATTTCACCGCAGTGTTTGAACCTGTTCATGCTCAGATCATTTTCTTTCGAAAGCCGATGGTCGCTTCAACATCCATGGACTTCTTGCGTGATTTCCTGAAAGCAGCTTTGATTTACCTCGGCATGCCAAGACCACAGGATGACTTACCAGATGCCATCAAAACAAAAATCAAGCTCCATGGTGTCACGATCTTCCATGCGAAACTGGAGAGGAATTTCCCAATGCAACAACTGCTGGACACTTGGGACCAAGCTTCGACCATTTGCGATGATCCTTCTGACATCCGGCTCGTGAGTCATGTAGGTCTTGTCAACCCTGATCTCCCGTTGAGGTACTTTGGCAGGTGTGGTCCGGATGACATGACGGTTGCGCAGGTTTCTTTCATGAGACCCACTCATGGTGGTGGCCCAACTGATGTGAATCCAATGAATGCCCATGACTTCCAGATTCGTCAAAGGAACAATCTTGCATCATTCCTGATCAGCCAAGGCGTTGACATCACCACGTGCGTGCCCTTCATCGATTCGCTCTTGAAGGGATCAGGTCCGGAAGCTATCGGATCGATCCTCAGTTTGAAGTTCCCAGGCAAAAAGTGGGAAGCCCTCCTGAAGCTTGCATCGGCCTTGAATATAGCCATGCCACCGGTAGTAGACAAAGTCGAGAAAGCCAGACAGAGAGTGCATCAGAAGTTCAAAAACCATGCCAAAGAATTTTTTGACAACATGCCCATCGAAGCCCTGGTACTTCAACCTGGATGCATCAAGAACACTGATGAGACGGAGTCCCAACAGCTCCAAAAGATCACGCCAAATTCCTCAGGAGTTGTCCTGCTTTCGTATGACACGGCAAGACCTTGGATTGAACGGGGCACCCCAATTTCCCAAGATGAGATGTCGGTTGTGATCGTAGGCACATGCCTTCATCCCAACAAATGTGAATGTAATCCTGTGCAGCTTCCGGTACGCTTGAATGATGAACCTCTGGTTGTTTCAGGCTGCATGCATCACCTTGGGGCAAAGAAAGCAGTGTACACGGGTTCCGAACAGGACGACATTCCCATCACGGAGTCTCAGGTTGTAGCCATGACAGCATTCAGAGACGAAATCCATGAAACCGACTGGGATATTCTCCTTAAATCTCCAGTCAAAATGATGATGAAATTGCTTCTGGGGGATGCTGAGACAGTTGAGTTGCTTGCTCCGCCATGGGGACGTTCCTTTCAGAGAGCCGGCAAGAAGGTTCAACCCAATCTGGCAACATCCGTTCAGTGTCATGTGAGAATCAGCAAAGATGAGCTCAGAAAATTCCTTAAATCCTCAGGCAGTGCAGGCATTTACACCATTCCAAAGACTGAGGACCACAAGGTGCTCAGTGATTTTCAGGTCATTTGGATGAATGAATCTACTGTTGACTTTGCAGTTAGCCTTTCAAAGGTCGACAATCACTGTGGTGTTGTGCGTGGAAGCCGTGCTGATGGAAAAAGCAAAGGCATTCGTTTTGACAAGGCAGATTACTTGACAGCATTTGCCAACCTCAAGCCAGATGAAAAGCCACCGACCTTGGTCATTGCAAACCATCACTTCAAGATCGCACCGACACCGCTTGGATCAACATCATCCCAAGTCTTGGAATGGTTGCAAATTCAGGGTTGGGACGCAAAACCTATCAGAGCTCTCTCAGGTACATGCTGGTTGTGTGTCGCTGAAAGGAAATTTGATGATGTTTTCACTCAATGGAACGGAAACCCAATCTTGATCAAGTGGATCGACGCCAAAAAGACCACTCATCCGACGGTCTTGGCTGGGCAGTTCCTCAAAGGAGCAAAGAGTTTGCCTCAATCGGAAGTATCCACTTCGGCAGCATCATCAAATGCAGGTGACGGTGACTTTGAAGATCCCTGGAAGACGTACATTTCCCAGAAAGGACATACAGGCCTCTCCAAACCCCCAATGCAGACATGGAAAGCTCCAAGTCTTTCTATCATGGCACAACAGCCTCGCAAGATTGAAGCTCCGATTGAGGATCGTTTTCTTCGACAGGACACGGCTCTCCAGGATCTTAAAGTCCAGACTGACAAAGAAATCTCCCAATTGCGTGAAAGCCTATCCAAAGTTGAAAGAGCAGTGGAAAATCAGAGCATTCAGATGCAAGTCAACACAGAGCAGACGAACAATGAATTCAAGACCTTGAGAGCAGAAGCAGCCTCGCAGTTCCAAGCCATGACCAACTCTTTTGCAGAGTCCTTGAAAAATGCCATTACACACCACGACAGTCAGATGTCAGTCCAATTTCTTGAGCTGAAGCAGTTGATTTCGTGTCGTGGCAGTGGCCAGAGCCCTCCGCAAAAGAAGCCAAAAAATGGTCAGCACAATGATGACTTGTGACTAGGTTGCGTATGTCTGCAAGTGGACTTGATCTGGAAGATGCATTCACTCTTAATTCATGGCATTTTGCCGTATGGCCGCATCCCTGCATCGGATGGGTATGCACCTGTCTACCCATGTCATGCCCCAAATGCCTTTTCGGTATTTCTTCCGAGCTTTCTCAGGCTTGATGGGAATGCTTGCACAACCGCCGACTGGATGGATTGCTTTTTGGCTCGTCATACATTTCCTTTTGGTAATCTCAGAATTTCGATGTTGTTGCACTCAATGTTTTTCTCTTGTCATGTTGGCCAAGCAAAAAATCCAGGACCTGGTGATGACCATCGTATCACGATTGCAGTTTGCAACCCCACCGCAGTGTATGGAAAAATTAAACAGCTTGTTGGCCTCAATGCTGACATTATTTGCGCATCCGAAACATCTGCCACCAGTGTTATCCAGAAAGAGTCATCTAGAGAACTTTCCAAATTTGGTTTCAAGAGCTTTTGGAGTGAGCCGGTGGCTCCTAAGAAATTGACCCTTGACAACAGACCATCTTACAGGGGTGAGGCTGTTGGTACCGCTATTTTCACACGTGTTCCCTCCAGACAATTTCGTGGGGAGGTTCCCATTGTGCTGAAAGAATCCCAGCGTTTTTCTGCCTGCATTGTCCGTATAGGACAACTTGAAATCCTGGTTATAGCCTTATATGGGTTTGCTAACCGGCATAGAGAGGGTAAACGGCCAAATGACCTTCTTTTGGCCAGCATTATTCCATTGATTTGCTCTTCCGGCCTACCCTTTTTGGTCTGTGGTGATTTCAATGAACCTGTTGTCAAACTTCCGGCTTTTAGATTTTTCAGAGACATGGGTGTTGTGGAAGCCTTCCAATGGTATAAATCTCGTACGGGGGAAGACCTCCCTCCAACTTGTGCAGGGTCCACCAGAAACGATTCCGCATTCATGCATCCGATAGTTGCTGGACTCGTCATGGACATGCATGTGTTGTCAGACAACCAATTTGATCCGCACTCGCCGCTTTTGATTCAGCTCAGTACAAGAATGGAAGAGCAGTTTAGCAGTGCATGGAAAATGCCAAAGACGTGGGCTCCTTTCGCTCCATCACATGACCTCATTTCCAAATTTTATAAACCCATCAACTTTGAAGAATTTTTCAGTGATCCTGATGTCATGACACCAGATGAAGTTGAGCAAGCTTTTTTACTTTGGTCGCAAAAGGTTGAGAATGCTGTTGGTGCTGCCATTCGCAAAAGACACTTGGATGACCCTGAAGGTCAACCCCGCAAAGATTTGCACTCATCTTTCAAGGGAAGATGCAACTTCAAACAAATCACAACCAAACCGAGACAATCTGGAGTCAAATCCGACCGCCATGGTGGATACTCGCCTCCAAACGAGGTCTTTTCTCTGCAGTCCAAACAAAAGATTAGACAGGTTCGACGCTTGAAGACCCTGCTACGGAGATACAAAGTTTTGCCTTTGACGACAGGTTCTCCCTCCGATGGACACGCAGTTGCTGACGCTCTGAATGAATGGAAGTGCATATTGAACGCATGCGGTTATGGCAGCAAGTGGAAGAACTGGATTCTGGGCTTTGAGATGATCCCTGCCATACCTCTCAAGCTACCTGACATTGAGCTTTTGGAATTGGTCACTCAGATCACTCAGCTTGATTGCGACCATGCTTGCAAATCTGAAGCAAAGATGCGTGCTGATGCGTTCAAAAATCGCATTCAAGTTGACATACAACATGACTTCAGCAAACTGACCTACAAAATTATTCGTGCCAAAGAGACAGATAGCCTCCGGGAGGTTCCCGTGAAAAAGTGTTTCAATGCCGTGCTTCTCAGATCCAGGATCGGGGGTACTTGCCTTAGAATCGACTCAGACTTTCAGATTCCCTGTTTTGCCAAACTCAGATTGGGAGCGGCAAACCTTGAATTTTTGAAGCAAGAGGACAGGAAGATTTTCTTCAGACACATTGATGGATGTCTTGACAGCCAGGGCGTCTTGGAGGTTTCATATACAGCTTTGACGCCTGAAGAAATTTCGTCTGAATTTGCTGATTTCTGGAAACCCATGTGGCAACGTGATTCGAGACAACAGCAGTTTTCAGGTAAAGATTGGTCTGATTTCCAAGCAATTTTGCGTAATTGCGATCTACCACACATACCGCAGATTGAGATTCCATGGGATGATGTTGACAGATGGATGAAGATCATCTTCAAGCTTCCACCAGCCAAAGCCGTTGGACCTTGCGGTTGGTCGAACGATGAACTACGATGTTTACCAAGGATTTGCATCGTTGATCTCGTGTGGATTTTCAAGCAGGTTGCATTCGTTGGTTTCAGTCCCAATCTGATGAAAGCCAAGACAATTCTTTTGTCAAAAATTCCCACTCCTTTGTCGATGCACCATGCGAGACCAATCACAATTTTGAGTTGCTTGCACCGTCTTTTTGGGAAGTTTGTCTTCAGATGTGTCGCAGATATTTGGAAAGACCATTTTCCATTCCCCATCTCTGGTGGCCTGCCTGGTCGAGGAGTAAAGGAGTTAGCCTATGCACAAAAGAGAATGATTGAGGATGCGATCAGATCTAATGCAGTTCTTGGAGGCTACTCGCTTGACTTGATCAAAGCCTTCAATACTTTTGCACGATATCCATCAGCAATCATTATGCACCGACTTGGCATACCTTGGACTTTGCTCAGGTCTTGGCTTCACAGCCTTGACAAACTTGTCCGATTTCCATTTGTTGAGGGACAGATTTCAGTTGGAATCACCTCCACTACTGGAGTTCCAGAAGGTTGCTCAATAAGTGTACTTTCCATGCTGGCGCTTTCTTGCTTTTTCTACTTCAGAATCATCAGACAACACGTGTTTCCTTTTGCCTATGCAGATAACTGGAGTTGGATGTCAAAACAGCAACAAGCACATCTTACAGCGCACAGAGACGTTCTTGCAATGACCTCTGCCCTGAAGCTGTCAATCGACCATGCGAAGAGTTGGCACTGGGCCACAACAAAACAGTTCCGCGATTTTTGTATCAGCAATTGTCAGACACAAGATGGTACGGAAGTCTCTGTTAGATCGTGCGTCAAAGATTTGGGTGAGATCGTCCATTACAACAAAAGTGTATCCTTGGGCTTCATCAAAGAGAAGATTTCCGAGGCCGTAACCAGAGTCCATCGCATCGAGTGGATCCCATGTTCTCTTCAGAAGAAGGCCCATCTCATCCAATCATGTGCGTGGCCTATGGCTCTGTATAGTGCAGATACAACCTACATTGGAAAGAAGCATTTTGTGGACTTGCGTCGTGCTTGCGTCACTGCCTTGGTTGGACATTGGCATAGCGCTTCTCCAGTGATGTCGTGCAACTTTCTTTCCAAGTTTCTGGTGGATCCGTTTTTGCACGTCCTTTGCCAACGTGCCAGAATTGTCAGGAGGTTGGCCAAAACAGCCCATTCGATTGCAGTCGATACGGTCAAAGCAATGGTGGCGTACACAGGTCAAAGACCGTACGGGCCGGCTTCTGCATTTAGAGTGTACTTGAATCAAGTAGGCTGGACAATTGCCGAAAATGGTGACATCACTGTTCCTGACCACTTTAGATGCAATATCCTGAGAGATCACTGCAAAAAAATCATCAACACTTTCAGACAGATGTGGAGTTTTTCTTTGCTGAACCTCACCGACAGAAAAGGGATTGGTGATTTTCTGCCTGATCCAGCCATCTCCATCAGAATTTTCTCTAAACTGCAGGATGAGGAACAACAACTCATCAAACTCAATATTGCCGGCGGTTACCAGACGGATTCCATGAAAGCCAAATGGGATGACAAGGTCAGTGGCGATTGCGAATTTTGTGGTCTTCCTGACACTCGAGAACATAGACTCCTTGAATGTGATGCTTTGTCCGAGACTCGCCAAGAGTGGAGTGCCACTTGTCAATTAATCAGCCAAGATAGACCTGAATGGATTTACTTGCCTATCCCTCGACAACATCCTGAGACCGTAATCTTTAGAGCATGGACACAACTCATTCGTGACCCAGCCACTCCATCGATTGTCGTGATGGATGACCACCATTACAGGTTCTTTACGGATGGAGGAGCATTAAATCCAGAGATTGCATGCGCCAGAGTGGCTTCATGGGCAATAATCCAAGATGTTGCCAACACACAGGAACTTCGAAGAACATCCTTGGACTTCGTGTTTGGTCCCGAACCTCACTTTCCGACTTTCGTTACCACTGCTGTTGGTTTGGTACCAGGTGATCAGAATGTCGCCAGAGCTGAGCTTTTTGCGGTTCTCATTGCCTTGCGAGCCTTATGTCAGACAGACCCAGACGCAACAGCCGATTTTGTCACTGATGCCAAATATGTTTGCTTAGTCATTAGGGCTGTTGTGAATCGAACGTGGCAACGAATCTCTCACAAGATCCCTAATGTGGATCTTATTCAGGAAATTGATGGTTTATGGAAGCCTGACAAACACCGAATGATAAAGGTTAAAAGTCACGTTCCTTTTGAGCAGGCAACCAACCATGATGAACTTTGGAGATTTGTGGGCAACCATTGCGCAGATCTTGCCGCCACATCCGTGCTTAGCTCTATTCCTGCTGACATCAAAGCCCTCATTGACTCAATTGCCAATCACGTTCGTGTGGAAGAAAAATCTTTTAAAGATTTTCTTGGATACCTTGTGCAGTTCAACAGATGCAGACTTCAAAAACTGAATGAACTGAAGAATGGCAAAGGTGCGTTTCTGACTCAGTTTCAACATGCGAGAGCCGCTCCTTTACCGTCGCGCGGACTTTTTGATTCCAGTTTGATGGGAGTGGATGCATGCAATTTCCTGAAGAATTTCACTCCCGATGGTTTTGAAAGCATCCCCAACGTTGATGTTGATGATGAAGTCTTCCACATGTGTTTACAAGGCGCCAACTTAGGGAAGGCCCTTAAGACTTGGCTCGATTCACTGAAATGGCCCGCAAACGTTGCTGAGAAGGACACCACTGACTGGGGCATGTCCTGGTTTGAGATGGCTACATCCTTTTATTTGGCTACTGGCTTTCAGTTTCCAGTCAGAATTTCAGGCTCTGGCGCGAAATCAAAATACGTTCCTTATGGTAGTGACGATGCCATGTTGCTACCGAGCAATCACCGTACAGCTGCCTTGCAAGGTTTGTGCTTGCGTCACATGGTACAGAATCTTGAAACCATTTTACAACAGAAACTGATACCTTCACCTATCATTACAAAGTGTGGCTCTCTCATCAGATTGGGTTTCAAACCGCCGGTTGCGGGGGTCGCTCGGAGACCAATTTTGCCCAACTCTTGCGAGACCGTCCAGTTCACATGGGACTACATTTCTTCTTTGGAGGGATCTGGAGTTCTAAGCAGACCAATCTACAAATCCAACTTGCAACCGACAATGCCAATCCCTTTGATGGATGATCCACCGACGGCAGACAGATTCAACAAGTATGCGACTTTCATGCGAAGACTGCGCAAAGCACGCGCCAATGGTGGAGGTTGACGTGAAATTCGTAATTCGTTTGCTGTGCTTTCACTTCTCTTTGTAGTTTCTTGCAGTTTTAGTCTTCGGTACCCGCCACCAGTGCTTGGGGCCGGAGATTGTGGACGCCAGACTCCGCACGCACCCCGTCAAAAATTAGATTGTGCACGTACCCGATTTGGAGATGGTCATCTTTTTTTTGGGACTGATATACCAAGTAAGGACTCCATTATTGGTATACCATCTAATTATTTCATATACTCCATAAATATGGGTATAACAATAAACTTTATGATCACTCATCCAATAAGGGAGTTGACCATGACCCAATCTTTGACCTTGACCCAAACCATAAACCACAAAAACCATCTTTGACCATCTTTGACCATGACACATATGCTTGGTTGCAACATTTACCTCACTAACATGCCCTCATGTTTATTGGTGAAGCAGAGATTTGGGCTGGTAAAACCCTATTTTCTGGATAGTTGTGCATTCAGTTCATTTTAATTCATCAAACTCCACTGATCCGTGTTCAAGTTCCTGTGTATTTTCCACATCAGCCTTTTCAAAGGCTAATCTTCCAAGGTTTTTTTCCGATTTTCCCATGAAAATCACCCAACAAGTCCACTAGGGGTCACTTGCGAGGCCACCTTTTTCAACCTCTCAGGGATTTTGCCACCGGAGGACGGTCGATGGAGTCTGCTGATTGGGACCATGGTGTTTTTGAAAAATATGGCAACCCAAGATCCGGTTGAACATGTCTCAAGTGTCTCATCAAACAGTCCCAGATGCGAACCATGGTGCTGGCATATTTACATATATTTACCTACATTTGTTTGGCTGATTTTTGGGGTAAATGTAGGTAAATATTCCAGCACCATGGAGCATATGGGACTTGTTTTTTCCGGTATCCCCCCAAAAAATCATCCCATTTCCGGAGTTTGACCCAGTCGTTTTCGGAGAATTGTCCAGGACGCCAAGGAGCAGTTGGAGGGTGCGATTGATCGAATGTATGGCAAGAAGCTGGGAGAACCCAGTCGTCGGTGTTGGAGTTCCCACATCCCGGATGTGAGTGAGTTTGGACACAGGACATATAGGAACTGTAGGATGCTCCAATTTTTTTAAATGGTTGTTCATCCTATGTTTGATTGAGATTCCAAACAATTCTTCAATAAATTGATGGAGGAGTCCCAGAAATTTCACAGAAACCCATGGCAGGTACAAGGTGGGTCCCCCAAGATAGCGTTCAGTTGGTTTAGAAAAGTGGCTGAATTAACCATGGTTTATGGTAGATATAACGAACTAGTTAATGGTGGTTTATGTAAATAAATGTAAATTCATAGTATATATATATATATATGATATAATGGTCAATAAATGTAAATAATATGATATCATCAACTAGTTAGTGGGGTTTATGAACCAACAAACATTTCACGTTTCCGGGCCACGCCTTGTAACCTTGTATGGCTCATGACTCATGATCGGCTGTGACATGATGCTTCATAAGGATGAATCATTTTAATCCTCTGGTAATGACTGACATAGCTATTGAAAATTCCCCATTTATAGATATTTATAGTTGATTTAATGGTGGTTTAATGGGATTTAGTGGGATTTACTGGTAATTTAATGGGATTTAGCCCCTGGTAATGACTAACATAGCTATTGAACATGGCCATTTATAGCTGATTTACCTATTGAAAATAGTGATTTTCCACAGTCATGTTAGTTTACCAGAGGGTACCCAGAATCTGGTAATTTTGTGATAATTACAGATATATCTCTGCTACCCATAATTTGTTTCATGATTCACCAGTAGTTACTGTAGTTAGCATTACCCATATTATTGTTGTATAATATGGCTGAGGTTCAATGCAGTAGTATCGTTATATACTATCAAATGTACTTAATAAAATATTGTCATGAGTCATTACAATAAAAACCACTGCGATTAGATTTTTAGTTGTTAAGTGCAGTAGTATTGTTAATTGCGATCTGCCTGGAGTGTCCGGACAAATGGGGGTAGCCCAAAGCATTGCTTTTCCCATTGATCATAAGCAATAATTTGGATGATTCTGCGGTACCACCATTTTAGGAAACCTCCAGATAGGTAGATAGATATAAATATATAAATATATCTATATCTATATTATGTATGTATAGATTTATTATGTTTGTGTATATATATACACTTATATAACTGCATATATAGGTAGATAGTAATTAACCATGCCTGGTTCATTACTAAAACAGCTATAGCCAGTACTTGCTGGGTTATATTCCAGTTATAAGTGGGATAAGTAGGATTCATCCACTTATAACTGCAGTTATGGCCCGAACTATCATTTATAAGTGCTGAAATAACCCCATTTATGGTTTATGTATAATCCCATAGACATAACCAGTTATAACTAATAGCCATGGCCATAACTGTAGAGGTTTACTTGGTTAACATGGGGATATATGCGGATATATGTATAGTGTTTTCTATATCATTGCTATTTTACCCAACAACATGGGGAATATAAGCTGATATAACATTTATGGATTATTTACCAACATTTACCCCATAAATCACCCAAATGTAGGTAAATATACTATACATGGAGCATTTGGGTAATATTATACCCTTTACTGTGGGATATAAGTTGGTTTGGACACCCCATTAACATCCATAAACTGGTTCGTTATATCGACAAACCATCGAATTCAGCCACTTATAGTTATATCCCCAAATATACATATTAACTAGAGTTATATCTACCATAAACCATAGGATTCAGCCACTTAGCCTCTGGTGAACTAACATAGCTATTGAAAATGGCCATAGAAATAGTGGATTTACCCATTAATAGCATGGTGGATCTTTCCATAGTTACGTAAACGTTTACCAGAGGGTAATCCCCATTATATCCCATATAAATCCCTATAAATTCCCATGGTATCCCTATAAATCCCCTATAAATCCCTATAAATCACCATACATCCTCATGATATCCTATAAAATCACCACAAAAATCCTGAAATTAATCACCATAAATCCACATAAAATCCATATGATCACTGGGAGTACCCCCATATCTAAGCCATATCCCCAAGGATGGCTCCGTCGTATCGAGGTCTCCGGAGATCGTCAAGAGCAACAAGGCAGCGCTGGCGGCGGCGCCTGAGAACCTGAATAGGTCGCGACGGGAGATACGACGCGGGAGATCTGCTGAAAATGGGAGATAAACATGTAGAATCAGCAATAGATAGATAGATATCCATATAGATATCCAATAGACTGATGGATCTGCTAGAATCTACTAGATATCCATATAGATAGATTGATGGATAGATATATAGATTGATGGATGGATGGATAGATAGATAGATAGATGCAAACCCTGGGATTTCCCTGATTTAACCGGGCTTCGCCCTGGAAGTTGTGGAGATGCAGTTTGATGGAGATTCATGAGAATCCTGAGATTGAAATCCACAGAACTTGGATAGCCCCATACTAAATCTCAACAGTTTTTCACCAGCAGAAAATCAACAAAAAACTTTTTTTTTTAATGAAATAAACGGATACCCCCCATACTGTATGGATTCTGTGGTAAATATCATGTATAAAAATTAGATCCAAAGTATGGGCCAGTGGCTTGGGGTGGCTTGGGTTGTCTCAACATGGGGGATGTGCCGGAAGATGTGACAATGACAATACACACGCTTTTTGTTTGTGTGTTTCTATGTCAAACTAAATCGGGAAAATGACATAGAAAAACATGACATAGCACACACACACACACACACATAACCATCGAATTCTTGGGTTCCTCATGTCAATTCAGCCTCATCTGATGTACCTATGGAAAATGAGATGTCCAATCGCCAGGTTTGTCTAGTTATACACTGGCGTAAACGTTTAGATGTGGAAATCCCATAGTTTCCCTAGGAAAAATGATCGACAAATGGTGGGTTTCCTACATCTATATTTAATTTGCAGGAGGATTAGTGTTTTTTCCGAAGTGTTTCGTAGAATCGATGAGCCTTCACTGATGGGTTTGTACTTGTACTAGCGACTGGAAGTGTTTTGTTTGGGGGATTGCTATCTATTGAATCGGGGTATGTCGCAACTGAAGCTGTCCCCAAGTGTTGCCCCGCCAGGATCAGTTATCCATCATCATGGCTCACAGCAGAGGAAGGGGATGTCGGAGATGCGTAGAGCACCGTTTGAACCCAGTGAGAACGGTGGAAGAACACTTCGCAATCGGCCATGCCTTTGGTCAACTTTAGAAAATCATGTCCATTGATTTGTATGTGGGGTGTGTCTGAAAATTGGGTATGCAGCTATGCACCGAGAGTGTATGGCCACGAAATAAGAGGCAACACAGTCACATGCAATCATTACCCTCTGGTAATGACTAACGTAGCTATTGGAAATGGCCACTTATAGTTGATTTACCCATTAAAAATGGTGATTTTCCATAGTTATGTTAGTTTACCAGAGGGTAACCATGAGACTTTGCGGATGTTTCCCTGCAGTTTTCAAAGCAAATCCAGCGGTTTCTAAAAAAGTTCCTGCCCTTTACCAACTATAAGTCAGCTATCCAATGTATATCCATGTATGGAATGATAGTTATATAATATATATTATATATTATATTATATATATAATATATATAATATATAATATATTATATATAGTATTATGTTATATATATATATTACATGTATATATGTATTATGTATTTTATATAATATATAATATGATATAATATATATATTATAATATGATATATTATAGATATAATATAATATAATATAATATAATATATATAATATAATAGATAACATATATAATATACAATATATACTATATATAATATAATTTAATATAATATAATATAATATAATATATAATATAATATAATATGATATAATATAATATGATATGATATAATATAATATAATATGATATAATATAATATAATATGATATAATATAATATAATATAGTTCAATTTAATTTAATATAATATATATATATAATAATAATAATATCTATATATATATATATTATATTATATTATATTATATTATATATAACCATATTGACATTTATAACTTGGAAAGGTCCATAACTGTAGCCCGTTTCGTTTGGTGCACCGTCTCTTTTTCGGAGGACAACGAACACTCTCTGAGGAGGATGAACCCTTCAGCCAGTCCCTACAGCCCGCAGTTGGACGAGTTCAGCTCAACCTTCCTGAAGTGCCTTGGTCGTTGAACAGCATGATTCCCTCACTTGATGATTAGTTGGGGGATTATCCATGGAACTAATATCCATAATAAAATCCATATACTGCAATTTATGTTTAAGAATAAACCCACCTGTTGGTTGATGATTAAAGGGGATTATACTACCCTTTATATATTAGGGATTATAATAATCCAATAGGGGAATCACTATAAACCAACCAGTATAATGGAATAATAGAGGAATTTTGAACACTGCTCACTTGTATAGTTTTGACCTAGTCCACATCAGTTGAGCTTTGCTAGTCACAACCAGTTTCAAAATCAATGAACAGCTGCTGGTTGTTTTTTGTTGAGGCCCTGATTAATAAATTATACCATTTGGATATATTTGGATCCAAGAAAGGTAGATGGATTGACAGTGCTTACGGTGATATTCCAGCTTTCTGTTGGGATGAGTGTTGCCCATGATGGAAAACCCAAGAAAAACCAGTCGATGGGCTCAATTCTTGTGGAGCCTGTGGGACATACAGGGTTGCCTGGTGGTCGATCAGTGACTAGGCCTGATACTTTTTTTGACAAGTCAAAGCGCCCATGTTCACAAGTCAAAGCTTAGATAGCCACTATATATATATACGAGTGATATAATACGGATGTAGCTCGTGATACTTACTTGTTCCATGCCACAGAGTTTTTTGCTCAGAAACCGCTTCTGACTGAAACCTGGATGTTCAAATCCCCACCGGTGAAATCCATTTCCAAAAGGTTTAAACAGGCTTGTAAAGATAACTTTGCCAGTTCTTGGAAAGCATGTCTATCTTAAAAAAAGCCATGTCAACTGGATATAGTTTTTTATATATCTAAAATTTTCATCTACGCATATCTACACATATTTAATTTAGATTGAACCAGTTCTACTATAAATAATATGGAACCTGTCGATTTTTTGAAAGCGGCTATGTCACCATATTATTCCCATTTTACCATTTAAAGATTTTTCAAACAATGACAACTAAAAAAACATATGGGTCACCATATGATCTTAGTACAATCTTAGTACTATGTCCACTTTTTCAGATTTTTCACCATTTCGCTTGGTAACCGTTGGAGTTTTTCTGAAATCCACCATGCCACGTGCCACGAGACGAAAGGAGTATCGATTCGCGCACCGCGGATGAACTTGCCGTTTCTTGGCCTCGAAAAATCAAATGTTCGGTGGATCGCTTGGGATGGCGAAACAATGGTGACATGACTTAGCAAAAATGGTGCTGACTGGAACATTGTTAATATTGGTTAATCATGAATATATGGCTAATTAATATGGAAATACATGGTTGATATTAATGGAATTTGGTGACTTTCCATTCAGTTGGGAATGGAATAATCATCCCAACTGACGAAGTCCATGCTTTTTCAGAGGGGTAGGTATACCACCAACCAGAAAACTTGGTAACAAGATGAATGGTTTTGCTGAAATCCAGGTTTAGAATTGGTAACATTCTTTAAGTATCTTTAAGTAGCCATTTGGCTTGGATTTCAGCAGGATTTTTTTAAATCGGCACATGGGGATTTCACGAGGGAGCAGTCGCAGATGATTTATCCACCAACATGACGAACATGACGACCCTGCCATGAGTTGATATCATGGGACATCACTTTTCAGTAACGGTCCAAAGTGAAGAAACATTTGGAGACTTTGGGCAAATTTTGCGACTTCACAACGACCAAAAAACAATCCAAGAAGTGTGAAAACTAGTATACGGTGAAGCATCCAACAAATGACGCGCAGACCTATGTCATATTTCCAGTCAGCAGACCCGGTCGCAGAGCCTTCTGACGATCTTTCCGCCCGATGCAAATTTGAGGTCAGTGCCTTTTCACCCGGGGGTGAAACACCAATCGGCCAATCCACACATCAAAAGAGGGCTTTGGCCGAAGAAGTTCCTGTCTGGATCCTAGTTACATAGTTGTGCTTCCAGCCATTCAATACACCACACATCACGTTCAATACACCACACCTCTGATCATGGGTATCGAACCATCTCTGGTTGGTGGTTTGGAACATTTTTTATGTTTCCATATATTGGGAATAATCATCCCAACTGACTAATATTTTTCAGAGGGGTTGAAACCACCAACCAGATCTGAGTTTGGGGGCTACATACCTTTCACATGCAACAGAAATGGCTGGAAGTTGAGACTGCCTTCATATGATGCGCCTGCATGGAACGAACAGATTAGACACTGACTGCCGTAAGATATGGCAAGTAGTCCTCAAATGGCAAGTAGTTAGGATCCAAAATATCATAACCAGGTTCGAATTGAACAGTTTCATTCACTAGGGAATAGATCTAGATAAGAAACCAACATTTATGAGTTTCTTCGTCTTCAATTTTGACATCAATCACTATCGAGTGACCTGAACATTGTAGCATCCAAGCTCACAGACAGCTGAAGAGAAACGAATCTCCGCTGTTTAAGCTTTGCTGTTTTTTTTTGGGATCAACCACCAGTGTCGTCACAGGTGTGGCTCCCAGATAAATGCACTCAGTGCAACTTGTGCAGTGTGGTTTGCCCACACGCCGTGGTCCCTGGCCAAGAAGCCCGCGGGTTGGGATGAACATGACGAACCCGGCCCGGCACTGCCACCCATAACGTTGGTCACCAAAAAAAACACTGTTTTCGATACATGTGTGGAAGAAGCCATGTATGTTGGGTGATGGTTAATAGTGGTTGGCAATGGTTGGTAATGGTTGGTTGATGGATAATGTTTAATGATTTATAACTGGAAGAACCCATGTATACCCATACTGGTTGGTGATTTGGAACCATGGAATTTTATGACTTTCCATTCAGTTCTGAATGTCATAATCCCAACTGACTTTCATTTTTTTGCAGAGGGGTTGAAACCAGAATAAAATTAGAATGTCATGGGAAAATAGGTGAATGATGATACACAAGTGGATTTGGGGGTATCCCTTTTTCAGAAAACCCATCTACAATATATATATATATAATTATATATACATATACACAAATATTGCAATCCAATCTGCTGTGGGAAGCCGCATCAATCATGATCATGATAAATCCATCTGACGTGTTTTCAGCGCCACCAGTCGGCATCTTGGGACGTCAACGCTTCAGGCTGTAGGGCATGTCTTTGCACATGTGTTTCCCATAGTATCACCTTGTGAAAGCCCGGGTTTTTTCGACATACCGGATCCCGTGCATCATCGATTCTCCTGGATAGCTAAGGTGAGACCCTTCTTGCTGGACAAGAAGGCAACTGTGGCTGTGTTCCACCTGTGTCTCCACGTAGGGTTGTCTCAAAATCTGGAACCTCGAAATCTCTTGGAATATCGTCGTGTTTTGCAACAATAAAATTGCTATAAAATTGGGAACAAAACTCTATCCACTATTCTCCATCATTCATTGCTTGAATCATCTTTTTTCACCTGTTTTTCCTGCAAAAAAGTCCCCGTTCATCCGATGCAACCCCATCAAATTCCCACATGAAAATTGGTCACATCTGAATTATTATTCATTAAAGTATGCATTGGTTTATTATTCATAAATCCAAACTGATTATCCAGCTCTTAGCTGCTAGTTATCGCGACAAAAATCCCCATCCCATCCACTCTCCAGATTTATTCGGGGGAATTGGCAAATTGTTAACTGGCCAAAGTGGATTAATTCCATTAAATGGATAATCCAAATATATCCAAATTATTTGGGATAATCATTAATTGCCAATTAATAATGGAATCTGCTTCAAATCCATCGCTGAAATCCCTCTGCTTCACATCCCGCAGGAGATGGAGCAAGCTCCTGAAGGTTTCGTGGCACGGAAGGCCAAAGGTGGAGACTTGGGAGGTGCGAAGGGCGGGGAGAACGAACTAGGGAAGTTGGTTCTTCGAATCTTTTGAATAGCAATAAATATATATGTTGAATATATTTTGATGTTGAATAACCATATATTTTATAAGATTATTCTAAGATCTTGTAAGATGTTTTAAGTATTGGCTTAACTGGGATTGATTTTTGGGGACATATCGTAGTGCTTAGATGTCCTCTTGCTACTGATGAAAAGATGGCGGCAACTTCGGAGTGCAAAAACTTCCTAGAGATTTCTTTCACGAAAGAGGGAAGATCAGCTGCAGGATGGTGCCCCCGTTCGATAGCGTTCAGTTGCTGCGTTTATAACTCCAATTTCACTATCATTTTAGTTGCTGATATATCGATAGTCTATAGTCAATGGGCTTACAACAAATTTATATTTGGGGATTCTGGGGTGGGCACCACCTTGTAACCTTGTGGGTGTTTGATTTTTTGTTGGATGTCGTATCTACTCAAGGGATTTGTTGCCCCATGGTGGCACATGGAAGATGGTTTCCAGAAGTTTCCAGGGTATCTACACCTTGGTTCCCTGTAGTTAGCAAAATTGTTTTTTTTTTTTTAAACTATGTTGACTAGGCTTTTACGGCGTATAATATATATATATATATATGTGATATATATATATATATATACACTGTACATATTATATATATATATATGTGATTTATAAAATATAAATATATATATATGCACGTATATTATGTATGTGTATAAAGGTATATATGATAATATATAAATATATATGTGTGTTTTTGGCTACTGCACATAGCTGCAATCGCTGCGGCACTGCAAAATAAATTCTGGTCACGCCAACAAAGGCCTACAACCCAAAGGCATATATATATATATGTATTTACATACACATCATACAATGTGAGGCCCCTAAGATAGCTAAGTTGGTTTATAATTCCAATAAGTATGGTTTATGGTATTTATAACTATAGTTACTGGGGTTTATAAACCAACAAACATCACTGGGGGGGCCCACATTGTCTGTATGTATACTTGATCTATAGCTGGCTGGATTTAGCCAAGTTTTCACTGCAAGACACCATTAGGCCACCTGGCTGTGCAGGTCTCAACTATACCATTCAGTTGGCACCTTTTGACTGCACTGGCTGTGCAGTTTGTGTGGAGTAACTCGGTTTCACCAAAGTTGGAGCGGTGAACAGAGTAAGATATTGGGTAGGATATAAACATATGGTACCCCCCAAAAAAAATTACCTACCTTCTCATCACTTTTACGGGTATTTGCAGTGTTTCGTGTCTATTTTTTGGAATGGTTTTAAAATCGACAAATTCGGAGAGTTTTGGGTATTGGTTTTCCCTCTAATGGGTACCATATATATATATACATATGTGAATACACACACAGAGGGTAGTAAGCAGAATGTTGATTTTGATTCTTCCTTGTACTTAGGGCATTCTGCATTCTGAAGGAATGCATTCAGAATGCATTCTTTGCAAAAACCAAGATCCAAGATCCAAGATTCACACAAGACTCCTGATCAAAATCTTGGATTTCTAAAGAATTTTGATAGGGATTGGTAAGGGTATTCTGGCAAATCCCAAATCCAAGATTTGCACAAGACTTCTCCGCAACTCTTGGATCATAGATTTGGGGAAGAATGCATTCTGAATGCATTCCTTCAGGCTGTAGAATGCCTAAGTACAATTCTTGCAATCTGAGTTCGTACCCCTTCCAAGCTATGTCTTAAGTCTTCTTAAGTATAATTTACATTAATTTACGTACCTCCAAGTACCTCAACCTCTCTGCAAAGTTTCCCTTAAGTGGTGATTCAACCCTCATGAAAAAGATCATTCGACTTTGGGTCTTTTCCCCAAACCTGAAAAAGGCAGTGAAAACATGTGAAAACACTTTAAATGACTACAAGAAATGATCAAACATGCTTCCTTCTCTTGAAGAACCAATTCTAAGTGACAAGAGCAGGCTTTACAAACAGACACTTCATTCAAAGGGTGCAGCATTCCTTAAGCAAAATAGTATTCCCTTTCAATTGGTAGCATTCCTTTACAGAAAGCCGCTTCTCTTGAAAATATATCTCTTCATTTCGATCAATCAGTGTTTTTTTCCAACATGTAGATATGCATTCTTAATTCACAGACCCATTTCATAGCGTACTAAGTACAATACTTCTGGAAGGAAGAAACACGTTGCACAGACAGTCCCTGCAACATACAAGGCATCTTCCAATCAAATGCAGTATCTCTTCAAATCAAATAAGACTATCTTCAGAAATGTAGCCATTAATTACTTTGAAGAACATACATGTTTTTCTCTAAGTGACACTATATTTGTTGAAAAACAAGTTGTATATTTAAAAGAACATGCTGCACATGTGGCACAAGTACTGCTACATTGTGCTTTCTAGAGTCAGTATGCCCCACTGTTTTGACAGTAATTGTGTATACTTGAAATTAACAATTGTGAGCCGTCTTTGCTTAAACAGAAACATCACAAATGCTACCTTTGTGAGATTGACAGTGCCCCTTCTGAAGAAAAGTGACTTGAAAGGGCACAGCATAACTTCAATAAGAAAGCTCTTTTAGTCTATGCAGTATTCACTGGGAACAATAATAGTTCCAAAAGAGTTGTAGTGTAGCATTACAAGCAGGCAAAGGTAGTTTTTTTTGGGGGGGGCTAGCAAACATATATATATATATATAAACATAAACAACCTATTCTCAAGAAAATGCTGGGTAAGATGTGCGTAGGTGTGGTAAGATCCTGTCTTGACATGTCCTGTCATTAAGATATTGACTTCCCGTACTGCAGAGCCTGCAGATGAATCTCCAGGATAGAATGTTCAGGGGCTGTGGACAGAACTTTTCTACCCGTCGAAGAAGCAAATGTTGTTACAATGTTGTTGGTACAAAAAAAGGTCAGCCTGTTTCAATTGATTGGCGGTGACAACCATGTGTCGGTTGGCAATGACGCAAAACTAAACACCCTCACACTGGGCAGATGAACATCCCATTCTATTGCAACATAGTATATACCCTCTGGTAAACTAACATAGCTATTGAAAATGGCTCATTTATAGTTGATTTACCCATTTAAAATTGTGATTTTCCATAGTTTTTTGTATGTTTACCAGAGGGTACTTCTTTTTTCAAGTCGACCAGGATGTGCCCTGATGATGCATTGATCATGGAGCCTGCCTCACATTCACAGGACGGAGACACACCGCCGGGCCGGGCATAGGGAGCTGGATCATCTTGGATTTGTATCCCTCATCCGAAAAAGAGGAGTTGATTGCTATCCCCTGAAGTAACCTTCAACGACCCTGCTACTGCTCCTCGGTGTTGGACACATCTTTCCAGTAAAGATTTGCGATATGTTCAGGCTCGAAGTGTTTCTTTTCACTGGACAACATGCGACCGGGACTGTCCCCAAACTGAAGAAATTGGCCAGGGCAAACTGAAGCACGGCGAACAGGATGGACATCCAAGGATCGTATCAATCAACCACCCAGCCAGTGATACGTATTTTTTTACCGGTGCTGCAATGCCCGGACCCTTGTGGGGTTGATAGTATCTGAATTTATGGCCTGATGACGAAGTCATATTTTTGTGACTTCGAACATGTTGGAACTAGCAGATCAACTATAGTTCAATCACTATAGTAACTATAAAGATAACAACAGGGACTATATTATATAATATTAGATGATTTCATATAATATTATATAATACTATATTGATAACTATAGATAACTGTAGATACCAATAGCAACTGTAACTTTAGTACAGCACTATAGATAGCAATATTGTGATCTCGGGAGATTGCCTGAGCGACACTTTCTGATGCCAGGAGAAATTCAACGACCACTGGGAGTACTCCCTCAACAAGGCCAGTGATAGGAGTTACTGCCCAAAAAATGAACCGTGGCAACGGGAAATAGCGTCTCTTTTCAATGGCCATTTCAGGAACCTAAATTGGAAGTACCTACCATATATAAGGCCTATATAAGGCCTAAATTTCAGGGAATATCCCTAGAAGATATGCCCTTATATAGTACATTCCCATTGATCTTTGGGTTTCTAAATGGGAACATCATTGCCACGTTTCACCAGAGGAGACACCGCTGAAAAGTAGAAGATGGACATCTGAAACCTTTCAAATGGAGCTACCCCAGTTGAGCTTTTGATGTTTTTTCATGGAAAAGAAAAACGTGAAAAAGCCATTTTTCAATGGATGATAACTGTAATAACTGGGGTCCTTTTTTTGTGATAAAATCATGGACCGCCTCATCTATTCAGATTGGATCTTGATCAGCTTCCATGGGGTCCATCATGGTCCATCATGGTCCCATCCCAATGGATTTCTATGGATTTCTTATGTATCATCGTCCCATTTTTCACAGCATTAACAGCATTTCATCCTCCTTGTTGGGTCGATGAGTCTGACACCGAGGTGGCAGTGAAAGACAACTTGATGGAGCGGGGTTCAGTGAAGGGCTCTCAATTTCAGGAGCCTCTCATTGAGTTCAGCACTTTGGCAGTGAGAAACCGCTTGGGGGTTTGAGATTAGAGTCTGGAATTGTAGGGCAAACATCGTGAGGAAATTTCAGCAAGAGTCTTCGCGGGCAAGAAAGTCACAACATCACCCACAGCACCCATTGAATAGCTTTAACAAATAGCTTAAATTTGATGTTAGCGTAAACGTGAGCAGATCAGCAGATACCATGCAAACCCGGGAAGTTGATGTAACAGCCAAACATGAGATATTTTCATATATTTCCAAGTTTACCAACAATTGCTGTGTTTGTGTGCTAAAGAACTCACATGCTTCATAAACATTGACATATTGAATCCGCATCATCCGCACTTTTTATTCTCCCTCTTTCAAAGTGAACTGCCATTTATTGACACTTGGGTGTGTAGAGCCTACAGGTCTGGAAACTTTTTTTTTGCAGCTTAGATGTGCTCAGATAACATCCATTGTTTGTACATTGAATGCCCGTTCTTTTTCTGACAAACACCCACTATTTTGGTTTGTCCAAAGATTGGTTACACCTCAAATCCACTTCTCCATCATATTTCCCTTTGAATGGCCATAATTTCATTGGGAGATTGGACGATATCTTCATTCTGAGACAAACCCGAGTGAATGGTTAACCCACTGTATCCCCATCAAAAAATCACCCCTTGTTGATGCTTCAAACCCCGCAAGTGCGGTCAACCCAACAATAAACCATCCCCAAGTCATCACGATTTTATGGGTGCTATGTTTACCATCCCCAGTCATGGTTGTTGTTTATGGCCGCCTGGGTTTCCCACATTATATCACCATTATATGATCACCAACATGCATACATACATATAATCATACATATATTATATTCCGATTATTGCACCAATAGTCACTATTATTAAATGCAATTCAGACAACCCCATCTCAGTGTAAAACACATTTAAAAACCACCGCAACAGAAAAACACCCAGGTGGTGCTTGCAGCGGCTGTGGAGAGACCCCCTATGTCAAGCTCTTGACGCAGATGTTCGGCGATCGCAACTGAGCAGAAACCAATTTTGGGTTCAGCTGTTGATAAGTGATTTTTACATAATTTTACCACCTTTACAACCTCCATGGGTTAGATTTCAAGTGGTGCAAAATCTTCAATCTTTGGATGTGTCCTGAAAGAATTATGGAGATGATGTTCTGAACTCTTTCTGATAATTTCTGTATCTAGGGGGATCCATTGAAACCACCAGACTGTTTGATTGAGAACATTGACAGATACAGATATTGATTATATGAATCTCGAAACACTATGAAATAATCGCGTCCTAAGACGCGAAATCTGCACGCAGATTTTTTTCAGTTGGTGGGCCCCCAGATCGGAGGAAAGGACAGCCACAGCATGCCACAGCCAGGCATGGTCATCGCCAACAGCAGTGGTTGCTCCTCTGTTTGGGGAGGATCTTATGGTTTGAGTCCCTTCAAGAAGAACCGGCATGGACAAGGCGTGGCCAGGCCATGGATCATCTTGGATCCGGACTGTGGATTTGTCCAAGCTACTTGGAGATATCACCAGTTATGGCGATGTTCATGTAACTGGGGATATATATATATATAGGTATAGATAATTATTTATATATATAAACCCCTACAATAAATCACATTAATATGTTTCATGGTGTATGTGTCCTCTACATATTCCCCCAGGCAAACGGATGCTCAACCATGATATTTAGGGCTTTGGCAGATCCGCAGCTGGGAACAGGGACCCTGGTGCCCAGCAGTTTCAAGTTGAGGTAGGAGATCGCAATGCACCTACCCTCGGGTAATCTAAAATAGCTATTGAAAATGGCCCATCTGTAGTTGATTTACCTATTAAAAGTATTTAAAAGCCGTGATTTTCCATAGTTATGTTACTATGTTAGTTACCAGAGGGTATATAAGTTGTAGAGATACTTGTGGGACTGGAAACCATGCGTATATTTGACCAAAAAACTGATGCACAAGTCTGCTACAAGATACATCACCTGTGGCCAGAAACCGTCAAAATCTTGGATCATGTCAGGGCCAATTTTTCTAACGGATTTTGCCAAAGTGAAATTCGGAATGATCCATTTCAAATGTCGAGTTTTGCTCCCCTCTGGTCATATACCCTGGCCACAACCGCACTCACTCTATTCCATCCACATCGTAAATCAATTTGAAGAATAATGTGGGATGTTTGGGGAATGTAGTCAATGTATGTCAATGTATATATAATATATCACCATGAAATCACTAAGAATTGCATTCTTAATGTCATATGATGCTGTTGACTCCAGGCCCAGCATGGGCTCGAAGTCTCTTCGAGGCGCCACGAGAGAAACGGAAACTCATCGGAATTCTATGGAAAATGAGGGAATGAATAGCTGGGATTTATGATATTTATTGATCTGAATAACACTATGGAGGATGAGAATAGCTGGGAGTTATGGGAAAGTATGGAGGATGAGGATAACTGGGATTATATGGATATTACTTGGATTTTTTTCGATTTTACTGAGAGTTATGGATCTGAAGAACCCCCCATTCCGATGGTTTTCGGTCATCCAATCGGTTGGATACGAAGGGTAGTACTTAAAAATTGACTTTGCGCCATGGGAATTGATATACATTCACCAGCTAAGGAGATTTTTTGGTACCTAAGATTCACCATGAATATAGGAATTCTATGGAAAAGTCTGGAAAACATATGTTGATGATATGGATATGGAAAATGCGTAGGAATGTTGGAATTATGGTTATATGGGAATCTTTCAATTATTTGTTGATTGAATGTGATTGTATTATACTTTATTGTTATGGTGATTATTTGGGATTCTTTTCCAATATGGGAATCATATTGATCACAAAGGAATTGTATGTCCCATTATAATCATCATAATTCACCATGTGGAAAATATAGAAAAATGGTGATTATACGGGAATCTTTCAATGATCTGGTGATAAACCATGGAATTATTGTGGAATTATCATGGGGTTATAAATATATACTTGGATGATGGGGATTTTTTTGTGGGATTAGAATGGTGATCTGGTTGGTGGTTTGGAACAGTTTTTATTTTTCCATATATTGGGAATAATGATCCTAACTGACTTTCATATTTTTCAGGGGTTGAAACCACCAACCAGTGATTGATTGGAATTATTTCATGGATTCAAGTTAAAGGAAAACTGTTACAGGAAAGCATGCTTAGTCAATGGGTCACCTAGAAACAGCTCGGGGATTTCCTGCAAAACTTCGGAACCAATTCGGATGGATAGCTCGAAAAAGCTCGAAAAAGGTGACTTTCTGAAGTGTCAAAAGATGTCAAAATTTCCAAAGGCCCTTGGGGACGAAAGGATTAGTTTAGGCATCCTTTGGTTCAGAGGCAATTGCATCAATTTTGACCTCATCCCAGCCAGATGTGATGAAAAATGGGAACCCTTTAAGGCCATCATCTTTGATCACTGAAAACTTCATCACAGGTATCACCTTTGATTTTTAGGTATTTATAGGATTTTCTTATCCTATTCCTGCTGTTTTGATCCGTAAATCATCAATCACCTATAAAACATATAAATCATTAGGCTTATAAATCATTATCTTAATCACCCATTAATAATACCTATTCATATAATAATTTCGGGCCATCATTGTACTGATTAATAATCACCTTTTTTTTACCTATGACAATCACCTACTGTTGAACTCACAACGGATGCACTTCGGATCCGCAGGACACGGCCGAATATGGCCTGGGGATGGCCTTGGGCTCACAGCAGCGACGCGAACGATTGGTGGCCGACGTGCGCGAACTCTTGGAGGAGGTGCGCGGTGATGTTTTTTTCTATTTCTTGGGATAAAAAAACGGAAAAAAAACGATAGAAAAATGGTGATTTAAGCCTCAAGAACTGGTTTTTTCATATGTTTTAACTTTTAAGCATGAAAAATTAATGATTTTGTTGGCTGATATGATAAGCACACTTGTATCCATGTGGATCCAAGTGCCTTCCAGGGGAAGTACTTGGGGCATGATTTGGGGGGTCAAATACCTTCTCAGATTGTCTTTGGATCCATAGGGAATTAAATTGGTTAATATGCATATAATAAGATATAATAAGGGCCATTTATACAATGTGGTACCCCCTAGTTATGTGTATTTGTTTACAACCCCCATTGTCTAGTTCGATAAATCTACCATGACCCTAGTTGTGTTAGTTATGAGATGTTATGGTACCACCCGGTTGGTATATTTCATGGGAATATTAAGCAACACAATGGTGGTTGAAGGATGTTGAAGGGGAATATGTCATGGAAATGTGTGATTTACTGTACATAGGATATTTCATGCGTATTTCACCAATAGTGGATGTTACGATGTTAAACAGGGATTTAAGTTTTAACAGATCATTCTGGGGATACACTGGGAAATAGCCACTCCAACAAGATGAGAATGATTGGGTTTGAACATTGTTTTGATTTCAGACACACTAGTTGCAGCAATCATGATGGGAAGATCACAAGCAAGTTATAGAGGGGTAGAATGGTATAACTTGATGATTAATGGTGGATACTGGTTGGTGGTTTGGAACATTTTTTATTTTTCCATATATTGGGAATAACCATCACAACTGACTAATATTTTTCGGAGGGGTTGAAACCACCAACCAGATTAGGTTAGAACAAATTGGAGTGTCAAACGGGTAATGTCCAACCATACCAGTTCTTTTGCTGTGAACAGCAGGGTGCTGATCCGGCTTTTGCCTCGCCAGAGGTTGGTATTTCACATTCCATATAGGAGTAAGTACATTGATTTAATGGGTCATTGGTACAGGATGGGGCCCCCAGTTATAAGTTGGTTTATGAACCATTCTAATCCCCATTAACTATATATAGTTATATCTACCATATACCATAGTTAAGCCACTTACAAGGCAACTGAACGCGAACTCGACTGGGGGCCCCATGCCCCAAAAAAGCCCGCGATGCCTTAGTTTTGAGCCTCCTCAATGCACCCTGGTATATGTCGGCTTACTAAACCCAGTTGCTTGTCGTCCTGTTTGAATTATGACCTTCTGACTGTTGATCGAATCACAATACAGTTCGTTCTACGATCGTTTCATCCAATCTTTGTTCGTCATTCAAGTTATTTCAAAAAAAATGTCTGGTTTGTGGTTTGGAACATTTTTTCCATAATATATGGGATGTCAACCTTCCCATTGACTTTCATATTTTTCAGAGGGGTAGGTCAACCACCAACCAGCTATAAATGTTCATTACCATTCTAAATATAGTAATAATCACCATAAACCCTAGCTACTCTAGTTATAAACTGATCAACGCTGTTGTTCAAGTCTACCATTTCTGTTGTTAGTTCTTACCCCATCCATTCGTTGCCACGCTTCGCTCATCCCCACGGGGGAATTCAGGTGCAATCGGGTGCCGTGATCTCCGCTGAATTGCAAAGCCTTTTGGAGAGGCCTTCGCTGGCCGCGGCGGGCCGGGGAGAGAAACGCGCTGGTTCTTGGGGCTACCGGGTATGTGAGCAAAGGTTATAAAGCTGGGCCGCCCGAAATGAGTGAAAATTCTTTGTTGTTTTTTTTATTATATATATAAATTATATATATATATATCGTTCGATATAATTATATATCTATACAAAAGAAGAAAGAGAAGAGGGAAGAGAGAAGAGAGAAGAGAGAAGAGAGAAGAGAGAAGAGAGAAGAGAGAAGAGAGAGAGAGAGAAGAGAGAAGAGAGAAGAGAGAAGGAAGAGAGAGAGAGAAGAGAGAAGAGAAGAGAGAAGAGAGAGAGAGAAGAGAGAAGCAGAGAGAAGAGAGAAGGTAGAGAGAGAGGGAGAGAAGAGAAAGAGAAGAGAGAAGAGAGAAGAGAGAGAAGAGAGAAGAGAGAAGAGAGAAGAGAGAAGAGAGAAGCGAGGCGAGAGAGAGAGAGAGAGAGAGAGAGAGAAGAGAGAAGAGAGAAGAGAGAAGAGAGAAGAAGAGAAGAGAGAAGAGAGAAGAAGAGAGAAGAAGAGAGCAGAGAGAGAGAAGAAGAGAGAGGAGAGAAGAGAGAAGAGAGAAGAGAGAAGAGAAGAGAGAAGAAGAGAGAAGATAGAAGAGAGAAGAGAAGAGAGAGAAGAAGAGAGAAAGAGAAGAGAGAGAGAAGAGAGAAGAGAGAAGAGAGAAGAGAGAAGAGAGAAGAGAGAAGAGAGAAGAGAGAAGAGAGAAGAGAGAAGAGAGAAGAGAGAAGAGAGAAGAGAGGAGAGAGAGAAGAGAGAAGAGAGAAGAGAGGAGAGAGAAGAGAGAAGAGAGCAGAGAGCAGAGAGCAGAGAAGAGAGAGAGAGAGAGAGAAGAGAGAAGAGAGAAGAGAGAGAGAGAAGAGAGAAGAGAGAAGAGAGAAGAGAGAAGAGAAGAGAAGAGAAGAGAAGAGAGAAGAGAGAAGAGAGAAGAGAGAAGAGAGAAGAGAGAAGAGAGAAGAGAGAAGAGAGAAGAGAGAAGAGAGAAGAGAGAAGAGAGAAGAGAGAAGAGAGAAGAGAGAAGAGAGAAGAGAGAAGAGAGAAGAGAGAAGAGAGAGGAGAGAAGAGAAGAGAGAAGAGAGAAGAGAGAAGAGAGAAGAGAGAAGAGAGAAGAGAGAAGAGAGAAGAGAGAAGAGAGAAGAGAGAAGAGAGAAGAGAGACGAGAAGAGAGACGAGAGACGAGAGAAGAGAGAAGAGAGAAGAGAGAAGAGAGAAGAGAGAAGAGAGAAGAGAGAAGAGAGAAGAGAGAAGAGAGAAGAGAGAAGAGAGAAGAGAGAAGAGAGAAGAGAGAAGAGAGAAGAGAGAAGAGAGAAGAGAGAAGAGAGAAGAGAGGAGAGAGAGAGAGAGAGAGAGAGAGAGAGAGAGAGAGAGAGAGAAGAGAGAAGAGAGAAGAGAGAAGAGAGAAGAGAGAAGAGAGAAGAGAGAAGAGAGAAGAGAGAAGAGAGAAGAGAGAAGAGAGAAGAGAGAAGAGAGAAGAGAGAAGAGAAAGAGAGGAGAGAGAAGAGAGAAGAGAGAAGAGAGAGAGAGAGAAGAGAGAGAGAGAGAAGAGAGAAGAAGAAGAGAGAAGAAGAGAGAAGAAGAGAGAAGAGAGAAGAGAGAAGAGAGAAGAGAGAGAAGAGAGAGAGAGAGAAGAGAGAGAAGAGAAGAGAACATATATATAACATATAATATATAATATATATAATATATAATATATAATATATAATATATAATATATAATATATAATATATAATAACATATAATATATATATATATAATATATAATATATAATATATAATATATAACATATAATATATAATATATAATATATAATATACCATAAACCCAAGCCTTAATGCGGTTCTGTTCACCAACTTAGCCATATTGACAGCCTCGCTAGGTGGATGGAAGTGGTCGAGGATGCTGAGAAGTGCACTGTGCCTGGGCTGGCGATGGGGCGAAATCCCCTGGGGGGATCCCCCAACTAGGTGGATTGTGCTAGTAGTCATGGCACTGCCCAAGAAATTTACCCTCTGGTAATTTAACATAGCTATTGAAAATGGCCATTTGTAGTGGATTTTCCCATTAAAAATTGTGATTTTCCATAGTTATGTTAGTTTACCAAAGGGTAGACCCTCCAAGAACCCATGAACACTAGCATTTCACCTCATATTTTGTTCGTATCACCTCATAAAAAAAAGTACAAAGATAGCCATGTTTTGAGGTACTTGGAGGGTCTAGGCAGTTTCATAAGGAACATGGGGAGATAAGAATAATCTTGGGGTACCCTATTTTCAGACAAACGCGTATTAGCTGGAAGTTCCAGTTCGATCTTCATATGACGACTTGGCGGTTCTTCCAAAACACTAAACATAGGATTTACTCTCCGGTATTATTCAGAGTTGGCAATGGAACTTTCACCCATTTATAGATGATTTTCCTATCCAACCCTCCATTTCTACCGAATTTTCATCACTATTTCCTCCCATTTCATCTGGGTAAATCATAACGACCTCACTGTTCTCCCTCACTGGAATGACAGTTATATATAGTTATTATAAGGGAAAACTCTCCAAAAAACCTTATTTCAGGTGAATGAATTGTAATAACTTCCCCAGATTCCATGGTGGCCCTGAGGTGTTGCAAGGTCCGCTGAAGGCCGCTTTGGCCAACGAAACCGAAAGCTCGGAGTCCCCTGCTTCGTTGAGTGCTGTGAAACGAGCAGAGGACCCAGTGCGTGCAGTTGGGGTAATTAGAAGTGATTGTTATATCCCCTTACATAGCGCTGAAAACTAGATAATATTATATAATTTAGTTTAATATAATATAATATATAATATAATTTGATTTAATAAAATGAAATAAACTATAATATAACATGATATAATATAATTTAATAAAATAAAATAAACTATAATATAACATAATATAATTTAATAAAATAAAAAAAACTATAATATAACATAATATAATTTAATAAAATATAACAAACTATAATATAATATAATATAATATAATTTAACAAAATAAAATAAACTATAATATAACATAATATAATATAATTTAACAAAATGAAATATATATATATAATATAACATATTTTTTAAATAAAATAAAATAAACTATAATATAATATAATTTAATATAATATAATATGATATTATATATGATATGACATGATATAATATGATATTATATAATTTAATAATAATATATAATATAATATAACGCAATATGAAAAATGTAAAATCATATAATATGATAATATAATATAATACAATGTAATATATTATTCTTAATATATAATATAATACAATATAATATATTATTCTTAATATGATATAATATAATGCAAAATAATATTCTTAATATAATATAATATAATATTCTTAATATAATATAATATAATATTCTTAATATAATATAATATAATATGATATGATATGATATGATATATTATATTATATCATAATATGATATGATATATTTTATTATTTTATATTTTATATAATAACAATTATTGTTTTTCATACATATACAGATATTATATAATATTATGTTATACAATATATACACAAATATAAATAATATTATAGAGTATACATATATTATTGTTTTATTATATATATATTATATATATACTGTATATATATATTATACGGTAGCTACCTCCAATAAATTTGGTACCATGTTTTACCGTTGGGTTATAAATCACCTGCCAACCCGTGCCAATTTGCATGTTGCTTGATTTGAACATATTTTTTGCCATTCGAAACAACTGACTAAAATAAAACAGATTTTCGCTTGAATAACCATTCATTTCCCTCCTACATGGATGTGTCTGAAAATTGCTACAATGTGGAGCCCCCCAGTTATAAGTTGGTTTATAAGCCGCAGTAACTATAGTTATAAATACCACAAACCATAGTTGTTGGAATTATAAACCAACTTAGCTATCTTGGGGGCCTCACATTGTAGTCATAGTCATACTGACAAATTAGCATTTCATAGAGACGATGAACCCTGAGATTCGGTATCCTCTTTTCAGACAAAGCCTGGAAAATATCCATGACCATAAGCACAAGAATTCCCATATAGAAAATATCCATAAGCCATAATTTGTCGTGGTTTCTATTGTGCGATATATGGTTAGTAGATGTTAGTAGAGTCATTTGATTCGCAGTCACACAATACAACTGGATATAACTATCTATCTATAACTGGCTACATTTGGATATAAACTGGATATAGCCATATGCTTAGTAAAATCATGTACAACACATTGTAACACATATATGTCCACTGATTAAACACATACACATATATATATATATACATATCCAGCTTGTTATCGTATTTTTACCAAACTGGATGTTAATGAAATCACAACAGAACCTCTGAATATGTGTCATTTCACCACATGTTTTATTTTATTCCACAAAGATAATCAGAAGCTCTGCTGATACCCTCTGGTAAACGTTTACAGTTTGCGAACTGGAAAATCACCATCTTTAAGTTCGGTAAATCGGTAAATCAACTATTTTAATGGGCCATGGCTTCAATAGCAAACTGTTAGTCACTGTTAGTCATTACCACAAGGTGGTGCCCCCAGTTGTCAAATTGGTCATAATCCCATGAATACTAGTTCGATATATCACCAACAAAAACCATAGTGAAATTGCATCCCAACTATAAAATACCTATAAATTTCCCATTATATCCCCTATAAATCCCCATAAATCCCCATTATATCCCCTATAAATCCCGATAAATCACCATAAATCCCTATAAATCCCCATTATATACCCTATAAATCCCATAAATCCCTATAGATCCCGATAAATCTCTATAAATCCCACTGTTCGTCATCTTGAGGGTGGCCCGCGGCCCGCCAGGATCTTCTGGTGGCGCCCTCCCATTGGATCATCGGCGGCGATGGCTGGGCCTATGACATCGGTTTTGGCGGTTTGGATCACGTCTTGGCCACAGGCGCGATTTCGCGTGGTTTTCAACCGGCAAAGATGCCAGGCATTCTGGGATGTTTTTTGAGTGAACCATTTGAATGATGATGAATGATGATTTTGTTGTACAAGCCAAAGTTACAGAATATCATGGAGTCTAGAGTCTAGAGTTATAGAAATCCATTTTTTTCTAGTGGTTGAATAAGGGTTTTTATAATTGTTTTCGTATTCTAAACAGACTTGGTTTGGTCTGTTATGGTAACCATTGTTTGTTGAGATTGCTGCAGGTTAATGGAAAAATATGTAAAATAGATGGAGAACAATGTTTAGTGTATGTATGTTTATGTGTTCTGATTGTATTTCATGTTAATTCAGGAAGGAACACATCTCCTTCAATTTGGACGTGTTTTTATGGGCTTTACATTGCGTACTTGTGACGAAGATTTGTATGCAAGATGATGGCCACCCACTTTGCAACTCCAAAAGGCACAGTGAAATTTCACCATGCTGAGCCAACTCTCTGTCTAAACGTCCTATCTGAATATTAAACATGTTCAATTTATCTTATCTTGGGATGATTGTCATAGAAAATTGTGGTAAACCCAATAAGATCGTTCACCTCCAATGACTCCAACGCATAGTGTAGAATTACACCACCCAATTCCGGACTATGTTCATATATCTCCTCTTAGAGTAGTACCACCTCTTCTCAAAAACCAGCCTAAATTCTTCATTTACCACAATATATATATATATATAGAATATTCTACAATGTGGCCCCCAGTGATGTGAATGTTGGTTTAGATGCGCCCCAGTAACTATAGTTAAGTTATAAATACCCTAAACCATAGTGACATTGGAATTATAAACGCACCATAAACCATAGTTGTAGGAGTTATAAATACCATAAACAATAGTTGTAGGATAAAATACGTCTCTTTTTCAGGGTCTAGAAAGATAACTCAGCCATAAGTTGGTTTATATCTCAGTAACTATAGTTATAAATACCATAAACCATAGTGAAATTGGAGTTGTTTGCACCAACTCAGCCATCTAACAGCGCCCATTAGCGCCTTGCGCAGGTCAGAATGTGAATGTCCTGGTCTTGGACACCGAAGGCTACAGCAACACGGGGGCGCAGAATTCCAAAGCCACTCCCAAGGAGACCGGCGTTTTTCGAATGGGATGGGCGATGGGATGTGAACTTTACAACGGTTTTTGTTTGTGGTTAATATTATATGGTTAATATATATGGTTAATATTAATGCAAAAAGTACTTCGATGAATGATGAATCCAGTTTTCAAGCAGTTTTTTTTCGCACTTTTATATAATGTTTGATGTGAAATGTTGTGATCAACGGGGTGCTCATTCCAAAAAGATATGGGGTGACAAAAACCTGACGAACGTAACTGGTCGTAACTGGTCGTAACGGGTGAAGACGTCGATGGGATTTGGCCGGAAATTTCACCAACAGAATGGGATATGATTCATGGATACAATGTGAGGCCCCCAAGATATAAGTTGGTTTAGATTCGCCCCAGTAACTAGTTCGTTATAAATACCATAAACCATAGTGACATTGGAGTTATAAACCAACTTAGCTATCTTGGGAGCCTCATATTGTATGAACCCAATGAAACTGACAGGTGAAGACACGGTTGGTCGAACATGTTGGTGATCTGAAAGATGGAGATTTGATCTAAGAATCCTAGACCTAAGCAACGAAATACCAGTATGGGATATGATGAGTACATAAGCAATGAAACTAAAGGTGTGGCAAAAGACCAAGATTGTGGCGTCAGAAACCTAAACAAGGCGGGTTTGGAAATGGATATTTGGAAAATGGTTCTCTGGAAGTGTTCTTGTTGTTTGTAGCCAGTGTTGTGTCTAGTCCAAGGTAGATGTCAGATGAGAATGAGTCGTTTCTGCACATGTCCTCAGGTAAGACCAGGTAAGAGTGAGAAAGTACTGTAGATGTGGGGATTTAGGGGCATGAACATGCATGTTCCAAGTGTTGTGTTTGTCAGGGAAACAGCCATGCGGCCATGTGTAGATCACAGGATGGTCCCATGTCACAGCTCTGCCATGTCTGCCATGGCACATCCGAATTCTGCAGGGCGCAACTATGAAGATGTCTGCTGGCGGAAACAAGGCAAAGAAGAAGGACTTGGGAGCTATTGTTCCTGGTCGGCAGACGTTTGATTGATTGCAGAATCTCTAGGGTGATGGGGCCCCCCAGTTATGTGAATGTTGGTTTATAAACCATTATAACCCCCATTAATTATAGTATACTATAGTTATTAACTATCGTTATATCACTTATATCTACCATAAACCATCGTTTTTTCAGCCACAAATCTACGGAGTAAGCGATTTTTTTCGACTTTTTGGGCACCGGCACCTTTTTTGGGTGATGGACTGGAGAGGATTCACCATCCGAATCGATCCCGGGACAGGATGGTTTAGCCGTGGACTGTCGAAGATACCTTGGTGTATCAGAGGATGGTTTGTAATAGAAAATCCCAAACATACCCTCTGGTAATGACTAACGTAGCTATTGAACATGGCCAAAGAAATAGTGGATTTACCCAGCTAGAAAATGGTGGTTTTCCATAGTTACGTTAGTTTACCAGAGGGTAAATGGATGATTGATCAAGGTGGATTGAAGCTATTCATAGATGATCTGGATTGTCAGTGAGACCATCTATGATTGAAGACATGGGAGTTTCCATAGTCATGGGGGTACCCCAATAGCTGGATGGTTTATAGAAAATCCCAAACATAAATGGCTGATAACTGCGGGTACTCCCATCACAAAACGGAAAGCTCCTTGGGAATATCATCTAATGAATATCTGGTTGGTGGTTTGGAACATGAATGGATTATGACTTTCCATTCAGTTGGGAATGTCATCATCCCAACTGACGAACTCCATGATTTTTCAGAGGGGTAGGTATACCACCAACCAGCCCAGCTATTGTTCCCTTAACATTCATCATCCAGAAATTATGTGCAGATTTGTTTTTTCACCATCGTATTGTAAAAGCCCTGTTTTTTGCTGGATGTCCAGATGACTCAAGTCCTGCTTTTTCTCTAGTTTCTGTTGGTTAAGATGAAGAACTCAACGTTAACTTACCCTCTGGTAAACTAACATAGCTAATGATTGGAAGTGGCCATTTAGTTCGTTGATTTACCCAGCTAAAACATGGTGGAACTTTCCAGTTCTCGACTATCTGAGGCGATATTATCCCCTATAAATTCCTATCAATCCCCATGGTATCCCTATAAATCACCATAAATCCCCTATAAACCCCCTATGAATTTGGGTATCCCCATGGATTTCCAGTCACTATCTAAGGCGATGATGCACGAGAATGCTTATGTGGCATCAGTCTCACTGTCTGCCGATGTCAACCAGACGGTGAAGGACCGCGAAACGGCGAAACTGGCGATGTTTGGCCCAGAATTACTGATGGCTATAGGTAAACAGTGTCTGGTTGGTGGTTTGGAACATGAATTTTATTTTCCATAATATATGGGATAATCCTTCCCATTGACTATATAATATTTTTCAAGATGGTTAAAACCCACCAACCAGATAAAGCCTCCAGGTAGACATCAAAATTCTTTGTGTTTGTTTTTTTCTCCCTGATGGTTTTAGTAATATTTTACTATGGGGGAAAACGCTATTATAAGGTAGTTATTACATAGTCTTACAGTATTTAGTGTAATATTAGTTGTACTATTACTTCGAGTCATTTTTTCATGACATACTGACTGGATAAACCAACTTCATGGTTATGAGTAGATTGGACTTTTTATTTCGGGACCCCTCACCAATAACTGATGTGAATAAGCAGTCATAATCCCACAATTCATGGAACATCTCTGGGTCTTGACCCATGCTTTCCCCATGTACACCCGGGGTTTGACTCAGAAATTCTTGGGGATACTGATTTAACCAACACTATGTGATATGTGTACACACCTGTATAAATAACCTTTTAGTAAACAATGATTTACTATAGATATGATGGTTTTTACGTGGATATCTTCAGCTAAGTATTTTATTTTCTGTCGGAGGGTAGATCTACGTGGTGTGTTGCTCCCCCTTCTATGATGTTATTCACATCAGTTCATCATTCATATGATTGTGTGATTAATAAAATCTCCATAATAACTGGGGAACACATCCCTAGATCATCAGAAATCCCAGTGATGTTGCTGGTTTTCCTCTCCCGAAAATTTAGGGATGCATGTATTTTATGTATCTGTTTATGTATCATCATTCAAACATCATGAAAAGATACTTCCAGTTTGATTACAGCCGAATGGCCCAAGTTTTCTACCAGTTCTGTTTGTGCTAAGTCAGCCCATCAAAATGCTTGGTTTATGTACTGTTCATCCCATAGAAATCACCAGTTATTTCACTATTAGCCATGGCCATAACTATGGTGATTAATGGTGATCAAGAATGGTTAATGATTGTTAATAGTGGCTAATAGACTAATAGATTTTATTAGTGATTAATGATTTCCACTTTCAATGCAAAGTGCCCCAGTGAGTGGAATTCCCCATATTGATTTCTAGCGTTTCTACGGCCATTCGCCATCATTAATCACATGTGTTAGCCACTATTAACCACTATTAACCACTATTAACCATTATTAACCATTGTTAACCACTATTAACCACTATTAACCATTATTAACCACGATTGATCACCATTTCATCATTCTTGATCACTATAGAAATTGGTGTCGACAGCCAGTTTACTCAGCAGTCCATGCTTCAGGCCTTCAAGGAAGCGGAGCAATATCCAGGTTGGGTGACGGACAGCGTTGGAGTTTTTTGTGTCCAAAAAAAAAGGTGCTTTCCATGCCGGGCTACCCCAAGCTGGCTTAGGATGGTTGATTTCATGGAAAATCCTATGAAAATAGATGACTGGTTGGTGGTTTGGAACATTTTTTATTTTTCCATATATTGGGAATAACCATCCCAACTGACTAATATTTTTCGGAGGGGTTGAAACCACCAACCAGATGATTTGGGGGTACGCCCATTTCAGGAAACCCCCAGAGATGGGATATGGATGGATATGGATGGATAGGGTCTAACTGATGAGGGAAGGAGCTTTCAGTTGATGGATATGGAACTTTTCAGAATATCCCGTTGACTTCCAGTTGATGGACTTTTCTTGAAAGCGAGAAGAACATATCGATGAAAATTCATGAAAATTACACAAGCCAAAGACACCATGCATGGTTGAATACCGACAGCAAGAATTGTGAAGATGGTACCCCTTGGTATGTGTATCCCAGTTCTGTGAGGGGTGTCTCAAGTGTTCATCATCTTCATGATCATGAACAAGATCATGCACAAGATAATGCACAACATCATCAAGAAGATCATGAAGAAGATCCTGAACAAAATCATGCTGAACATGCTGGTCATGCTGGTCCTGCTGATCATGCTAATCATCATCACCATCACCATCACCATCCTCACCCGTTGTATCTTTATGTGATGACAATGACAATGATAATCATTATAATCATTAAAATATCAAACGACACATTAATTATGAATGACAATCCCTACAGTATCTATTTATAGGAGGCAGGTAATAAGTCAAAAAAAAATCAGACCAGCACAGACTTTTTGTTCATCGTCACATCAGTCTTCCAAATTTAGGGTTCACGTCTTACATTTGTGGCTTGTCTGAAAAATTGCTACTTCGCATTTTGATGACTGATCATTATGTTCACCATTATCTCCAAGTATCCAGTTGGAGGCACGATTACACCATGTTCTTAGACAAACACACACACACACACATCTATATATATATTCTGATTGGTGGTTTGGAACATGAATTTTATGACTTTCCATATATTGGGAATAACAATCCCAACTGACTTTCTTTTTTTCAGAGGGGTAGGTATACCACCAACCAGATATGTATTTGTGTGTCTGAAAATGGTAGATTGACCCCAAATGACCAATCTCTTAGGAAAACTGATCATGAATCGATAGATTATGTTGGGTCTTCCCAACGTTTTCAGACAGACCAACTGTACAAGATTGTATATATAAGTATCTTCCCATTTTCCCAACTCATTAACCATATGTTTCCATTTTCCCAATGTGTACATATTATAGATATATAATGATATAGAACCATCCTGGAATAGATATTATATGGACATGTCAAAAACAAACTCACTAAAATGCGAATATCTTCAACAAAATCCATCTTCTATCATATTCTATCTACTTCAGGATGGTTCTATATGTTTCTATACGTCTTTATACTAATCGTACCTATTTGATCCTATTTGTAATATAAATACTCTCATATTATACATATATATAATTAGAAATATACATATAATTTGTATCTATATTTATAAACTATATATATTATATATACAATGTGAGGCCCCCCAGTTGTAAGTTGGTTTATAAGCCCCAGTAACTATAGTTATAAATACCATAAACCATAGTTATTGGACATTGTATATATATATATTTCCTGATAGGATATTTCAGTCCTTTCAGTCATTTCGGCAGCGGCCCAACGTCGTTTTAGGTCCATCCATCATCATCGCCTATGCCACCTGCGTGGATTGGGGGCACCGCGCCGGGGACAAGGCCATGGTGCAGCAACAGGTGCCGAAAATAGGACGGTCGAGGTCAAAATCTTCAGGGAAGTTTTCATGGTGATTTTATGGTGATTTTATGGTGGTTTAATGGTGGTTTAATGGTGATTCAATGATGATTTAATGGTGATTTAATGATGATTTCATGTTGATTTAATGGTGATTTAATGTGATTTCATGGTGATTTAATGTGATTTATTGGTCATTGAATGGTGAGTTAAAGGGATTTTATGGCTTTGAAATGGGATTTCATGGTGATTTTCCATGGCGTTCAAATGCTTTCAATGGAATATCCTCCGGTCATCAAACGTGGAACGTCCCAATTGAAGTTCGATGATTTCCCCCCCGAAGCTCCATGTTTGTTCGGAAATTGTGGCCTGATGCGACAGAAATTCACCAGGCGGAGCTGATGATCTTCCAAGTGGATGTGGGGCAAAATGGAAGACCATCAATGGGACCACAGATGGAAATGTCTAGTTTAGTATTAACCATCCAATTATTGGGGTACCTAATTTTGAATGATCCTCCAAGTATAGCCAATATGATCCACCCTCTGGTAAATTAACAGTTGGACCCTGAAAATAGCCTAGTTTTAATGGAAACGAATCTTCTAACCCCGATGACTGCCAGGGTCGTCATGTTAATTTACCAAAGGGCAATATGTTTTGGATCAGTGGATTTGGCAATTTGGGTAGCAGTTTTTCGTGTCGAAACCTCCCAACATCCAGCAGTTGCAGGTCATGTTCCTGTCAAAGGATTGGGATTCTGCACTTTTTAGCGCTGATTTCCCCTTTAAAATCATGGATATTGTTCGGGATTGTGCATTGACATGTCATGGGATTAACAGATGGCACCCGAATCGGGGAGTCGTTGTTCTTTTTGGATGGATAGTCAATGATACTATGTCAAAACGATCCAAGGTGTGCTGATTCTTTGGGTGCTTTGGAACTCGAAACTGTCAACTGGTTGTGGCTAGCAACAATAGATTTCTATAGTTCATGATACACGGACAATACATATATATATGTTCATTATTTGTATATATATATACATTATATATATACACATAGATTCTACTCCATGTGTCCTATTCTTCCTCCTGCATAAGTCTTGGATGTAAAAGTTGGATGACTTGAGTCCAAGACCGCTCTGTGCGCCTGCTCACAGAGGTCATAGAGGCCATAGATCATAGATCTTCGCGATGGTAACTCTCAGGATCTCTTGAAAAATCACACGTGATCGAGATGTGAACCTAGAAATTTACCCGGCCTGGTAAACGTTTACATAGCGAACTGGAAAGATCCACCATTTTTAATGGGAAAATCTACTATTTCGACTGGGTCATTTTCAATAGCTATGTTAGTCATTACCAGAGGGTATAGCAAAAGTCACCAGCGCAATGCTCAGCCTTTGTTTCAGATCGCACGGCATTTCGCCATGGCCATGGCGGGTGCATTGCTGGACTGGGAGAACTTGAGATCGCGCGGAGTGCAACCGAGCTTTAGTCTTCCATCAAGTCATCATGGCGTCCGATGGAATGTGCCTCGGCAAAAAATTGTTTCGGGAATCATGGACTGGGCGACCACGTATGACCACGGGGGTATTAATATAGACCCACTGCTCTATATATACGTACATTATGGATTCATGGCCAACAAGATTGGCTTTGATCGGATTGGTTGATAGAATTGCTAATTGTGCTTTGGAACATGAATTTTATGACTTTCCATAGATTGGGAAGAATAATCCCAACTGACTAATATGTTTCAGAGGGGTTGAAACCACCAACCAGAATTGTTTTTTCAATTATTTTAAGATTTTGAAGCATCCAAAGATGCAGTTTTTCACGGACTGGGCCACCGGCTTCTTCAGCCTACGTAGGCGACAACGTCTTCACGTGGATATTATATATATATATGTATATACGTACATTATGTATATACATATATATATATATACGTATCTATATCATATGTATATAGTGTGTATATATATATATACAATACATATAGAGCATATATACAATGTATGTATTTATATAAAGTATACATATAATGTATACATATAATGTGTGTATATATAATGTGTATATATATATAATGTGTATATATATAATGTATGTATATATTATGTATGTATATAATAGCATATATAATGTATATTTATTATATATGATATCAGTTAACATATAATATAATATAATACAATATAACATAATATAATATAATATAGTATAATATAATACAATATAACATGATATAATATAATATAATATAAATACATATCCATATAATGTATGTGTTTATATATAATGTGTATATATAATGTATGTATATATATAATGTATATAATATATATGTTGTAATGTATATATATATACAATGTGTATATAAATGAGTAGATAATATATATATAGTATATATATATATATATATTGTATATATATATATCATATACAATGTGTATATACTCCCTCCGTATGTATATATATATAATGTAGATATTGCCGTATATATTAAACGTGTATATATATATATAGTGTATATATACAATGTATATATAATGTGCATATATATATAATGTACATATATATATATATATTAAACATATATATATATATACACACTGTATATCTGAAACCTCTCTCATCAACTGACATAATATTTTGGGAAATCCTCATGTTTTTGGGGAACAAAACAAGACTTTTGGGCTCTCAGGTCGCCTCGAAAAAAATTCAGGAAGTCTGTGCCAGGCATCCACAGAAGGACGGGAAGAAAAGTGGTTTGGTCGCGTAGCCGTCGCGAGATCCGTTGCGTAGCGTAGCTCGCCAAATCCCAACAGAAATGCTTCAAGCAACAACGGGTTTAGGTGGTTTGGAACATGATTTTTATTGTTCTATGGTTTTTATATGCTTTATCTGGTTGATATAATATGGTTTATTATTTCCATATATTGGGAATGTCATCATCCCAACTGGCGTTCACTCCATGATTTTTCAGAGGGGTAGGTTCAAACCACCAACCAGGGTGCAACGGGATACACACCATTAAAGTCGATGGACGATTTTCGAGGCAATGTTTGATTTCCGGGTAGCCATGATGTGGTTGATGTTTGTTGAAATTCCCAACATCTTTCAACATCTCTCAACATCTGTCAACTATGACTTGGATGAATTGGTTGATCTCAGATGAGATCATTGCGAGTGTCTGTGGTTCTCAAGATGTGAAGCTTCACAGTTGCAGATGACTGGAAAGTTGGCTCTACCTATCGATAAACAGTCCCGAATTAATCGGCAAAATACCCATTTTGTGTCGGTACTTGGAGGGTCTAGCTATCTCTAGCTTGAAAGTTCTGGATGAATCTTTCCTGCACAGGAATATCGGCAGTTGTGCGACCGAGAAGCTGTGTTGTTTCCTTTGATGTTGAACCACCCCGAGCAAAAGCAGCTAGATCATCAAGTGTTGCCCGGCAGATGATTGTTTTCCGTGTCCAACTCTCGGTTCTGAAAGGCTCAAGTTTCAGTGATGTTTTACCTTCCATTGATTTAACATGATTTAACAGCTTGCTATTTCTTCGATGGACGATTTATACATGATTTACCTATAAATCCCCATTAAATCCCCTTATAAATCCCCATTAACATATATTAACCATATTTGACAATGGTGATTTTCCACTTTGCTGGTGAACATGGTGAACGACTCCGCTACGTTGGGATGTCCGAACGTGGCTGGAAGAGCTATAAAAAGAGCTTGTTCTTGGGGATTTTCATATGTTTTTCCATATTTTTTTACACCCAAAAGAGTGGCTGGAAAGTGTCCCACCAGATATCACCAGATGGTTAGTTGTGGGGAATATCACTCCAATATCCAATAACTATGATTTGTGGAGGATATAGCGGAAGATATAGCTACAGTTAGCCTCCGGTACTCAAACTCCGCCATTTACTAGATGGAGTTGACATTCAAACCACAGTAAAACCAAGATGTTGGCCACGTTTGATTACAGGAGGGTTTTGGGCTTTGCAAATTTGTTTGACCCTTTTTGCCCATAGTGCTTTAAAAAACATGTTTGTTATTTTATGTTTGCTGGTTTGTTGCTGCAAAAATCCTTATTGTTCATGTTTGAACTGACAAATCTATTCTTGCATTGATCAACCAACTCAGCTTTTATTTTGCTGCCCCAAGATTGGTAGGTTGGTTTGTAGCCTCTAGCTAGCTGGGCTTGTGGTGGATAGACCTTCTGTTGGATCGGGGTATATAAACAAGGTAACGCCGCCCGTCATGGCGCGGAACGTTTTCACTTTGGTCTTCGGTCATCACTTATGTGTAATCATGAACATCATGATCAGGCCAACTCACGTCTTCTTTCTCTGTGGTCTGTGCTGCTGGTCAAACAAGTTCTTTCAAGTGTTCCATAACTTGTTCTGTGCAAGTACAAGAGAAGGTCTTGTAGCGTAGTGCAAGTTGCTGTGCAAGTCAATGAAGACGTCGATAAAGAACGTTATTGAGCCCCCCCAACCCAACATTAAAAAAAAAAAAACAATTAAGAACCCTGCGTCGTTATTGGCGGCTGGATAGCATTTTTCTAACCTTCAGCCTGGGTGTTCTTTGCTACTGAATTCTCCATGTTTTCAATCCGTCATTTGCTCTTCAAATCCCTATGTTCACCATTCCGATAGGATCCATGTATGCTATATATGGTAACATTTATCATCCATATACCCCAAATGTTAGCATATATACCATACATGGATCCTATGGGATTTTTGCTACTTCAATTACCATTAAATCACTATTCTTCGATATTTCTGTAGCGCTCACGTGTCAAATCGCAAGGTTTCGTGTTCACTTGGAAAAATCCCACAGCGGGGTCAACAAGAAAGTACCTCGGCTCTTTGAAAAAAAGGCTGTGATATGGTGGTTTCCTGAAATCTAGGTCAATCTTAGATGGGTAGAAACTAATCCTGACTAGTCATTTGGCATCAATTAGATTATCTACGTTTACAAGCTAAGAATTTATCATGTCTTGCGTATCTTGGCCATGAAATAGGGGTTTCGTCTAGTTATCATCCAGCTATTAGATGGGGATTTTCCATGTAAACCTACCAGCTATTTGGATAGCCCCATTAAAATGGAAAATTTTGGGAAGATGGCAAGATGTCAATGTCGCGTATGTTTTCGATAAAACTGGGGGTCAAAATAGACTCCGGGGACCACAGATTATATATACAATGTGAGGCCCCTGTTCGCAGCTAAGTTGGTTTATAAGTCCAATGTCACTATGGTTTATGGTATTTATAACGAACTAGTTCCTGGGGCTTATAAGCCAACTTATAACTGGGGGGACCTCACATTGTAGGTTATTTTTTAGTGTTAACCATTATTAACGTTCCATTTTCAGGGGCAAAATTTTGACCCCCAAGGTGCTGCTCAATGTTCATCCGATTTTCATATGGTATTGATTGGTATTGATGCATAGCCATAAATGAAAAGTAGGAGTTGGTTCAGAACCCCCCTTTGACCGTAATCTTAATATAATCTGTAAACTAGATAGATATATCTAGAATAAACCCTAGCTATTGGAGTTATAAACCAACTTTGATTGATTCGATCAGCAAATAAGAATAGATATGCTATGTTTATGGGGTTTAACCATCGATATCAGATGGATTTTTAGGGAATTGTAAGCAAAGACTTTTTTTGTTGGCTGACCAAATGTAGGATGAGTTGATCAACAATGAAAAGAGGGTAGGTATAAGAGGGGTCCTTTAATTTCCTCAGTTTGGCGGCTTAGACGGTGCTTGAAATTGCGAAATATATATGATCTGGCTGGCGGCTTCAAATCTTCCAGGGATAGCTTCCGATCGAACATGGTGACATAATCACTAAAGAAGTTGGTTTGAACAGTGAACATGTTCCACAAGAAATCTCTGAACACAAACCACATGGTAAACTAACACAGCTATTGAAAATGGCCGTTTATAGTGGATTTACCGATTAAACATGGTGATTTTCCATAATTATGTTACTTTACCAGAGGGTTCTCGTTCAAACTATAAACGGAAATCTCTGAGTTGTGAACGATGATCACTTAGAATTCATTGACTCAGGAGTCAATCGACTTCATCGAAGACGGGGCGTTCCGAGAACGAACATCCAGTGATATAATGAGTAGATAGTACTTTTTGTGAGGCCCCCGTTCGATAGCTAAGAAGTAGCTAAGTTTGGTGCAAATAACTCCAATGTCACAAAATGGTTTATGGTATTTATAATGAACTAGTTACTGGGGCGAATCTAAACCAACGTATGTAACAATAGACATGACATTTATCGCTTTTGTAGTAGATATGATCATCTGTCATTATCTTCCATATTGGTATTACAACGATCGTACATCACCTTTAGTATGTTATTTTTCGTATCATGTGTAATTAATCATGTTACTAGATCTTTACCAGTGTGTCATTTATTTTTGTATTGTCATGTGTCTGTAGTATTACAATCATCATATTACACTTATATACACTTACCATGTAGTTTGTCACGGTTAGTTGTTGAAAGATGTTAAAAAGTTTGTTTATATTTGTAAAAATGTATAATTCAACCTATCAAATATAAATATATATATATAGTTTAGTATACCATAAATTGTAGAGATCATCATTATAACAGTATATCTACGTCGAAAAACATAGATGCCATAAATTGTCATACCATTCTTTGTATTGTCAGAGTGTATCATAGTATACATAAATTGTAGATATTGTATAAGTATAATTATTATATCTATTTCTTTTTGAATTTGGTGTGATTTACTGGTATTGTTTTCTCTATATCTACTTTAAATTGATTGTTAATTCATTATGACCGGCATTGGTATATTACCATTATCTACAGTTTTGGCCCTTTAATAAGTTATAAGTACTAAGTCACCCCATTTATGGTTTATGTATAATCCCATAGAAATAACCAGTTATAACGGCCATAGCTCTAAGTGGTTGAACTTTTCGTTGCTGGATCTGTTCTAAACCTTGGTCCTGTTCGAAGCTCAGGCGTCGGATCGTTCGCAGATGGCGGAGGTTCTCACGTGGAGAGCTTCGAACTCGGGGGAGGTGCAGCTCCGGAAAGGTCAATGCGAAGCGCAGGCCCAGCATTGGATGTTTGAATGGTCGGTACACGGTGCTTTAAAGGTGATTTAAAGGTGATTTCGGGGTGATTCAATGGTGATTTACTGGGATTTAATTGTCATTTAATGGTGGTTTAATCGGTTTTGATGAGATTTACTGGTGATTGAATGGGATTTACATTCATGGGATTTCATGGGATTTACCATCTGGTAAAGTAATTAACAGTTTGCTATAAAATGGCCGATTTAGTTCGTTGATTTACCGAACTTGAAATGGTGATGTTCCATACAAAACTGTAAGTGTACTGGAGGGTAAATCCTTTCTGAATCGGGCTTCATAAAGCAGCAGTTGGGTAGCTTTGGGGTGGGTGCCTTTAAACTTCCATGATATGGAAGGTGCAGCTGCACCACTTGCAATTTCAGCGAACTGTTGGACATCTGGAGACATCTAGGTGGATTTATGGAAAACGGTTGCCATCAGCTTGATGTTCTTTGAAGCAACTGTAAAGTTTGTGAACATTTGAGGAAAGGAGACATACTGAACGCTGTCTATCGAGCTATCAGACGGAAATGGGCATACGTTCTTTATACAACAATAAACATAGTAGCCACATGCAGCCCACAAAATCGAGTAAAATAATGCTTTCAGGTCTTTTGGCGCCTCTTTTCATCGTAGACATTTTCCCAGTACACCATTATATCCCATAGAACCTCATTATAACCCTATCTCTAGCCACACGCATGTCTATAAAGTGGTGGTATAATGAAAATATAAACATCCTTATACCATAATTTATCATCATTTTGTTACACACATCCATTAATTCCTGTTATTTCTCTAGAATAAACTGGTAATATGAGGGTTTCTTAAAATGGAGGATCCCCGACACTGTGGTACTGTCAATACTAATTCATGTTCTAATGACTTGGATTATTTTGGGTACCCCCATGATTTAGGAAATCTCCGTATATAATATACATACGCCATATTATACACCATATATATAATACATGGCATTATGATATAATTAAATAATATATATATGTATATATATATTATAATAATACATAATATTATATGATATAGTATACTATGATATAATATGATATAGTACAAATATAATATAGTACAAATATAATATAGTACAAATATAATATAGTATGAATATAATATAGTATAAATATAATATAGTATACATATATCATAATTAATATTCTAATACAATGTATATGTTATAATGTATATGTGATTTTTTCCTCGACATCCGCCACTGGTGGCAGGTGGATACTTCCACAGCATGGCGCAACTTGGTGAAGGTCGTGGAACTGACACCGAAAGCACCACCTTCGAATGCGAATCGGCCGAAACGACCAAGGCGACCCCAGCGGACGAGAGACGTGCCGATTTAGTCCTCGCTGGGTAGATCTAATGGTGGTTTAATGGGATTTAGGGTGATTTATTGCTGCTTTAATGCAATTTACCCTGGTAAACTAACAGGTTGCTATTGAAAATGGCCCATTTTGTGAGTTTCCGAACTTGACAGTGGCGATGCCCCATATGTTAGTTTACCAGAGGGTAAAGGGAAAAAAACTGAAATGTATCATCAAAACATGTGGATTAGACGTGATTTGACATGATTAGGCATGATTTAATGTACTGTAAGTTTATGTTATTTAACTTGATATAACATTATCTAAATCTAATTGCAGAAAATGTGACTACCTATCACCAATAACACAAATCAGTAAATGGATTTTTGAGTAGCTTAGTGAGGTATATTTCTTGCTATACATGGAGGAATACACACCACATGACCGCTGCTGGCTGGTGGATGAAGCAGTTGAATGGGATGGTTTTCAGTAATTCAATATCAAGCCATTCGTAGGATTCTTGTGGTGAGTTAACCAGAATCGAAGGCGGACTCACCAAGAAATATGGGATGAAAAAAACCAGACATCAAGCGTAAACATCTGTAATAGGCTTTGTTTATACCGTAGAATTCGTTGGTGGGTGCGGTTTTGTGGGTGACTTGTTTCTGTTCATAGATGATCAAGGTGGATTGTCAGTGAGACCACCTATGATTGAAGAAATGGGAGTTTCCATAGTCATGGGGGTACCCCAATAGCTGGATGGATTATAGAAAATCCCAAGCATAAATGGATGATAACTGGGGGTACTCCCATGACAAAAGGGAAACCTCCTTAAATGGGAATATCATCAATGAATATCTGGTTGGTGGTTTGGAACATGAATGGATTATGACTTTGCATTCAGTTGGGAATGTCATCATCCCAACTGACTTTCACTCATATTTTTCAGAGGGGAGGTATACCACCAACCAGTTATATATATATGTGTATATATATATGTCTATATTATATATATATATATATATGTGGGATTCAAACCATCCCCAGTCATGTGTGGGATTCAAACCATCCCCAGTCAAATATCATCAATGAATATTGAACAAATGGCAATATAGGTATTCATAGATCATTTGTCATATCATGTGAATTTATTGGAGGGTAATTGATGGTTTCATTATTGTGTTGACCTTATATAGGCCTTATATATGCTAGGTACCTCCAATCAATCGGTTTGATATACTGATCATCAAATGGCAATATATAGGTATATGGGATATAGTATATCCATTTATCAATGATACCTATAGGTAATTATTGTCTTCCTAATGGGAACTAATCTTCCAACCCCTATCTGGCAGGGTCAATGAGAATATAGGTATTCATAGATTTTCCTGGGAACCCAACTGCCTCAACCAGCAGCAGCTTGCGACGTCTCGACGTCTCGACGTCGAAGCGACGTCTCGATCCTTGTCGTTTTGGGCATCGCGAAGGGATGATACGACGCCAGGTCGTTTTATGTGGGGTCGTTTTGGGTTGAACCAAGCGGATCCATAGCAAGCAACATATGAAACACAAGAAGGGGGATGGACATCTGGTAAATTATGACGACCTAAAAAGTCGCGACCTCACTGAAATGATATGCTTAGGAGGGATACCCTCTGGTAAACTAACATAGCTATGGAAAATCACCACTTTTAATGGGTAAATCAACTATAAATCAACTATAAATCAACTATAAGTGGCCATTTTCAATAGCTATGTTTGTTTACCAGAGGGTATTCCAAAATGGCCTTATTTCAAGTCAGTGAATTATTATAAGTTACGCAGAATCCGCGATAAATCACAGCTATTTGTTTGATCCATTGAACAATGAGGACATAAAATGAAGACAACATGAGGTATTTTGATGAGTCAACTTTCTTGTGCTCAGTAGGGAATGAGGGAATGATCCACTGGCTAACTATCAATAATCATCCCATTCCCCCATTCCCATCCATTCCCTACGTAAAACGCACCAGTAAGTCAAAGGAAACCACTCTTTGAGTCATATTAGCGACCTGGGTCGAGGGAATTTTGATTCCCGGAGATAGCTACCTGGTCATCACTCCAGGGACATTAGACTCGTAGACTCGTAGAATCTCGTAGAGCCAGTTTTCCAGTCCGGATGCCAAAACCATCGAATGGCGGTTTCGTGGCTGTATTGAAGTGGGTCTGTTGAACCATTACCATCTGGTTATGACTAACAGTTTGCCATGGTATAGATGGCCCATAGAAATAGATGGTTTACCTATTAAAAATGGTGATTTTCCATGGCTATGTTCATAGAATTGGATGATGGGAAAATTTTAACCGGAAAACCCGATCAATTTGATGGTAAAATCCCATGGGTTTCCGGTATAGATTTTCCCTTAAACCAATCCATTGAGAAGTGGGTCTGTTGAACTAACCATCACCCACTGTGTATCAGAGAAAGAGAAAGTCCAAATGACTAAAATAATGCACCTGGATTTTCCTCGTCAATGTGACCACATGTCACCAGAAATTGGTGGGTAAACTGAGTCACTGAGTCATTTAACTTTCAAGGTATTACAAGTCAATTGGTTCGATCTGCTTCGTGGTGTTCAAAAACTGTTGAGTTTCGCAGCACATTCTGATAGAGATGGCCAACCAACATCCCGCATCCCCCAAAAGGATACTGTAGAATGATCGTGTTTCCAGCATGGTACAGATGATACTTCCCCCCATATTTTCCAGGTTTCGATTTGGGGGGAAATTCTATATCATTTTATAATTATCATTACTCTGGATGAATTAGATTATGACCTCACTGTGACGTCTCAGCAACGATGGTTAGCAACAGATGAATCATCCCCAAATGGCCGCAAGTTTCAGCTATTTTCAGATTGGTGAATTATGATGAAATTCAGCCAGACAGATGGATGTTTAGTAAAGTTCCGACATAGCTTGTAATCATGTCCATTAAACATCATTTTTTCATATTTTCCCATGTCGTAGAATCCCCTTTTTTACCCATCGTTTCAGTGGGAAAAACCGATGAATCTCCATGAAATCCGATGGGGACATCCTGGACGTTTTTGGCGAGGGGATGGGTCTTCCGGCGAGTGAGGGACCGGCATGAAGATGGTGGGAATGCCACTATGAGTTATATGAGAGTCATAGAGTATTAGAGTATTGTTTGATATGTATGAATGTACGCCCTCGTGCGTAAAGAAGAACATGGTGAAACCCTGCCTTTCTATAGTTTCGGCTTAAGGGTGATGAGCAGTGGGGAACACCCCCTTCTCGCTTGCACGTGCGCAGTTTGTCACACGTGGAGGCGGGTTGGTTTCCTCCTGGTCTCACCCGATAGGTCCGAGGCTTTCCGCAGCTTGGCGCTCCAGAGGATCCGGAACCTCTACCTGGAGCTCCTTGACGTGCTTGAAGGCGTTGGTTGCCCCCCTCCCGTGGCAGTGGGAGGTGGAGGCGGCCCCTCCCGAGCGGGGGAGGCGAGGCCTTTAGAAGAGGCCCAGGCACTGGCAGAAGCCAGTTCAAAAGCTGCTCCTGCTAGACCTCCTGCAACTTTGGGAGCTGCGGCAGCAAGTGGAGCGGAGAAAGAGGAAAACAGAGGAGAGGAGAAAAGAACCACAGGCATTGAGGCAACAGAGGATACTAAGAAAGTCGAAGAACCAGCTTCCCCAAAGAAAAAGAAAAAGAAGGATAGAAGGAGTGAAAAGAGGCACAAAGCCCGGGGTGATAAGGCCATCCCACCAGGCTCCGAGGATCCATCCGTCACCAGTCAAGGCAAAGTGGTTGTTGAGGAGCCCAAGGAAGAGGTTTTGGATTCTTCCGTACTCTCGGAGGCGGACTACGAGAACGATAGCCCCCTTCCGGAGGAAAGGGAAAAACCTCATCGTTGCAGTCCCAGCCTTAGCAGGAAGTCAAAGTCTCCTGAGAGAGGGAGAGAAGTAAAGGTACAATCTCCTGAAAGAGGGAGAGAGCCCAAGCAGCGATTAGAAGAGGAGGAGCCAAGGAAGAAAACAAGGGTATCTCCTGAGAGTGGGAGAGGAAGTGCTGGAGGTCTCGCTCCTGACTGCAACAGAGAGGATAAGAAAGAAAAAGACCAGAGAAAAGAGAAAAGGCGTAGTAGATCCCGCACCAGGAGGAGGCGTGCATCCTCTCCGCACGACCAGAGGAGAGAGAGACGTGGAGAAAAGAGGGCGTCTCCTGTGAGTGACAGAAGGCGTGGAGACAGAAGAGGTTCTCCTGAGAGGGAAAGGAAACGGGACCAAGGAGAAGTCCCCCCTTCATCTAGTCAAGGACATCTGAGACCGCCTGAGCCCAAGTTTCCTCCCAGGTACATTCCACCCACTTCTCCACCGCCAGGGGTGTTTGTGTGGGCCCCACCTTACTGGGGCCGGCATTACGGGGAAGAGCACAAGTCCAAGGGGGTGAAAAGGAGGGAGAGAAATCTGGACATCAGGCGACACGGGTTGGACGAGGATAGAAAACTGGAGAGGAAGAGCCGAGGTGGATGAGGAGAAGGCCGGCAGCTGCCCCGGCCGTGAGGAGGCGTCCAGCGGCCGAAGGGGTGCCACCTCCCGAGCGTGGGAGAGAAGGAGAGGATATTATAAGAAAGTATCAGAGAGGAGAGGTAGTTCAAGCCCACCAGTTACCGCCTCAAGCTTTGGAACAGGGTCACTGGCTGGCAAGTGAGCAGTCCACGTATTTCGGTGAGGATTGCAAGTGGGCTGGAAAGATTGCTCGCGTTGTGCTGGAAGGAGGAGAGGCCGAGGCACAAGTGGAGGTGACCGGAACTCAGTGCGAGAGCCTTCTCAGGTTCTGTTCTGGTCAGTCTCCGGCCCTGGTGCGCGCGCATTTGTGCGCCCCTGAGTGTGATCAAAAGCGCACCAATCCGGACTTTGTTCACCTCAAAGCTTTCCGAAAACTGGAAGAGGCAGGAGATAAGACCTGGGAAAACAACTTGGTTGTGGCGGACGAGAACGCGCCCTTGAGGAGAGCCCAAGAGAGATGGAATCAAGAAAGACTAAGAGACGAAAAGAAGGACACTCCCTCGTCTTCGAGGTCCACCAGCAGTTCAAAGAAGAAAAAGAAAAAGAAAAAGAAAGAAAAGAAAAAGGCAGAGGTAAAGAAAAAAGAGAAGAGATGTGGCGGCAGAACCCTGGCCAAGAAACCGTTGACCGACCTTTTCAACGGGACGGGGCTAGATCCCGACCCCAAAGTGAGGAGAAGAATTATAAAGAAAGTTCGAAAAAGGCTGAGGAGATCCAAGGAGTCTGCAAGCTCCAGTTCAGGGAGTTCGTCAACGGGTTCAGCCCTGGAAATGGAGGAGGAAATCTTGGAAGACAGGTCCAAGATTCAAAAGATCTCGGTATTGGGCCCGGGAGTCTTGACGGCCGCTGCGATCCAAAGCATGAAACAGTATGTCCTCCAGTCGGGAGGTTCAACATGGGCGATGGACGAGGACGCACTCCCGCCCATAATGAGCCAATACGCCAGAATGCATTTGGCTCCGAAAGGAGGAGGAGGACTCCTCCGAGAAGCTGTGACGCTGAGCCATATAGGAGACCTTCTCCTCCAAGGCCGAGTCTCAGAAGCTCTGGATGGGGTTTCTCAGAGACTGAAAAGCCTAGAGCTGATCATGGGAGGTCAGGCCTGGGCTACAGCCCCAAAAGTGGAAGTGACGCCCACTTTAGAGGCTTCAATATCGAGCCGTGCAGAGGTTCAAGTAGCACTGAAGGAGTCGCGACTAGACTCCCAGTCAAAGGGAGGTATGAGCCCCTGGGAGAAGGGGCGCGGCAAGGGGAAGTCCAAGGACAAGGAGAAAGGAAAAAGCGACAAAGGGAAAGGAAAGGCAAAAGAAGAAGGAAAGAGAACCTCCTGAGAGTGGGAGAGAGAAAGAAGATTATGAAAGCCTTCAAAGAGGATGCTGCGCTGAGAAATGGGGAGAAAGGCTCCTGCAAAAGGTCTGGTGAGAAAAAATCAGAGGATGGAACAAAGTGGGAAGCGAAGCCTGAAAAGAAAGAATGTAGTGGTTCGAAAGAAAAAACAGCCGTGGTTCACGAGAAGTTCGCTTTGGAAAAGCTGACTGAGGGAGAAGCAAGTCCGCTCCCGTCGAAGTTGTTTCACCATAGAGAGGGAGTAGCTGCCACGACTCCTGCCTCGCAATCCTGTACAGACTTGTATCCAGACGAAGCTCTGGGTGATGAGGTCGAAGGGGACTTAGGCTTGGGCCGAGTCGTCGCGGAAAAAGAGAGGCTGCCGCCTGGTGATGCGCTAGTGGGTATGGGAGACATTGGGATATGGCTTCAGGGTAGAATTGACGGTCTTTTATTTTTGCTCTGCAGGGTCAAGCCCTCGGGTAAGATTTTCCCCTTACCCTCGTCTCTATCTACCCTGGGCGCCCTTTTCCCTTTGGAACCCGATCCTGTGATGTCCTGGTTGAGATGTTTGGTTTTGTCCCTTAATTCGCTCAATGGTGAAGGGTTGGAAATGTCAAACCCGCCTACGGAGTTTCACAAAAAGATTCTGTCCGGGTTGATTGAAGACTGCCGGCGTATTGTGGCATGGGCAGATAGGATTACTCCTGTTACGTGGGAGGAATTTTTTAGGGTTCGTGGCGTAGATTACAAAGGAGAAGAAATCCTGAGTGCTCAGCCCATCAGGTGGGAGAATGTTGCTCCTGCATTACCTGATGAGGTTGGCGGTGTTCCGGTAGAAGATGTAGTTGAATTAGGGTCCTTAGAGTATGTGAAAAATTTTTCAAAGTATCTATTGGATCCTGCAGATCAGGTGTACACTAGACCCCCACGGGTCATGGTAGCACCGGAGCACTGGGAAACCCTTTGTGCTAATCTCCTGGCGAAGGGAGTCTTTAGCAAGATCCATGAGGATGACGTGTTTAAGGTTGATGGGAAATTGATCCTCAATGGGCTCTTCGGAGTGTCCAAACATGAATTCCAAAATGGGTTTGAAGTGATGAGAATCATCATGAACCTAATACCAGCAAACCGGCTGGTCAGAACTTTGGACAGTGATATCGCCACTTTGCCGTCTTGGTCAGGCATGACGCCACTGGTATTGATGCCCCATGAAAACTTGCGCATCTCCAGTGAAGACGTTCGCTGTTTCTTTTATATTTTCAGGTTGCCCCCTTGCTGGTTTCCACTGATGGCGTTCAATCGCCCATTACCCGACTCCCTTAAGGGGGATAAGCCGGGTAGGTGGTTTCCATGTTCAGCTGTGCTCCCAATGGGTTTCAAGAACAGCGTGGCTTTGGCACAGCACATTCACAGGTTTATCGCCAAACGAGCCCTGGGGAAAGCTAGATTGGGCGGAGAGATTGAGTTGAGGAAAGACCGCCCTTTCTCGGTAGGAAATCCTCTTTTTAGAATTTACTTGGATAATTTTGACGAATTGGCCAGGGTGTCTAAAGATGTAGCTCGAGCAATTGCTGGAAAGGTTTCACCTTTGGTCTCCTGCTTGCGTGAAGAATACGCTGTATTGGGAGTACCTAGACACCCGAAGAAGGGAGTCTCCTCTCAAAGCAAGGCTGAGGTCCAGGGAGCAATTGTGGAAGGTGAAGCAGGGATCGCGTACCCGAAACCTGAAAAGATGATCCGGTACGCTTGGTTGGCGAAGAGTCTCTTGGAAGCCACAACATGCACACAGAAACAAATGCAAGTAGTGGGGGGTGGCCTGGTCTATTTGGCCATGTTCAGATGGCCCCTCCTCGGTAGTTTGAATTCAGTGTGGAAGTTTATCCTATCTTTTGAAGGGTATCCACCCATCATTAAGCTCCCCATTCCCAAGGAAGTGAAATTGGAGCTAGCTCGTTTTGTAGGATTAGTCCCCTTGGCATATATGGATTTTCGGTGTACAGTTTCACGGATGGTCACGGCAAGTGATGCATCAAAGTCAGGTGGGGGTGTTACAGCCTCATGTCACGTTTCACCGGCAGGCTGTGTAGCTGCGCAATGCCCTGTAAGGGGAGATTTGGTGGAGCCAGCGGATGTGACCCAAGTGGTCACGGTAGGTCTTTTTGATGGGCTGGGTGCCCTCAGAGTGGCGGCCGACACGTTGGGCTGGAACGTGGTAGGTCACATCAGTGTTGAGAAGGATGATCGTGCGGCTCGTGTGGTTGAATCCAGGTTCCCAAATTCTATCCGTGTACACGATGTGGCGGAGATTGATGAGGCAATGGTACAAGGGTGGTCATTGAAGTTCTCTCAGGCTGGTCTGATTTTACTGGGGGCAGGACCCCCCTGCCAAGGGGTTAGCGGTCTCAACGCTGCCCGAAAAGGGGCTCTCAAAGATGCACGTAGTTCCCTCTTTACCCATGTATCCCGCGTGCGTACATTGCTTAGGTCAGCGTTTCCCTGGGCACAAATTCGTACACTTATGGAGTCTGTGGCGTCCATGGATCAAGGTGATCGTGAGGTGATGTCGGCTGACTTTGGTGACCAACCATGGATGGTGGATGCTGCCGGGGTCTCATTGGCGCGTAGGCCTAGGCTGTATTGGGTGGATTGGGAGCTGGTTGAATCCTGTGGTGCGGTTCTCTGTGAAGAAGGATCTGGGCAGCGTAGTGTTCAACTGAACGCGGTGCTCAATGACCAGGACTTCTTGCTTCCAGGGTGGTCGCGCGTGTCCTCTAAACCCTTACCCACCTTTACAACCTCCAGGCCTCGCTCTTCGGCAGGCTACAAACCAGCAGGCCTTCATCAGTGCAATGAAGAAGAGAAGGAACGATGGGTGCAAGACGCCTACCGTTTCCCCCCATATCAGTATTGTAATGACCATTGTCTCGTCAACAAAGCTGGGGCTCTTCGCCTACCTGCTATTGACGAGCGGGAAGTGATTATGGGGTTTCCTCGTCATTACACTACTATGTGCATGGGAAAACAGTTTCAGGGGTCAGTGGCACATGTTGATTGCAGGCTAAGTTTGATCGGCAATTCCTGGAATGTCACAGTGGTAGCTTGGCTCATGAGTTGTCTGGGGTCACTGTTGGGCCTCAACCAACAGCTCACTGTACAGCAGGTGGTGAATCGAACAAGCCCAGGGTGTACATCTGACTTTCAAACGTTTTTACAACGGCCCTGGATGCGCCGGGGGCCGCCAGTGATAGGTGTTTCTAATGAGGAAAGGCTTGTGTCAAAACTCCTGACGCTAGTGAGTATCAAGGGTGAGGACCTCATGCTCAATGCGTCCACTGAAGACCAGGTCAAGTATCACCGGCTTCGGGCCAGTGTGCCGTCAAAGTTGTGGAAGTGGAAGACTGTTACTGGCTGGACATGGCGAGACAATGCTGAGCACATCAACATTTTGGAAATGAGAGCAGTGTTAACAGCACTGCGATGGAGAGTTGAAAAACATAAACTCACGAATTCCAAATTTGTCCACTTATTGGATTCACTCGTTTGTCTGCATTCTTTGAGCAGAGGGAGATCAAGTAGTGCAAAATTAAGACGGTCCTTACTTCGAATTAATTCCTTGCTTCTTGCAACCAAATGTCAAGTTGTGTGGGCATATGTCCACACCAAGGACAACCCGGCGGATACCCCCAGCAGGTATCCCCGGAAAAGGAAATGGCGTGATGCCTAAACGACATTTGGAAGGTGCAACGCAAGAAGCTCGGATGAAAATTCGAAAAACGTTAGGACCTCTTCGTGGACTTACAGTCCAGCCTGTTACAAAAGCTCGGTACAAGACCGCAGTTGATGATTTTTTCCAGTACTTGAAAGATGAGAAACTCATCTTACCCCCTTCCACTTCTCAGCTAGATGGGGTGGTTGCAGATTACCTAGAACATCTGTGGGCAAACGGTAGTGGACGAAGCACTGCCTCAAATGTCTTAGCCGGGATGCAAGACACGCACCCTCATTTAAAGGGAAAGCTGCCCCAGTCCTGGCGGCTCTTAAAGGCATGGGTCACACATGAGGTGCCGAATCGAGCACCTCCTTTACCCCTTGACATGGTGGAAGCACTTGTTGGCTATGCCATTTTCAAGGGTCTCCATGGGTTTGCTTTAACGTTGCTCCTGGGTTTTTATGGTCTCCTGCGTACGGGAGAATTGTTGGCTCTCACAGGTGCACAAGTCACCGTCACAAGTCCGCGTGGACCAGCGGTAATTTCTCTTGGCCTCACAAAGTCGGGTAAGAGGCAAGGTGCCGCTGAGAGTGTTGTAGTTCACGTTGAGGACGTTTGTCGCCGGCTTTTTCAATGGGTCCAGGAGAAACCGAAGCACTCGCTTATAGCGGGACCAGCCCATAAATGGCGTAAACAATTTGCAGATGCCCTGGAGGCTCTGGCGTTTGACAAGTGGGACTTTCGCCCTTATTCCTTGCGAAGAGGGGGTGCGACCCACTCTTTTTCGCAGCATGGAGCTTTTGATAAACTCCTAGTTGCGGGACGTTGGCAATCCCAAAAAACAGCAAAAATCTATGTCAACCAAGGGTTGGCTGTTCTGGCGGAGCTGAAAGTAGTTTGGACCCCTTTTTCTAAACAGTTGCGACGCCAATATTTGCGTAGTTTGACCGCTCAATTGCCTCCACTTGAGCCCGTTTCACCTAGTTCACAGGCCAGGGGACGTCGGAAAGTGCAGAAACGGCACCAGAAAAATGATGCATGGGGGTTGCATCTTTTGGGGTCTAGACCCTTTCTGATCTTGGGTGTGGCCGGATCGGAAAGGAAAAAACCCGGAATACTTTGGCTAGGGGTGATCCTTGGGTTTGGCCGGGACCCCCTGGGGGTATTCCTTTTGTGGTGCGTTAAGTGGTGGTTTTTTCTCCTTTTAAATTCTTTTTTAAATTGACAACAAAGACCTTGCAGAGCAAAAAAGGGAGGTGGAATCCATGTGAGTCTTTGAATGCACGCCCTCGTGCGTAAAGAAGAACATGGTGAAACCCTGCCTTTCTATAGTTTCGGCTTAAGGGCCCCCCTTTTGCTCCCACCCAGTAACAGCACCAGGAAAGTGCAGAAACGGCACCAGAAAAATGATGCATGGGGGTTGCATCTTTTGGGGTCTAGACCCTTTCTGATCTTGGGTGTGGCCGGATCGGAAAGGAAAAAACCCGGAATACTTTGGCTAGGGGTGATCCTTGGGTTTGGCCGGGACCCCCTGGGGGTATTCCTTTTGTGGTGCGTTAAGTGGTGGTTTTTTCTCCTTTTAAATTCTTTTTTAAATTGACAACAAAGACCTTGCAGAGCAAAAAAGGGAGGTGGAATCCATGTGAGTCTTTATATATATATATACATATACAATAGATATGTAGATAGTATAATAATATCTAGAGATATATAGATAACATATCATGATATATTATATCATATATGACTGTATATTATTAACATTATATATATGCAGATGTTTGAAGCTTTTCAAGCGATTTGGTTGGGAGTGATGATCCCCGATTGCCTGCTTCAAACAGGGTGGATTTGGTCGCTGGTTCCATGGATTATAGAAATGGTTTCTAAGATGTCCTATTTGTTGATGGTTGTTATAGACATGGATTAGATCATTCGATCTATTTTCCAAATATAGCTTAAATAGATCTGACTTCGAAAATAGATCGATATAGATAGATATGATATATAGCTATGATTAAATAGATATAAATTTCTATGATAGATATGCTTAGTTTCTGCTTCGATCATAGAAATTGAAGGAAAGTGACATTGGAACTTTCCCCCGCGGGATGGTCCATCGTGAGCAGATAGACGGTCACGGGGGGGATTTTTTTTTGGACTTTTTTGGACATGCGAAGTGCGTGAAGTAAATGTCATACCCTCTGGTAAACTAACATAGCTATTGAAAATTGCCATTTATAGTGGAATTTCCCAAGTACATAGAGGTACCCTATTGATTTACCATCTGGTTATGACTAACATAGCCATGGAAAATCCCAACCATAAATGGTGGTTCTAGTGGGAAAATCATCCATAATTGGGCCATGGCTTCCATGGCTATGTTAAATAACCAGAGGGTAAATGTCACAACTGCCGGAAACACTGCTCTATTTGGGGATGACTACGACATACTATGACCATACCTAAAGCTACTGCCGGACTACCATGGGATGGATGATAGCACGGAAAAACCATATAACTTGACCCCGGCACGTAGGCTAGATACCCTCTGGTTATTTAACATAGCCATGGAAAATGGCCCATTTATGGATGATGTTCCCACTAAAACCACCATTTACAAGGGATTTTCCATGGCTATGTTAAATAACCAGATGGTAATTGGTGGTTTCAACCATAGTATGTTTCACTTTATCTCCACTTGCAACTAGCAGGATCCACCAATGGATTCTTTAGATGCCGGAAGAAAACACACATTTGCTCCAGGTAGTACCCTCTGGTAAACTAACATAACTATGGAAAATCACCATTTTTAATGGGTAAATCCACTATAAATTGCCATTTTCAATAGCTATGTTAGTCATTACCAGAGGGTACTTCAACTATACAGGATCAGTTTTATACCACGACCATGGCTATCTCGCAGAGCAATTAAAGGTGACACAGCTCTTTTTCAGCCTGGGCTGATTGCACCATGATGGCTGTATTTTTTCAAGATCAACTGGTTTAAGTAGCAAATGTTCTCGTGGATCATGTGTTGTTGACATTTGTTGTGTTGTATTTTAAAAAAATGGAAATCATGGTATGTTTCAACTAAAAAATGGTTTCCTTTTCCAACCTAACCGTAGAAATTCTGGGAGTAGCTATGAAAAAGTATCAAATGATCACGATTGGGGGAAACCATTTCTATTCAACCAGAATGGAATGCCTCCGGGATTGACATTCAACCGGTTCTGTGACTTGGATGCCCGCAGATTCCATGGGCGGTTTGCCGAAGATTGAAACATGTGATCGATGCCAAAACGAGAGTCCCAGTAAGTGTTCAAAGGAATCACGAACATACTGGTGACTGCTGTTTCGTTGCTTTCTCCCATGGTTTTGTGATGTTTTGTGTCTTCTACGCTTTGTTGCAATAATTTGTTCCATTGGTTCAGAGATCGCTACAACACCTTGAAGCATGAGCGGCAAATTGATGACCAGAACACCCTTCGGACAACAATCTAAATTTCCCACTGTATCCTGATGTGTTATAGATTGACCCACTCAACACTTTGGCCCAGTTCCCATGCCAGTTCAGCAGTTGAGCACTGACACGTCTTTTCCGCTGCACGTTGTGTTTGTAGCCTGAACTGGCCTGGATTAGAGCCGTAGCAGCAGCAAGCAGTGCGCTGTTCAAAAAGATAACGCTGCTGGATGCTGTTTGGGCAATTGAAATCTCAATGGCGAAGCCAATCATGAAACAAAGGGAATCTGGTTGGTGGTTTGGAACATGAATTTTTACTTTTCCATATATATATATTTATTGGGAATGTCATCATTCATCCCAACTGACGAACTCATATTTTTCAAGATGGTTAAAACCACCAACCAGCGAAACAAAGGGAATGCGGTTTACAACGATCCCAACATGGTGTGTTCACCTGCATGAACGCAGAGATGTCAGATATGTTTTGTGATATCGCAAGGACAACCATCTGTGACAACACAAAAAAAATCGTTGTCACGGAACAATTCTAAGGATGTCGTGCATCATCCTGTTTCCCATTTGTTCCCTATCAACATCCTGCATTTTTTGGGTATATTGTTTAGTATATATATATATATGTAGGTATACCGTATACCTGAAGGTATACGCATGTATGCTCATATTCGTGCCAATGTGTGTTTTGTTGGGTGCTGGTTGGTCTCAGCATGCTTAGTGGAAACCAAGCCACGATTGTAAGTGGTTTAATATCAATCCATACCAAACACTTTACAAGTTGGGATGGTGCCATGGCATTAAAGGGCAAAAAATCACTATTTTGGAAACACATCAACCAACGAATTCTGGGAACCCATCAACCAACTATCAACGGTAGGTTCACACGCCACGTTTGGAATTTTGCTTCTCCCATGGGATGTTTGATCCCATAGAAATAGATGGTTCACCTATTAAAAATGGTGATTTTCCATGGCTATGTTAAATAACCAGATGGTAATCCCAAACAGCGTTTTTTATGTTTCTTTGTTTATAGCCCTGGACTTCCACCATGCCCAGTTAAACTTGCACGTTCATGATAGTACATGATTCACTTGACCCCTATAGGCCTATGAAAATCACTCCGAGATCACAACTGTTGGAACTCGCACTTGTTTTCTGTCTTTGAAACAAAACTTCTGCGATCTTACGCCAATTTTTATCAAACCCTCTGGTAAACATACAAAACACTATGGAAAGATCCACCATTTTTCATGGGAAAATCCACTCTTTCTATGGCCATTTTCAATAGCAAACTGTTAGTCATTACCAGTTTGTTAATGGCTTGCTCTGCAACTCCCAGATATCGGAGCGCCCGAGGGGCCCCAGAGGTCGGATTTTTTTTTGACGCTACGTAACTAGGCCTAATTATACTGGGATCTGTTGAAAAATAGTCATTTAAACATGTGGATGTGGGTCAAAATGGAAGACCGATGTGGGACCACAGATGTGAATGTCTAGTTTAGTATTAACCATCCATAATTTTGGGGTACCTAATTTTGACCCATACCCATGTGTCATATTTTAAACATCTTGAACATGTCGTTTCGTGATTTTCAATTCAACAGTGGAAAAAAAAACACAAAAAACAAAAGATAAATAGGTTTAAAACTCACATTTGTTGACAATCTGTTTGGCATCTTCACCCTTTGGTGGTTCTTGGTTATTGCCAGTCATTGCCATCAACTAATTTGAATATTTATATATATATATATACGTAATTTAACGTAGCTATTGAAAATGGTCATTTATAGTTGATTTACCCATTTAAAATGGTGATTTGTTGATAGTTATGTTAGTTTACCAGAGGGTATATTGAATGATGGCTATCTTATGATGGCTAAGATGGCTACCGTATGACTGGTTTAAAATATCAAACGCTATGGGTTTATAAACTATTTTTCAGATTATTTGTGGTATGGGTGAAACTTAGGTACAACACCCCAATACAGTAGTTGGATGGTTCATATATGCATATGTATATATATATATACATATTAGTATATATATATATACATACATATATATATACTAAACAAGACATTCCAATCTCTGGCAGTCTGGTCCTCCAGGTCTTTAAAACACTTGAGCCGCAGGTGCAGGCGGTGGAGAGTGGCTACTGGCCGCTGTATCGCTATAACCCTGACAAGGCGGGAGAACGGGCTTGGATGTTCCACTTGTTGGTGGGTTATAATCTGTTGTAATCCATAATCCATAGATAAGCATATATATATACATATAATTCATATATACATATAATTCATATATATATATATTTATTTAGATAAGTGGGAATCTTCTTTATCATCATTGGGGCTTTTTCATAACGGTAGAAGATCCATGAACACTAGTCCTGAGGTCCTGATTTGGGGCAGCCAAGCAATTGACAGATGGAAAGTGGAACTTGGCTCACTTGGTGCAGCACCTTATAAACCATAAAAGGGTTAGCCATATATATGTTATATGTCATATGGTATTATTCAATAACATATACAGTATATGGTTATATCTGGGCGGATTTTTTCATGACCAACAGGAAACAGTTGACATGAAAACAATTGAAAACATATAATTCGTGCACTAGGAATGGATTTACAGGTCCACTATGGATCTGTTTTCCATCTCTGGGATGTTCTCAAGGCAACAACTACGCTTGGGGGGGGCTTAGGAAATCGCTAAGTTGCCACAACTCCAAATAACTCCAAGAGCTATGCGTTAATTACATTTAATGACCGTAGATTTACCGTAAATCTCTCACAGTTGGGGCCCCAACATCAGACGCATCACTGGGGCCTTCGGGAGCTCCTATGGAGGTCACAGGGGAGAACAGCGGATTCGAGTTGGACAACAAACGCATTACACCGGACGCCATGGATTCGCTGATGCGCAACGAGCACCTTGGCCGCAGTGGCCATGATTTTTCAATGTCGCCGGAAAAGATTCCTGAGGCTTGCTGTAGGAGATTAGTGAACATGAATATCCAGCTGGAGAATTGTATACCTGGTTGGTGGTTTGGAACTTTTTTATTTTTACATATATTGGGAATAATAATCCCAACTGACTAATATGTTTCAGAGGGGTTGAAACCACCAACCAGTATACCTTTCAGGTGCAAACGACCATGTTCGAAAACTTCAACCTATGAATCAACGATGTGTTCGCATGTTTCGCGCATGATTTTTCTTGATATCTCCGTGCCACTTCAAATTTAACATAGCTATTGAAAATGGCAATTGTTCATGGGAACATCAACAAACTTTCTATGGCCATGTGAAAAATAGCTATGTTAGTCGTTACCAGAGGGTACCATCTCAATGAAAAAAACATCATGTCTGCTAGATTCCATGGTGGAATTCCTCGCCATGTCCACCTACCTTTGAGGCTGTTGATTCACCAGGGGTTCCAAAAAGTCACGGTTTTGTCAGAAGGGTCCTAGATTGAGACAGCTAAAAGTTGGTACAGATGAGTCCAATAACCCACAGGATCCATGCTGGTAAATGTTACCATATATAGCATACATGGATCCTATGGGTAACAATATGCCGTATATCGATGTTTATTGGCTGATATAAAGGATCTGGGGGTTTCCATTTCCATGGTGAATCCCAAAAAAGGCTGGTTTATAAACTTTATTTCATGGAAAAAAAACAATAATAATGGATGATTTGGAGGTACCCCCATGACAAAACGGAAACCTTCATATAGCTGGGTAAATTTGATCACGACCTCACTGTTCTCCCGAACCCTGGAATCATGGTTAGGATTCGGGGAATCATCCCCAAATAGATCCAAATAGCCTTATTTCAGGTTAAAGAAATATTATCATTTAGCCAGATACAGCTATAGTATTCATGGGCTCTAGCAATTTACAACGTCAAAAAGCTGGCCTCTTAGCGGCTGCCCAGGAACCGCTTTACCTCACTGCAGCGTTCGGCCCCTGAATATGCGCAGATGTTGCAAAATGCCATGAAAGACGAGCTGCTTGGTGATGGTGGAGAAATGTGTTTCGAAAAATCTGGGTGAAACTAACTCGCAACTGATGGTGGTTTTTTTCGGACATAATGAAAATCATAGAGGATATTTCGATGGTCCGCCCCCGTTTTTTACAAACGGCGCCGGCAAGCAGCAGTTCACCATCACCAGAAATACCATTGCTGTGGCCACAACAATGCCATTTGCACCATCCCCCAGTCATCACCAAAATCACCATTTTTATAGGTGGTATAAACTTACCATTCCCAGTCATGGGTGGTTTATGGCATTGTTTTGCCCGCATTAGTTGTTGTTAGTTACAATATCCCTACGTATGTTTGCATCATTTTGCTGCCTATCTTTCCATTGTAATCCTGTTGTTGTATCTGCATTAGTTGGCCTTGCTGGGGTCAACTAGCATTGTGAAATATAGATTGAATAGAATTGCTTAGAACATGTGGAACACTTTTGGATCAACACGTTTGCATCAACACAACTTGGTTTCCGAAGCCGCAAGGTTTCCTGCAAAGTGTCGTCCCGTCGTTCCCGTCTTTGTTGAAAATACCCATAGAATCCATGGTGCTGCTATATATGGTAACATGGATCCCATCCATATACCCCAGTCATGTTAGCATTAATATACCAGCACCATGGATCCTGTAGGATATGATATTAGTCAGTCCTTTATCACAATGATTATATGAGTAAATAAACGCCTTTCTTGTTCTTGGTTGTTCGGTGATGTACCCTCCGGCAATCAAACCATAGCGCCGCGTGGATAGCGTGCGCGTGTGGTGGTGGGGTGGGGTAATAACATTCATGTATACGTGCACACCTACCAAATGCTACCCTAGAGATGTTACGCTGTCTCTTCTTGCACTTGCACATGTACTTGATGTTACGCTACAGATGTCTTCACTAGCACTTGTACACACACACACACTTAATGCTACGCTACAGATGTCTTCACTAACAAACTCAGAAAAAGACATAAGGTGAGGAAAGCCGGCACACAACAGAGTGATCGCATTTGGGACCACATAAAGACATATATTCCCAACACACTCAAGAACCATTCTTCACTTCAATATGACACTTCAGAAAGCATGATGACATATATATATATAAAGGATCTTTGTGGAAAAGCCTGGGGGCACTTTTTTCCAACTTCAAGTGTTGAAAGGTGACCCACTCGCAGCCTTGACCCAAAAAAGCGCATAAAGTGCTGCGAGGGTTGCCCGAAATCAACTTCCTCGGTAACCCTTCCATGACTTTAAGCTTCTTCAATCAACACATCCCCAAGGGAAAATTGGGGTTTTGACAACATTCCATTTTGAACCCTGCTTCAACACGGTTGCAACCGCACTGCATCCTCAAGGCGCTGTCACCATGTTTTTGCCATATAAATGCGCTAAAAATCGTCGATTTTCCCATTAACGAAGCCTCCATTTACAGATTTCCCAGCTATAAACCTTCATTTATGATGTTCCCAGCTATAAACTATAAACCTGATTAAACCTGCATTTATGGATAAATTTCTTCTTCAAACCTCCATAATTCTGGATGATGTTCCCCTTTATTTATATAAACCTTCATGCATGTATCGTGGATATCCCAGCCATACAAACCTCATGTACAATGCATTTCCCAGCCATGTAGCTGATGACCGGAGGGTAAGTTCCATGGCTCTTTCAGGTTCTTCGCCCGCCACGAGACACGGAAACGACGCGCCATGGGCGACGAGGAGTAGATGCTGTTCCACTTTGAGCTCGGAAAAATGGTGAAATTGACTGACTTGTATATAATGGATGATGTCTAATGATGTATATATATATGTATTTAATTATTTATTGCTTTATTTAATTATGCTATATGATATGGTTTACGAATATTTTTCAACCTCCCAGTTACTGGCTTGTGGATTTTATGGGGACCCCCTGGCTGATGAAACCCCCATTCCCATAGAACCAAACACCCCGAGACTGTACTTGGAGGTGAAGTTGGGGTTATGGATTGATACTTGGGGTCATAACCTCCATAAGTTGGGATATAACTCCTCTAGCTATGTGAATATTGCAATATAGCAAATGATTGCGGTGACAGTTTCTTGTTGACGGAATTGGGGCTTCAATTCCTGACACCGTTCCCCGAAAGTTGCCAGGATCTTTTGGAATATCTCAAGAAGTCCATGGGAGAGCAGGTTCCGGCTGGAGCAAATGGGGAACGTGCGGCTGGATTTACGAGCAGATGTCCTACATCTGCGAGCAGATGCTAGCAATATGTAGCAGTTGCTGATATATGAATCCGACATATGTATCCGGTTTGTTGCTGACATATTATCCAGACATATTATCCAACAGTTGCTAATTGGATATATCGGGTGACAGTTTGTATCCGAAGATCTTGTGACATCTGACGGGGAGATGAGTAAAGGTACAACCAACAATCATGGGAATATATTGGGATATATCATTACATAACCAACAATCTGATGTTTGGGTGTGTCTGGAAATGGGGTATACTTCCCAGCTAGCAATTTCAAGAGGGAGAATTAAAATCCTGAACCAGTGGTTGGAATAGGGTAACCTTTTTGCAGACAAACCTATATGGAGACATCATAGGGATATAGATTGACATATCCTATGGCACTCCCATTTTGCCGGGTTGATCCAGCTCTTTGTTGGTTACATCCCGCTAGAGTTTGTTAAAAAGCTGGATTATTTTATCCCCGGAAAATCATGGGTCTCCATCTTCCATTATATCCCTACTATATATTATCATACACCATTAATGTGTATATTATTGGTTATGTAGTTGTATCCCCAAAAAATTGCTGGTCATACCACGTTTTTTTTCCCATGATTGTTGGTCTAATATTGCTGATAGATATCCCATAAAACCAATCTTTTGTTTTTTTTCATCCACATCAAAGAACACACAATATATCATTAAACAATATATATATATATATCACATGTGTTGTATATCATATCCAAAATATAGCACATATCCAGCGTTTTATCCCAGCTTTTGGTCGATGTTTTTCGAGGTCACTGGTGAGCGTGTCACCGTGCTCTATGGCACAGATACAGGCGCCTGATTCCTTGAAGGGACGCAAGGAATTCCTAAGTGGTATATGAGCACGTTTACTTTGCCCATTTGGTACCATTTATATATATAGATATAGATAGATATAGATAGCATACATTTATATATAGCATATATATATATAGAGCACATATATACATACGGCACATATGTATATATAGCACATTTATATATAGCACATATGCACATGTTTATATATATATAGCACATATATACATATAGCACATATATATATATATAGCACACATATATTTATAATTAGTATATTAGCATATTATCCTATACTATATCATATTTAGATATACAACAGACATGTAGATAAGAGAAACCCCATCGTGTGTTCGTGGGATATGATCCAGCTTCTAACTGGGATGTACAGCACAAGGATCATTGTTTGGGTTTGTCTGAAAATCGGGCATAGCTAAATCCATTGGTTAGTCATCATCACATCACTATTTTTAGCGATAGCCATTTAAGCGAGGTATGCCCACTTTTCAGACATGTGTAAGTGTTGCTGGGTTGTATGTGTACTTGCGTGCCTTTGTCTTCGTGTATTGGTGCTTGTTGGGAAAATCCAGCCACAGACTTTTCTGCCTGGCAGCCCTTTTTGTACTCAGTGATCAAGAGTGCAGATGAGACATGGTCCTCAGTGGCTTATAGCGGACCTATAACCTTAACCCTTACAAGTGGGTGATACCGATACCCTCGTGCTACCAACCATCAATCGATCTAAAAGATCTAAAAGGTCTAAAGATTCGAAACTTCATCCAGCATGGGGCAGGCAATGCCGAAATGGTAGCCAAGAACTTCCAGTTCGAATTCAAGCGTCGAGGCGTGAATCTGTTCCGGTTGCCTAGTTATCTTACCTCAGGGACAATTGATTGCCCCAGTCATAGGTTTCCTGAATACCAAGACTGCGGTACGAACCCATACAACCCATACATTATTATATTGCCTATATATATATATAACTTATATAACCCATATGTATATATATATAACCCATATATACCCATCTTAAATAAAATCAATAATTGGATGTTCTTCACCCACGCACGTCTTAAGACGCTTGGCACTTGTTGATCCCAACCAGGTTTTTTGTTGCTGGGATGATCCTCGAATATGCTGGGATGATCCGAAGCAATAGTGGTGGTTAATAGTGGTGGTTAATAGTGGTGATTTAGTGAGATTTAGTGGGATTTAGCCTCTGGCAATGACTAACATAGCTATGGAATTTGGCCATAGAAATAGTGGATTGTCCCATTAAAAATGGTGATTGTCCATAGTTATGCAAACGTTTACCAGAGGGTAGTAACAGTTAGTAATAGTTGGTTGATGGATAATGTTTCATGATCTATGACTGATTGGTGGTTTGGAACCATGGAAATTTATGACTTTCCATATATTGGGATCATACTCCCAACTGACGAACTCCATGATTTTTCAGAGGGGGGTAGGTCAACCACCAACTCCTGAATTTCGTGGCTTCAAAATAGTGAACAATGGTGTTTTAAACTACCCTGAGTCAACCTACCACTTGCCGTACCAGTCCACTGAAAGCATCATTTTCTGCAGGCATGAAAGCGAAGTGTTTGTCTCTCAACGACATGCCAATCTCAGATCTGGCAGAGGCGACCTTGGTGATCCCGGAAGATGAACATCCCAAGATCGACCCTGGTGAAATACATCGGGGTTTCCATAAATCTGGGTAAATTATAACTTATAACGACCTCACTTTTCTCTCTCACTGGAAATCATGGTTAGTAAGGGAAATCATCCCCAAATGGCCTTAATTCAGGTTAGTGAAATATTATAATTTACCCAGATAAATGAGGCTACCCCAAGCTTGCTTAGGATGAATGGAAAATCCCTCCCAAAAAATGGATAACTGGGGGTACCCCCATGACAAAACGGAAACCTCCATATCGGATCTGTTGATATGTATGATATGTAACTATAAGGCTCCCAGGGGGGTTGGGTGATAAATGGTGAAGGCTGGAATCGCTCCAAATGATGTGCCCAGTTTGCGGAAGTCTTGGGAGATTTCCATCAGAAATCCAGGCCGAAGAGTTTGAAGTGTCCACAGAACTTGTTATCCCTGATCACTTCCAAACAGTAAACAACAGCAACAACAATAACAACAACAGCAAGAACAACAACAACAACATCATCAACGACAACGACAACGACAGCAACGACAACAACGATACCAAGGACAACAACCACAACAACCACAACCTTAAGTTGAACTTCAACATCTCCGTGTTTTCCAACGTCAGAATTTCACGCGAATATCACCAGCTTTTTTTCAGCCGTTTTTTTCCACATGTGTTTCCACATTTCATAGAAGTTCACCCTATAAAAAATCACATATAAATCATATATATATATACCATATAAATCATATATATACCATATAAATCATATATATATATCATATATAAATCATATATAAATCATATAAATCCTATAAATCCACCATGTTTCAAATGTTTTTTTCCACATGTTCCGTGGGTCGAGAGGAGTCCAAAGTGCTGGCCATCGTGGCCACGGCTGGACAGGGAGAAATGCCCAAGAGCGCGGTGAAGTTTTGGCAGGACGTGACGGGAAGTCTCCGGGTTTTGTCATGGGGGTACTGCGGCAGTGATCATCCATTTTTTTGAATGGATTGGGAAGGGAATTGTGTTCACCCATTTTTGGGGATATCCCAAGTTATCATCCATTCTGGATAATGTATAGCTAATAATAATCTGGTTTGTGGTTTCAAACATTTTTTATGTTCTACAATATAGGATAATCCTTCCCATTGACTAATTTTTTTCAAGACGGGTAAAACCACCAACCAGTCATGGGGGTACCCTCTGGTCAATGGATTGGTTTAAAGGAAAATTTTAACCGGAAACCATGGTTTTTACCATGAAGATCATGAGGTTTTCCTGTAAATTTTCCTCTAAACCAATCCATTGAATGGGGGTACTGCCAGTGATCATCCATTTTTGTTTGGGGTTATCCATGAACGAAAGAAACGGGAAGGGATTTTTTATCACCCATTTTTTGGGATATCCCAGGTTATGATCTATTTTTTGAAGGGACAGAGCTATAGATGGGATAACCCACAAGTAAAGGCTAAGCAGGATGATGAACCACTTACATCACTTACATCACTTACATCACGTGGATTCTCCAAGCACCATGGCTTTCCATGGCTTCTTCCCAGCAAACGCGGTTCCTTTCTTCGACCAGGACATGGAAACCTTCCTGGAGACAGCTCCGGCAGACTATCTCAAGGCCACGCACGGTAGGCTGTGCACTGTTTCTGTAAACCTGTCATATTAATGTGTCATCATTATTTCAGAGGATTTCTATATATTATAATGATTACAGCAATTTATGATCGTGTCTTTTTCACCATCCATCAGTTTTGCTTCTTTTGATGGTGGATTTTAAGTTGCTTGGGGTGAAACACCACATGCAATCAGTTGCTCAGATAGTTGGAATGATTCAGGGAGTGCAATCAGTACCTTCCCTGGCAGTCCATGTCCAGATATTCTAGTGGAAAACCTACAGTCATGGCCCATGGCCCTATACCACTTATAAGTCAGTTATAATATGTTATAACCCTATTTATGGAATGATAAGCCCATGTATAACTATAAAAAGAACTGGTTTCTACGGCTTTGTACTGAACAAAAAAGAATCAACCAAAATGCCGGAGACCACCACCAAATCTGAGACTCACCCAAACATGGGCATACTGTAGGTCTGCACCAAGAACCAGGACTGGTTGGTGGTTTGGAACATGTTATTTTTCCATATATTGTGAATAATCATCCCAAGTGACTTTCATATTTTTCAGAGGGGTAGGGCTCAACCACCAACCAGAGGAGATTTAACCGCTAAACATCACCGAAAAAATCACCGAGCTTTGAGGACACCAAGTTCGCCGTCTTCGGTCTTGGAGATTCGTCCTATGTCTTTTTCAATGAGGTGACCTGGCGTTGTTTGTTTCAGTGTGTGTATATATAGGTGTATGTATATATATATAGTGTAGATTAGTGTATATAGGGTGTATATAGATATAATGATATATACACACTTCCATATATCTGGGTAAATTTGATCACGACCGAACCCTGTTCTCCCGAACCCTGGAATCATGTTTTTTTTTAGGTAGATCATCCCCTCAAATGGCCGCAAGATTCAGCTTAGTGAAATATTATAATTTACCCAGTATCATGGATTAATAAACCCCGTTTACGGCTGTTTAATTGGGAGGGTACCATAAAAAAGTGTCAGATTATGACTATTGGAGGAGTACCACCCTAATTAATAAACCATGGTTTAGCAAAATCCAGGGTTGACATTATCTGATATACCCAGTGGTGGCCTCAAACGTGACAAACGTGGCTGGTTGGAAAATCATCTATCAATGGTGGATTGTCTTTTGCCACGTTTGATTAAAGGGATGGTATATATATATACCCTCTGGTTATGACTAACATAGCCATGGTATAGATGGTCCATAGAAATAGATGCTTTAACGAACTTAAAAATGGTGGATCTTTCCATGGCTATGTTTATGTTAGTCATAACCAGAGGGTAAATCAAATTTAAATATAATAATATAAATATACCTGGATCTTCCAATATATAATTTAAATATAATTGGCTATTATGATATAATAATTATTATATACACATATCTGTGTCGACGTGTCTCTCTGTATCAAATCATGGGTGGACTTACTGGACCGAAGCAGATCTAAAAATATTGCAAAAAACCATGTCCGAAAAAACGGACGAAAAAAAGGCTGCCATTTTATGACCTCCCCCATTGAAGCTAAAATAGTGGGACGGACTCTTCGATATGGAAAACCATATCTCCTCTGAACACGTGTTTTCGCTGTGAGCTGCATCATTTTGCCGTTGGTAGGAAAAAATGCCTCAGTACCATGTGGGCGAGTCTGAAAATGGGGCATACTTCCATTTTATCATATGTTTTCCCGTTTTTTTTGATGAAGTGGTGGATTTGGGGGAAATATATGTATGACCCATGTTTGGAGAGTCTCATATGTTCATATTGTGAACAAACGTATTTTGATTTACTGCAAAAAGGAGCTTTATTGGAAGAAAATCATGATGCATCCCCAAAGACTTTCCAAATCTTTCCAGGCATCCCAATACTGTTGGAAATGTTCATGTCTTTATATGACCTCAAACGACCAGACTCCATTTCTGCGGCTTGAAGAAAGAGTTCATTTGATGGCCTTCAATGCGGGATCTGTACTCCAAACTATCCAGATATGCTGATTCAAGATATTTTTTTAATAGCCATCCAATATGTTAACAGGAAGACCCATTTCTTTGTTGTACCAACATGTCCAGGGGGGTCCTATGAAATATATAAAACATGTCAAGGAATTGGTCCTTGAATCAGCTATCTTGGCTGCAAAAAAAAAACTATTTGAATCGTCGATTTCTGTTGGATTTCTGAGAAAATCGGGTATGTCCAATGGGATCATAATGATGATTATAATTATCATCATATCATTGTTCAATGATATATTATATATAATTATATATATAATGGGATGATAATCCATTATTCAACGATATTTTCATGATAATCATAGTATCATTGAATAATGGTATGATGATATTAAATGATATTTAATTGGTATGTCCCATGATATTAATTTCATTTCCATTCAATGTCCCATGAAATCCTTGATTCAACTAATGATGGTCTGGTCGTCAGACGGGATCCCCCCGCGACACGACGAGGCGGCCAAGCGCATCGACGAAGCCTTCGAGAAATTGGGCGGAGAGCGGGTTCAGTCCTTGGGCGCCTTGGCAGCACCGGAAATGTGAATTTCTTGCAAAAATCCATGGGAATTTCAGAATCCTAAAATGGATTTAACGGTGGTTTAATGGTGGTTTAATGATGATTTAGTGAGATTTAGTGGGATTTAGCCTCTGGTAATGACTAACATAGCTATTGAAAACGGCCATTGAAATAGTTGATTTACCCATTAAACATGGTGATTTTCCGAAATAGCCAATACTCATTTTGATGATGCTTCCCCATCATTATCCTGAAAACATATGGCATCCATTTTGCTTTTGGATATTCTATTTTGAGGCAAACTCATGTGGGAATCTAAGCCACAAAATATGATGTTCAAGAGCAGATATTTGCTGCTTGGTGGTTTGGAACATTGGTTTAGTATGGAATAATGATGGTTAATGATGGTTAGTAATCACTGGTTGGTGGGTTGGAACATGAATTTTATGACTTTCCATATATTGGGAATGTCATAATCCCAACTGACGAACTCATATTTTTCAGAGGGGTAGGTATACCACCAACCAGTTGACATGGAAGTGGAGTTCAACACAATATGGAGGATGCGTTAAAAAAACGCCAGGCTTTACCACCAAACGAATGATTTTGCAGACATGGTTCAGATATTTTCAGGTTTGGTGAATTATGATGAAATTCAGCCAGACAGATGGGATGTTCAGTAAATATTCCTATTATAGGTTGTAATATGTTGTAATAATTTCCATATATGTCCATGAAACCTGGTAGTATAATTCCATATGACCAGATATAACCAAGCAACAATGGTACACTCTGGTAATTTTTCACATAGCTATTGAAATGCTATTGAAAATGGCCCAATCGAAATAGTGGATTTTCCCAGCTATAAAATGGTGATTTTCCAGTTCGTTTTTGGTATGTTTACCAGGCCGGGTAATCCCAATATTATCCCCCTATAAATTCCTATCAAACCCCATGGTATAATTCCATATAACCATATATAACCATATATAACCAGAGGGTAATCCCCATTATATCCCATGTAAATCCCATATAAATCCCTATAAATCACTGTAAATCCCTATAACCAAGCAACAATGGCATTATTTTTTTCGCCCTGGTGGCTGTCCAACGGACCGTGCCACTCGGTAAAAATCTCGCGACGATTTTTCCGTGTTGCATCGAGGCTTGGGAGATGATCAACACCCCGCAGGGAGCCCAGGAAGAAAAGCCAGGATCGAAGTTGTCCAACTCATCTATGGTATATCTTTATATATATATAGTGTAGATTAGTGTTTTTTTAGGGTGTATATAGATATAATGATATATACACACTTCCATATATATGGTATATCCATATATATATAGTGTCTGATTGGTGGATTTAATGGTGGTTTAATGGTGGTTTAATGATGATTTAGTGAGATTTAGTGGGGTTTAGTGGGATTTAGCCTCTGGTAGTGACTAACATAGCTATTGAAAATGACCATAGAAATAGTGGATTTTCCCATTAATCATGGTGATTCTCCATAGTTATGTTAGTTTACCAGAGGGTATCCATGTATATATATATAGTGTAGATTAGTGTTTTTTTAGGGTGTATATAGATATAATGATGTATACACACTTCCATATATCTAGTTAGTGAAATATTGTAATTTAACCAGATATATCACGACAGGATGGGGCCCCCAGTTGCCTTAGAAAAGTGGTGGGTTTTTCTATGGTTTATGGATGTTTATGGTAGATATAGCTAGAGTTAATGGATGTTAATGGGGCTCACAAACCAACAAACATAACTGGGGGGCCCCATCATGTATGGTATTTGGAAGTATTTGGGATATATCACCAATGGGTATTACTAGTGATATCATGAATAAAAAAAACCTGTTCAGTCTGGGTTTGCATTGGATAAAACGACCGGGAGAACCCCTGTTCTCCCAGAGCCTGGAATCCAGCCGGTTTATTTTAGGGAAATCATCCCCAGCCGCAGTTTATTCAGGTTAGTGAATGATTACCCTCTGGCAATTTAACGTAGCTATGGAAAATCACCATTTTTAATGGGAAAACTCACTATAAATGGCCATTTTCAATAGCTATGTTAGTCATTACCAGAGGGTATAATTTACCATTGCAATCATCCCATTGGATATCATCCCAGCCGCAATTTTTTCCAGTGGTGCGATATATTGATTAGATCAAAAACAAGATCTATAGATCTAAGATCTTTAGATCTTACATAAATATTTATGTATCATTGATGGTTATTTATATCAGTTATATCACCATTTGTTGATGCTTAAACCATCTGAAAAACCTCCAAAAAGGTGCTTGGTTAAATCATGGCACTGCTGGTTGTTTGACTCAGCGCCAGGGACGCTTTGATACCGAGTTGGAGGCCTCTCCAGTGAGATGAGTAGGTGAATGGCTTAAGCAATGTTTTTTTGTAGCCACACAAGTGGGTTTATATCACTTTCGTAATAGGTTTAAGGTGGTTCAATGGGATATTTCATGGTGATTTAATGGTGATTTAACGGTTATTTATGAGTCAATATGTTTTGCTTAATTAAGTATAGGGATCAGTGATAGATCATGATAGATCTAATGTATCTGATATCAACGATGGAATGGGTACTGAACTGAGAAGAGATGGACATATCTGAATATATTACGATACCCTCTGGTAATTTAACGTAGCTATTGAAAATGACCATAGAAATAGTGGATTTTCCGATTAAAAATGGTGATTTTCAATAGCTATGTTAAATTACCAGAGGGTATATCAAACGATATTTTATGACAACCTTAGATCGCGACGTCTCTCTCTCTCTCTCTATTTGATGGTTAGGGAAGCATCCCATAAATCGCCCTGTCCCAGGCTGGTAAATACAATAAATTTTAATAGATATGTATTGCAAGAATGGATGCGTGCCGTCTAGTGGAAGTCATCTACACTTATGGCAATTTAGTTATAACTGGTTATGAAACTATGGGATTATACATAAACCATAAACGGGGCTATGTCAGTACTTATAACTGGTATTTCGGGCCATAACTGTAATTATAAATAGTGGATCTTCCAGCAAGCCATGTTTGATTGACAGGGGCTAAATCTCGCGTATCTGTTTGATGTCAGAATTTGGGGTTCCTTATGATTTCCCACAGATGCTCGGTATATGGTACTGGTTTAGGTGGTTTGGAACATGATTTTTATTGCTTTCCATATATTGGGATTAATGGATTATAGTGGTTTAATGGATTTTTATGATTATGACTTTCCATGCAGTTGGGAATGGAATAATCATCCCAACTGACGATTCGTCATATTTTTCAGAGGGGTAGCTCAACCACCAACCAGGGTATATTGTACAAACATTTGCTCCAACGGCCCATGTGTACGTTTGAATCTGCATCGAGCGTACGTGGATATAAGTGGTTGATCTTGCGCATTAAATATACCCTCTGGTTGTTTAACGTAGCGAACTGGAAAATCCATGAAATAAACTGAGGTTTATAGCTGGGAAAATCATCTGTAAATGGGCCATTTTCCATAGCTATGTTAAAAAACCAGAGGGTATCGATAGTTACAGATTATGACCATACCTTATATTATGAAATGTATGTATATATATATATATATGTGATTGTGTATGTGATAATTGAATATATATATATACATATATATATACATATTTATATATATACATATATATATACATATAGATATATTTACATATATATATATACATGTGAAGTGAGTGAATATAAAAAAATACGTACATGTTGTGACCACGGTATATATTGGTTCATATCATAGTAGCCATGGCGGCTGCAGGAGTGGAGCCCTGACTTCTACGACAACATCGAAGCTCCAGAGCCACCGCAGGCGAGGAATGTCTCCAACCATTTGAGCCATTAACGATACCCTCGTGTTATTACATACGGTGTGTGTATATATATATATATATACATGGAATATCAACATACATTGTGGAATAATGCGGAATATCTAGAAATCATGATATATGGACACACATTCCATGGTATACATAGTACTATATTATCATATAATCATATATGGAATGAATATATGGAATATCACCAACCTGTGGGATTTTTCATGGGATATTTTTGCATCAACGATCGATAATGGATATTAATGGTTACTGTCAGATCTGTAAGGAGATTTACTACCTGGGTTTTTGGGGATTATGAACTAGCCAATTTTCCTGGGATTTTTGTATCAACCAACTAGTACAATGAGACAGACTAGGGGTAATGGCTCATTTGGTGGGGATACCCTGCAGCATTCACAAGCATTAAAGAATGGAAAATCACCATGTTTTAACAGGTAAATCATGTATAAATGGTAATTTTCAACAACTATGTTACACCACTGGGATTGTATTTCATGGGATACACTGTCATGGAACTTCATTAATGGAACATATATGGGCAACCATCATTGGACCAACCCTTCGATGAACATATTTGTAATGGAATAAATATATATATATGTGTAAATATTTACCATCCAAAATAACTCTGTTGCCAATTGACAATGAATATGGCTTTGTCGTGGAAACTTATCCCCAAATAGCCACATTTCCCGGATTCCAGGAAAAGATAAATATTTTTCTGGGACGTCAAATGGATGGCTGCAACTAAAAACTGAGGTAAGGCCAAATGTTTGGTGATGTTTTTGTATAAATATCTATCAATGGAATGATATTGCTTTAACCTAAGCAGCTAAAGTTGAAGTTGTTGGCAGGGTATCTAAGATTATAAACAGCTTCGAAGTTCCCAGAACATGCATCCAAGACTTGTCCAAAATTGGCCATGTATAATGTCAAAGTCGGATTACCTACCCCTGGTTGATGGAAAAATAGAAGGGTTTCTTCCAAATATCCATATTAATATATATATATATATATCCACATATACATATATACACACATATATATATAATTATATATATATGTACATATTGTTTTCAATCATACTACCCTCCTGTAAACGAAGACTTCGACGTTTTTGTTCTCGACCGAATCTTCAGGAGTTGAGTCCTCCATCCCATTTGGTGGAGATTTTGCCGGCAGATGATCCGAAGGCGCTGGCCTGCGGCGCTGTGATATCTTGCCAGGTGGAATGGCCTAGTGATATCTGGCCATATTTTTGGCCATATTTAGTGGGGATATTCCCTGAAATTTAGGCCTGGAACATGGGCCTTATATATGGTAGGTACCTCCAATTTAGGATCCTGAAATGGCCATTGATGATATCTATCATAGTTGCACTATAGTCATTGGAGTTATCTTCAGCAACTTAGCATCAACTTCATGTGAAAAAAAGTCGGCCTGACCTTGTGTTGGATATTAAAGGCAACATGGTTATCTACTGAATCTACTTCTTATTCCAATGTGTCAATTGACATTACCTCAAATCAGCTTTTGTCTGAAGATATGGTACCCCTATATGGCCTCTGACTAGTCATCATGTTCTCTATGAAAGTGCGCCATTTGCGGTCTGTCCTGACCCCAGGTCCGAAGGTCCATTAATGGGTCCTATCAATGGATGGCACAAAAATTGGATATCAATGATTAAAATGGATGCAGAAAAATGTGAAAAATGGTGGTTGCATCAAAAGTATTTCTCCATCCCATGGTTCTCTTTCGGATGGCCTTGTCCACACCATGACGGATGACCGATGATCACATGATAGTCCTGCAAAATTGGCCGAACACATCCTAAAACGTAAGGGAGCTATTGAAAATGGCCCATTTATAGTGGATTTACCCATTGAAAATGGTGATTTTCCATAGTTATGTAAACGTTTACCAGGCCGGGTAACACATCCTAAAACTGCCAGCGCTATTGAGTTCTATCAAAGCAAATTCTGCGGATCTCGCATATCTCCCGGGATTAATGCGGATTGATTAGGACCAAAACGGGTTGCTTTCAGCTTCAGAATCTCTATTGTTGCAACTTTGTGTCTTTGGCTAACGGTAGTGGGTTTCGTTTGCATAACTATATGATTCTCATGATTTCATGAACATCTCCTGACATTACCGCCCTCACAATTTCCATATACCAGATCAATAGCCATTTTAGGAACCGATTGATTGGAGGTACCTAGCATATATTTTTGGCCTATTTTTCAGGCCTAAATTTCAGGGAATATTCCCACAAAATATGGCCAAAAATATGGTACTAACGTAATTACCTCCATCTTAGGATGCTGAAATTCCCCATCTGAACACATTTTTCCCGTCTGAAGTCCATGTTTTATACCACGCCTGAACTCCACCAAGTTCCAGGCAAAACGCATGGAAGCCTATGTGCCCGCTGGATCTAAGCCCGTGCAGATGACGGTGAAGAGGCCGAAACTTTGTCCTGGCTGATGGATATTTGGGAATGATGGTTTAAGGGGAATGATCCCAGTATAGTCTTATTTCAGGTTAGCAAATTAATCTTGATTGCCTAGATATTTGGATGGCCTAAAACATATTGCATTTTGCTGTATCTTTAATGGACGTTGGCCATTTTTTGGGTGGAAATATCTAGGAAAGAACATCAGAGAGATGTTTGAATGGAAATCCATTTTGTTGGAAAAATCATGGATGGACATGTCCAAATTTCATGCGAAAATATGGGAAAAGTGTCTGTAGATGGCCTAGCATTGATGATTATGACTTGTATGGAGCAAACATGTTTGAACGATTGTGAAATCATTCTAGTGGTTTGCTCCAAAAAGAATCGTTCAAAGATGTTCGACTTCTTTTTTGTGGTTTGCCAAATAATATGGTTAAATAGTTGCCATATATATATACCTATTGTTTGACTATTTATCTGGTTGGTGGTTTGGAACATGACTTTTATTTGTCCATTCAGTTGGGAATGTAATCATCCCAACTGACGAAGTCATATTTTTCAGAGGGATTGAAACCACCAATTAGTATTATTGTTTGACTATTATTGTTTGAAATCATTCTGGGTTTAGTAGAATCCGCCTGAATTCTCAGGGTGGAAGCTTGGGGATGTGATTCAGATCTCATCTCAAGTGAACCTAGCGGTCCTGGCGGTCCTGCCCTTTGAATTCACTTGGAATGACACCCTGGGAGACGGCTCAGATCCATCCTATTCTGGTTGGTGCTTTGGAACATTTTTATGACTTTCCATATATTCGGAATGTCATCATCCCAACTAGTTACTCATATTTTTCAGAGGGGTAGGCTCAACCACCGACCAGTATTCTAACATCTTCTATAGGTGATTGATGATAATCAATGTTTTTCCCATTGAAACCCTCTCGAAATTGGGCTTCAAGCATCGGTTAAATGCCGCTCGTTGTTTTATTGATCGCCAGGTCGACAGTGCCCGAGGGCTATGAGCGTGCCATCGATCACTTCGAGTTTGACCTTACAGGTTCGCCCGTAGTTTCACCCCAGTCATTAAGTCTGGTATCACATGAGCAGTGGCTGCTAAACCCCTATTGGTTGATGATTAGTTGGGGGATTATACTAGCCTTTATATATTCGAGATTATAATAATCCAAAGAAATCCCTATAAACCTGGAATTATAGAGGGATTTTGAACACTGCTCAAGTGGTATATCATGACGGAGACTATTCATATATATATATATACATGATATAGCAAATCTGATAGATGATATTGGTGGCACATATATATATATATATATATATATAATTATATATATAATTATATATATATAATTATATATATATAATTATATATATATATCACTAAGCATACTACTACAGTTAAAGGGTGTTACCAGCTATAATGGTGAGTTTGATTTTTGTTCCATAAATGGGCTTATTTCATTGACTTATAAACCCTAAAGGGCTGTAACTTTGCTTGTTGAACAGCCAATTGAATGATTCTAATGCGAGTAACGCTCCTGCGTGAAAGAAACTTCAATGACCAGCTTGGTGGTTTCTACTAACAACCGCGATCTTTAGTTAACCCAGAAATAAACTTAAGGTAAATCTACTAAATTTCTATAAATACATTGTAAAATTTGTAAATAGCAATTTCATGAGTCAATTGAAGATGATATTTGTTCCATTTCCATTTCCATTTCCATCCAGCCTTCACCTCATCCGAGCCAGTTATGGCACAGGTAGCGGCCTGAGCTATGAACAGGGAGATTCCCTGGGCTTGTGGCCTTCCAACCCCAAGAAGCAGGTGGAATGACTGGAGATGGGAGAATTCTTCGTGCTGATCACTTGATGTTAAACAGCAAAAAGCCTAATATACTGCAGTAGTGGTGGTTTTTCGAGTGGTTAGTAACGGTTAGTAATGGTTGATGGATAATTTTTCAGAGGGGTAGGTACACCACCAACCAGCATATACTGCAGCAGACTTGAAGCTCAACATTTTGAGACCGATCTTCAGAGTTTCAGAAGGCAATCTAGCTGCGAAATTCAGTGTGAATGCCTTGAGACCAGGCTGTCAGATGCTGCAAAACATGGTTTGTTTTCCCAGTGAAAGAGATGATCATCCATCCATTGATAGGACTTTATGCCCGTGATGTTAGGATTCCAATATGGAGCGGATGTTGTTGAAAGACCCTAGCAGCTCAGCATCCGACTAGAAATAGCCTGTTGTGGGGATGAGAATTACGGTGAGTCATCCTGAAGGACCGTCCTGGGGTACACCGATCATCACCAATGTTTTTGTCATGTGAGTTTTACCAAGAGAGACTTGGAGAACTGGGGGTCACCATTAGTTCATTGACATAGCAAGAGGGGTTACCCTCTGGTAAACTAATGTAGCTATATTATAATATTAATATGTGTGTTTAATGGGTAAATCCAGTATAAATGGCCCATTTTCAATAGTTATGTTAGTCATTACCGGAGGGTATACAGCAACTTATTGTGTCTAATTAATCAGATTGATATTATAATCAGACCGTTTCATGACAACTATTTGTCGCTGATACATTGGAAATGATGGTGAAATCATTCAAAATCCAGTGTGAATCTGCAAAATCCTCATGAAAAACCACAGTTATGGCCCGAAACACCAATTATAAGCAATAACCCCATTTATGGAATTTATTATCCCATTGAAACAACCAGTTATAACCAATACATGGCGACAACTGCAGTATAAATTGGTGATTTTCCCATCTTGCTGGTGGAATTTTCTGCGCAGGTGGATATGTGCCTCATGGCTCTCAACATGAAAGGACCGCCCGCAAAAAGGGTCTGAAAACCTGTGGATTCAATCAATAAACATTATGATTTACCCTATGGTAATGACTAACAGTTAGTTATTGAAAATGACAATTTATAGTGAGTTTTCCCATTAAACATTGTGATTTTCCATAGTTATGTAAACGTTTACCAGAGGGTAATGGGATTTAGCATGAATCTATTGGGATTCAATGGTGATTTAATGGTGATTTTTGTGGGGATTTCATGGTGATTTAAGGGTGATTTCACCAGCAAAATGGGTGTTTTAATGCGGATATGAACCATGGAAGCTTCATGTATTCATGGAATGGAATCCATTCATACCATCCCTTGTCATCAGCTTTTTTGGCTCAAATTTGGGAAGTCAATGGGCATTCTAAAAAATTGAAACCAGATGGTAATCAGTTGATGATCATAGGTGATTATATACTACCCAAAGGTAATCATTTGATGATCATTCTGTCATTCAAAAATTTTGAAATCATGTTGTCAATGTTGTTTTTCCGCAATCTTGAGGATTACAATGGCTATATGATTGGGCATGTTCAGCTATATGGCTACATGATTCTATATGTCAATGGGGGATTTTTTTCAGCAATCTTGGATCAGATGGTAATCATTTGATCATTTGAGCAGTGGCTGCTAAAGCCCTGTTGGTTGCTGGTTATAGGTGATTATATACTACCTACGCTTTATATATTGGGGATTACAATAATCCAAGAACGGGGAATCCCTATAAACCAACCCGTATAATGGAATGATAGAGGGATTTTGAACACTGCTCATTTGATCATGTGTGATGATCTTTTGAACAAAACCAGGGGTGGCTCAGTCACCACTCATGCAAAACACTGCCTTTTTCCTTAGTTTGTTGGCCATTATCAGCGTTTTGATTATTTTCCCAGTTCTACTAGTAATATATCCCTACTATACCCTTTGTTTTTCGCAATGGCTAGCTCAACGACCGAGGGGTCAAGAGGTAGACTTTGACCCAAGTCTTTGTTTGTCATTTCCGCATTTTCATTGCAGTGATCCCAGTTTTGGTGGTTCAACTTAATGTTGTACCTGAATATCTTCCCATGTGTTTAACTCCAGAGTTGGTTTCTGGAGCTTCCGTGGCTGATCTGGCAGATGGTGAAGACTACCCTCTGGTAAACTAACATAGCTATGGAAAATCACCATTTTTAATGGGAAAATCAACTATAAATGGCCATTTTCAATAGCTAACTGTTAGTCATTACCATAGGATATCTGTTCCTGTCATTTTCCCACCATCCATAGGTCGAGAGTCCAGACCCCCATCCATAGGAGATGAGATTCTGTATCTGCGACCCATCGATTCCAATCGCTCCGTGCCACTGCCAGAGGTCATTGATGTTTCTTGGCGTTATGACCAGCTGCCGTACTTGTCCATGGTTGGTTTTACCATGCTTTCCAGTGTATCTATTGTGTTTATTGTTGGCATAGATCCCCTATTTATATATATATAGCATTTGAATCATTGCTATGTTTTGAATCATTGATGATATTTACCCTGTGGTTATTTAACGTAGCTATGGAGAATCACAATGTTAAATATGTAAATCATAATGTTTATCATCTAGAAATAGGTCATTTCCCATAGCTATGTTAAATAACCAGAGGGTAACTGATTTATCGATATTTAATTACCATGTTTAACTGGTTGGTGGTTTGGAACACTTTTTATTTATTTTCCCCAATAGTTGGGAATAATCATCCAGTCTGACTGATATTTTTCAGGGGGGTAGGTATACCACCAATTAGTTAAAGGCTCTTAAATCCCATTATATCCCATATAAATCCCTATAAATCCCATTATATCCCTATAAATGCTATAGCCTGTTCATAGAGGATATGGATTTCCCATGCAGGTCCGTAGCCTCTTGACGCAAGTGCTCGACATCGCTGGTTGGCCCAAGCGACGTTTCTATGCTCCTCGGCAATGTCACCACCCCCGCAGCGGGGGATATTGTCTGGTTGGTGGATGGGAAGATTTTTTATGACTTTCCATATGGGTTTGTCTGAAAATAGGGTATATTCCCAATTATAGCCATTTAATAGGGATAATGATCATTAACCATTGGGTTTAGGGGTACACTATTTTCAGACACACCCATATATTGGGAATAATGACCCCAACTGACGAACTCCATGATTTTTCAGAGGGGTAGGTCAACCACCAACCAGTTGTTGATCTCTGAATGTTTTGGACCCAGTCTTGAACTGTTTTGAATGCCTTGTGCATGACGAATCTTGTGAAAATGCTGTTGTCCCACCTCGGTAGGATGGAGCCGGGGTGATGTTCACGTGGCTCCGTGAACGGAGTCATGAGTAAATGCACCAATCGTCGCAGGGGGGACAATCTATTGTGGATGATTTCGGGATTGACGCTGATTTTTTTCATCACAAAAAAAAACATATCATCGGATGTAAGATGTAATTTACAGGATATAAGATGATGTAACACCAACATTTTGTAGGACATGAGTGAAATACGGGGGTTCCCAATGGGGGACCGAAACATACCGAAACCGTCATGTTGTTCAAAGGTGGAAACAAGGTTCATTACTCCTAGTTGGATGCAGGAATCGGATCTGTGGTACATGTTGATAAGCTTTAAACAATAATATAATATTATATATATACTATGTAGAATATATATACCTTATGGTAAATAAACATAGACCCTGAACATTACCAATTTTTAGTGGAAACTCATCTTCCAACCCCTATCTGCCAGGGTCTATGTTAATTTACTAGAGGTTATATATATATATTGTATTATATATGTATACCTGGGGATATCCCATGTATAACTGAGCTATATGCTGAAGTTTATATCCACTTCAGCCACCTCAAGTCATGAGGAGATGCTGAAGCTCAGCGCAACTGATGCAGCCGAGAAGGAGATGAGGGCGAAGTTAATTTCAAGTTCAATGGATTTGTGATTTATGGTGATTTATAGGGATTTATGGGGGATATAATGTGGATTTATAGGGATTTATAGGGATTTATAGGGATACCATGGGGATTTCAAGGGGGTTTATAGGGATTCATAGGGGATCTCATGGGGATTACAGTACCCGGCCTGGTAAACGTTTACATAACGAACTGGAAAATCACCATTTTATAGGTGGGTGAATCAACTATTTCTATGGGCCATTTTCGATAGCTATGTTAGTTTACCAGAGGCTAGTTGGTAGTATAGGTGTATGTCTGTATATATAGACATACACATTCAGTATATGTGTATATGTGTATGTGTGTACTGTAATGTTATGCTATGTTATGTTATGTTTTGTTTTGTTATACAGAGCACTGCGGTGCAGTGTAATGCAATGTAATGTCATGTCACGTAACGTATCCAGACATTACATAATATACACATATAATCAAGACGAATCAACCCTATTTGATGATGATGCCAACTGAGGGGTTTTTCACCCACCAAGAGAAATGGATTTTGTCAAAGTCGCCATGGGGCCCCCTTTCGAAATGGGTGGAGCAGAAACATTTGGAATGTTATAGGGATACCCTCTGGTAATTTAACATAGCTATAGAAAATCACCATTTTTAATGGGAAAATCCACTATAAATGGCCATTTTCAATAGCTATGTTAGTTTACCAGAGGGTAACACCATGTTTGGGTCTATCACCAACTTTCGGGGTCTATCACCATTTTTTTGGGGTCAATGTTTCGAATTGATGGCTTGGGATAACATGGGATAACCAGAAGAATTGTGGGCTTTCGGAATGCGGTCAGACATCGGGTGACATGTGTTGACCAAAAAAAAATCGGGCAGTTCATCATCCACTGGCAATGGGACTGAAGAGTAGGCGTGGATTTGTGTTTGGAAGAAATGTGAACCTTTTAGATCCTTTTAGAGGATCTAAGCGGTCAGAAACTCGTGATTTTTTGTGGTTAGTATCCCAGATTGGGCGTGACTTTTGAGGAGATGAACGTGTTTTAATACCAGCTCGTGTGAGTTTTTTGTGTCGCTACTTTCAACACGTTTCGGTATTTGTTGTTTATCCAGTTTTTTAAAGTTACCCTCTAGTAAATTAACAGTTGGACCCTGAAAATCACCAATTTTTATAGAGGAAACTCGTCTTCCAAGCCCGATGAATGCCAGGGTCGTCATGTTAATTTACTGGAGTGTATTGTTGTTTCACCGCAGAATCTTCTACATCAGTTGGTCAACGAGAGTTGATGACTATTTTGGATAATATCTAGGTCTATTTCTAGGTCAATCGTAAATCGTAGCTGGTGGTTTCCTAAAATTAGTTTAGTCTTAGATGGATACAAACTAATCCTGACTAGTCTTTTGGTATCAATGGGAATATCTACGTTCACCAGCAAAGAATTTTCATTTTTTGCGTATCTAAGATTGGCAATGATATGATGGACAAATGCACAATACAGTGGGAGCAACTGATAACTGCCAACTGCACGTTCCTTAAGCCATCACTTTAGGTTGGGGACATGTCTTGAATGGGGACCAAACATATGATGGCATCGAAGTGTCAGAATATATCAGAATGATGTGCCACACTTAGTGCCACACTTGGGAAGATCATCCTCATGATTCTCATGCATACCATCTGGTTATTTAACATAGCCGTGGAAAATCACCATTTTTAATAGGTAAACCATCTATAAATGGGCCAGTTTCCATGGCTATGTTCAATAACCAGAGGATAATACTGTGGATGGTTGCGAAATCCTGCACCAGTTGCTAGATGGTTTGTCTCATTATAGTCCCATTATCATTTAATTTCCGTGTTTCATAATTACCAATAGTTTCCAGCTGGTGCAGGGTTTTGTGTATCCTCCTCAGTATCACATCTTTGCTTCCTTGAAGTCAGCAAGCAGATCGTTTGACAGTTTGACATAAGAAAGATCAGAACCAGCTACTTGGGATGTATGTTTATAAATATATGTGTATACATACATTACATGACATTACATGACATGACTTAACATAACATGACATGACATGATATGACATTACATTGCATACGTGATTGATATCTTTGTCTCGAATTTCTATACATAGATATATATATATATATACAATATTATATATATAGATATATATAGATACACTCGAAACCCAAGATGAATGTCTCGATGCCCACAAGAAATCTAAAGGTTCCGCTGAGTTTGGCACCGCGCAGATGATACGCAGCTTTTGTTCAAACCGGCGTCAAATCGGCAGCACGACGCGACGTCACTGGAATGGTGGGATAATGGTAACGAACCCCAAATGACTTTACAGTTATGTGGGATAATTATGGATAATTATCCCCATTAAAGACCTCTAAAATTTATATTCATTTGTTTGGTGATAATCTCGTATGAATGACCCAAGAAAATTCAGTTTGGTGAATTCTTATGCATCCAGATGGCTTGGTGAAGAATCGCATTTCGCCCAAAAATGTCACTGTCATCAGCTGATTGGAGCATGCCTAGCCCATACAACATGGATATGGATGGATATGGTTATGGTTATGGATATGGTGATGATATATGGTAGAATATACAGCTCATGGTGATCAAAAAGTCTGGTTGGTGGTTTGGAATATGAATTTTATGACTTTCCATTCAGTTGGGAATGTCATCATCCCAACTGACGAACTCCATCATATTTTTCAGAGGGGTTGATTTGAAACCACCAAAGTCAGATGATTATTAACCATCATTAACCATATAATAACCATCATCATTACCCATTATTAACAGTATATCCAACATAACTACGGAAAATCACCATTTTTAATGGGTAAATCCACTATTTCTATGGCCATCCCAACTGATTTTCATAGCCGATGGGTCAACAAGTCAACCTCGGCTCTGCTGAAAAACCTCCGACGCGGAACGCGTATCAAACGCGTCCAACATGGCGATGCTGCAAAGTGCCCTGAGCGCTATTCTGGACACTTGGACAATATGAAAGGCTGATGATTGACTCCTATAATATATATATATATTGTATAGTATTAGTATTAGTATTATTACTATTATTATTAGTATTATTATTACTAGTATCATTATTATTGGTATTGTTATTGTTATTATCATTGTTATTATGATTCTTATCAGTATTATTATCATCATCATTATTATATTATATTGAGTGTATCCAAATATGTCATAATATGTCTACTTTCAGCAGGAGATTGATATTCTTAGTCTCCATGTGACCGTTCTGATCCACTTCATCGCTCCCTCCATGGTCGTTTGTTTTTATCGCTACTCAGCTACTCGGTCCGGGAAGTTCAGGATGTACCCGGTACTGGTTATTTAACTATCCATTTATAGAATCTTTGGTGACATTTTTTCCGATGAAAAGTGGTGATTTCCATAGCAGCCATAGCAAACACGGGTATTGCGAGGAAACGCAAACAAGGCATGACTTTCTGTGTGGTGCCCGTGCTTCCTTTTGTTGCAATAAACCCAACAATCAACCAGATGCCGTGACTACCACACTTTACTCAACTGGTTGGTGGTTTGGAACCTGGGAATAATAATCCCAGCTGACGAACTCATATTTTTCAAGATGGTTAAAACCACCAAGCAGGTCAACATTTTCCCGCCAGCCACTAAAGGAAGTCTTGGTGAACCCTATGGGCTTAGTCGATATGGGCCTGAACATCATCAGCGTCCGCGATAGCTGGAAGCAACATCACCACTCCTTGGAAGCTGGTGAGAGGTGCAAAAATGGGCATGGCAGCGTGACACCATGGTTATGGCCATGGCTATTAGTTAAAACTGGTGATTTCTATCGTGATTTATAGTGATTAAATGGTGATCAATAGTGGTTAATAATGGTTAATAGTGGCTAAACATGTGATTAATGATTTTTATAACTGGTTATGAAACTATGGGATTATACATTCTATAAATGGGGTTTTGTTAGTACTTATAACTGGTACAACTCGGGCCATAACTGTACCCCCCTAAAAAAGTGAAGTACCGGTCCTGTTCCGGTGCCAAGCTTGTGAGTGAAATCAACTTTTGTGAGGGACATCTCGACATACTCAATGGCCACAAGGGTCCCATTACTTGAAATGGTTTTAAAGCAATTTTGTGGCACACCCCAAGTCGGAACCAAGCCTTTTTCTATCTTTGATTCATTGAGTAATCCACGGTTTTTTGATTGTAAAATCTTCATTTTGTCTTGCCAATCCCTTCATGGAATCCATGTCACCATCCCCAATTCTATCCCATCTACGGACAGACTCAATCTTCATCATTCTTAGCCGGTGTCAATCCGACGGTTGCTCCTCCTCCTCCTCCTCATCATCATCATCATCATGTATATGCAATATATGATCATTATCATAAATTATTGTCATTATTATTGTTATTATCATCAGTATCATGGTTATCATGATTATTATTACACATGATATCATATAATATCATATATATATATACCATATAATATACCACATAATATACCATACAATACCAAATAATATACCACATAACATACCATATAATATACCATTGACTGTTGGTGCTATCAGTGCTACTCCCATCGTTCACTGGCACGGCCTGCAGCTCCGCAGGCTGCACCTGGAAGCCTTGAAGGTGTCCCAATCGCAGCATAGCGAAGCCTTACACCATGGCCTCAGTCAGCATCAGGTTGGGGGAACGGGGAACGAAAAAAAAAAAAAAACGAAAACAGATTGGATGGAACTGGTTCCATGTGCTTTATATCTATATATCTATGTATATATATATATGTATATATGATATATGGTGTAAATATATGTAAAGATGGTTTATATCTCGTTTATATATAGTTATATGGTTTTAGTATGATTAATCCAGCTGTAAACCAGTGGGATAAGCCCTAAACACCCCGATTCTAGGGTCCCAAAACTATGGCTTCTGGGGGATATCAGGGGGGCTGGGATAAGTAGCCTCCAAGAAGATGCAGCACAGGTTTAATTCTGGGGGTTGCGATATGGACGATGACAATTCGTTGACACTTTCAACATGGCCATTGGATGCTATGGCATTCTTTGTTACAGAATGCCGTTCTAAAGATTTGCTCAATTGAATGGCAGTGTGTGATGAGAAAACAACATGAACACCCATCCGATGTGCCAAAACAACTGGTTATTTGACGCATTCTGTTGGGAGAACATGAGAAGAATGAGAAGAATATGTGTTCAATTGCATGATGTGATCAAGGAAGATGGAACAAGTACAGCTCTATAAATGCAATGGTTGCCATGGTTTCCGATTTGACCAATCCATTGCAGTTAAGGTATGTTAAGGTTGCAAGCTCTAGTCCCGATCCCGTGTTCCACTTCAATCCTGCCGGTGCAGGAATCTATCTTTGTGAGCAAAGATCAGTATCTGAGCTGAAGAGAGATGGTTTAGATATCGATTTTCATAGCCGGGAGATACTGGTGAACGCCAGGCTGAAGTGTAGCAGCATGATTCCAAGACCTAAAATTCAGAAAAGAATTCATGATTAAACCGTATAAAACCGTATTAAACCGTTTACGCCATGACGATCTTCGGATTGCCGCTCTCCAAAGAGACTCTGAAAAGAAGACCTTGAGAAATTGGACATTGTTGTCGGGCCTGAACCTGCTGGGGAGTCTATAGAATATTCAATATGGTAATACAATACCAATACCGATCTTATGAATATATGTATATATATACATACAAATACATATATATATATGTACACAATAATATCGATATATAATATATGAACATATACAATATATGAACATATACAATATATGAACATATACAATATACATCAATATACACCATATGTACGATAATATTATTTATTATATATATACACACTATACAGTGTAATAGATATGTATATACATATTATATATATATATACACGGAACGGAATTGTATATATATATATATATTATGTACATATTATATACATGGCTTTGGAATGCTTTCAATCCCCATTGTTTGCTTCGCTTCAGTTCCCTTTCTACACCGACCAAGGCATGACCAGTCTCTCCATGTCAGTCGTGTGATGCACGATGAAGCGCTCAGCGCCTGGGGATGCAACAGAAAATTGGGGAAGTGAACCAGCAAAACATGGGAAATTACCCTCTGATAATGACTAACAGTTTGCAAACTGGAAAATGGTCCAGTCGAAATAGTGGATTTTCCCATTAAAAATGGTGGATCTTTCCAGTTCGTTATGTAAACGTTTACCAGAGGGTAAATCACCATTATATCACAATAAACCATTATAAATCCCTAGAAATCCTCATGGTATCCTTATATATCCCTGGGATTTAATGGGATTTACTGGTGATTTTTGTGGGGATTGCATGGTGATTTTTTCGGGGAATTTCACCAAAGAAATGATGATTTTTCACGGGGATGCGATGCTTTGTTTTCATGGGATATTCATGGATGATTCATACCATCCAATGTCATCAGCTCCATAGGTGGGAAATCCCCCATGGCATAAAAAGTGCTGGGAAAAGTGTCGAAGCAATTGTTTGTTCTACTTGGTGGCGAACTACCCACGGCTCGTTTTTGTGGGTTATATAGTGATTTACATGGGATAAGTAGGCTTCATCCACTGAAATAACTGGGGTTATAACCCACTTACGAGCCGTGGGATGAGCCACCAAGTGTGGGAAAATCCCCGAACTATCGCTGCAAAAATGAAATGTCAACATCATCGAATCAAATGGCTGATTTCCCACCCAGCCATATTTCATCACCCGAGGGTATCTCAGTTGAATTTGGTTGTCTTGAATGGATCAGCCTGATTTTAGATCACAAACCCTCAGGACCATCAAACTACCCTCTGGCGATTCAACATAGCTATTGAAAATGGCCCATTTATAGTGGATTTTCCGATTGAAAATGGTGGATCTTTCCATAGTTATGTAAACGTTTACCAGAGGGTAGTTTACCAGAGAGTAAATCCCATGAGATCCCCTATAAATCCCTTGAAATCCCCATGGTATCCGTATAAATCACCATAAATCACCATAAATCATTGATGGCTTCAAAGCATTCGTTTCGTCAGGAGGGGTTTCAGTAGCTGGGTCATATGGTAATTACACCTCCAGTTCCTCAGGATGCTCCGCATGTTTCCCGATTTTTCCAAAAAAGAAACACATGGATGTGGGTCAAAATGGAAAACCTAGGGGACCACAGATGTTAGTCTAGTTTAGTATTCACCATCCATAATATTGGGGTACCTAATTTTGACCCATACCCACATGGTCATCTTGGGATGTGCCGAATTGCTGGACATAGCCACTGTCACAGTTTTTGTGTCTTCCAAGGTCGTTCCAAGATCCAACATGAGGAGCAGATGAAACACAGCTATATGGAGACCAGGAGCGGGACCATCCTGAATCATGGGGAAATTTCACTAACGGCTTGGGATTTAAGCTTAAGACATCCGAATGTGTTGATTGAGATTGAGAGTCCATTGAAAATTGCCATAGAAATAGTGGATTTTCCATTAAAAATGGTGGATCTTTCCATAGTTATGTAAAGTTTTGATTATTTCATACACCGCTTTTTTCGGGTATGTTGCGGAGCGAGGTGTGACCGTCAAATCCAGTCGCGATGCGACCGTCACGGCTCATCCGCTTGTGGTTTCCTTGCTGGACAGGAGAGAAAATTTGCGTGACTTGCTGAGTGAAACTCTGGATGAGGCGTGGACGTGTAATTCAGGTTGTAGTGACCGTCATGGACATTCGCTTGTTGGGAACCAGAAAAATGTATAAGAAGTTTTTGAGTCTTTGATATCTGAAGCAGAAACAATTCCTCAAACGCACATTCTTTCGATCACGCATCACTTTAAATCATCCGTTTTCGGACACAATGGTGAACTCGAGCATCTATGGTTGATGTGTTTTTGTTATGTTAAGTTTAATCCAAGGTGTTTTCTTCTAGTCATGACTCATGTTATATCATGTTATATCATGTTATATCATGTAAAAAAAACTACCCTGAAGCAACTGGAAGCAACACAGCTTTCCATGTTGTATGGCTCTGCAGGCACAGAGTACGGTGCTGAAATCGACGCTGCTCTTCGGCTTTGTGGTGCCGTGGCTCCCGGATACGTTTTGGAGTGCTCTGGTTGGGGGAACTGGAGATGCAAAGTTTGTGAATGGAGTGATAGTATAATATCTGGTTGGTGGTTTCAAACATGAAGTTTATTTTCCATTTCATATATGGGATACTCCTTCCCATTGACTTTCATATTTTTCAAGATGGTTAAAACCACCAACCAGATATAGTATATAAAAAGACAAATAACATAATATAATTATAGATACGCTGCTATGCTTCATATGTACAAAAAGCAACATATTAGATGATATTAGATGTCAAGATATTCACTCAATTCAACTGTCTAATATAGCTACCCTTTGGTAAATTAACATAACTATTGAACATCACCATTTTCAATTGTTAAATCCACTGTTTCTATGGCCATGTTCAATAGCTATGTTAGTCATTACCAGAGGGTAAATCCCATTAAGTTACCAGTAAATCCCACTAAATCCCATTAAACCACCAGTAAATCACTGCTTTTTTTCCATGTTCGATGACGTGTCATCGTGTCGTGTCGCTTTGCAGGTGGCGGTCCTCGTGGAGGGATTCCCATCCTCGGAGAATTCCAATGAGAGATACATCGATCCTTAGCAGCCGGATCATTCCATGTTTTTTTTTGAGAATGTTGAGACATAGTATACATCACTATAATATATATATATATATATACACTATAGATATATATATATATCATAATGTATATATAATTCTGCGGAAAATTTGGCAGTCCATGACATGGGTCGTATGAAAACAGACCAAATCGACAGTCTTCATCCAAAGCGAGCCGCTGTGTCATCAGCTTTGCTGGGGAGAATGGTCGATTTGTTTCATGTTCTTTTCGTATTCATTGTGGGATATACGCAACTAGATAGAGTTGAGAATCATGGCTATTGGAGCATTATCAACTTTGAACCGTGCAGTTGCCATGATCAACTTCTTTAATTTCTTATGAGTGTTGCAAAGATCTGAGGATGTCTTTATCTTCTCGGTCTCGTGGGCCATCTGCTTGCTGTTTCAGTTACTTGGTCAGCCATCTTTCTGGGTTTGTTTAAGGTGATGTGTTATTTTCCCCATGGAGAATCCACCATTTGGGGAATCTATAGTGAAAACTTTTTATTTTTTGGGGACCACTTAAGCAAATCCAAGTTTGTGCCTGGGAATCGGATGCAGATGTTGTCAGTGAGTCATTCATCAGCTGGTGGATTCTTTCGGATGAAAGCCATGCGCTGAATCAGATCTTTCAAATTTTGCCATTTCCATTTCCCCCAATATCTTGCGAACGAAAACCAAATGGCTTTGCTTGAAAGTTGGATACCGCGGTTAATCATCACATTTCCTCTTAAATTGATTTTTGTTGGTGACTTTGAGGGTAAGCATTTTCAGACACACCCAAACGATCCATTGAATACTAGGTTACTAGGCCCCAATTCTACAGCACATCGAAACTCCGAGTTACTCCGAAACGCAGCGCCGCAGCGCCCAGGTCCATTGTTCTCGCCGGTTTGTACCAAGTGGTGCAAACCCGAGCCTTACGGGAGATGATTCGCAGCCTTCAGGCGAGATTGACCGATGGATGGTTCCCGTGAATCTAATTCACCTATCAAGGGGGGGCCCTTCCTATATATCGATATTGGGATTAGTTTTATGGCTTCAGAGTGATCAAGTTTAGTGTAATAATGTCCATTAAAAAAACATCTATGATGGTTAGATATTGAGAGTTTGTTGCATAGAATGTGATGTAGAGGGATGTATGGTTGTTATGTCAGAATAGCCCATCCCTGATGACCACATCATCATCATTACCACCATCATCATCATCATCAGCAGCAGCAGCAGCATTATTATCACCATCACCATCATCATCATCGTCACCACCACCACCACCATCATCATCATCACCACCATCACCATCATCATCACCACCATCATCATCATCACCACCACCATCATCATCATCATGATGACTCCCAGAATCGGATGTGAAGGTATTCGATAGCAATGGTATTCCCATTAAACACCATTGATGCATCGGATCTTACACATGTTCAAACATATGGGGATGGGTCAAAAGCTATGAAATTACCATATGACTGGTGGAATCATTATCAATACCCTCTGGTAATGTTTGATAGTTTGCTAGTGAAAATGGCCCCTATTAAAGATGGTGATTTTCCAGTTCGCAAACTGTTACCCTCTGGTAATTTAACATAGCTATTGAAATTTGCCATTTATAGTGGATTTTCCGATTGAAAATGGTGATTTTCCATAGTTATGTAAACGTTTACCAGGCCGGGTAGTTTACCAGAGAGTAAATCCCATGAGATCCCCTATAAATCCCTTGAAATCCCCATGGTATCCCTATAAATCACCATAAATTACCATAAATCACCAGCGTTACTTGGGCGTACCAGGCTCAAGCATCCGGCTGCATCGATGACCACGAGCTGCGGCGAAGCAACACCATGGAGACATGGTGGAAAGAGCTGAGAACTAGGAGATTACTCTCCTAATAATGGGGATTTATGATGATTTATGGTGATTTATAGGGATTTATAGGGGATTTATAGGGGATATATAGGGATACCATGAGGATTTCTAGGGATTTATAATGGTTTATTGGGATATAATGGTGATTTACCCTCTGGTAAACGTTTACATAACGAACTGGAAAGATCCACCATTTTTAATGAAAAAATCAACTATTTCGACTGGGCCATTTTCAACAGCAAACTGTTAGTTTACCAGAGGGTAGATTTATAGATGAATTTTCTATGTATTTTGTATAGTTAGATATTATGATAGTTAACTAACAAAAACTGGCAAGTATATATATTGATGAATGAATTTGATAACTAGATATATAATAAATTTAAACGATTTTTATATTTAGATTGGATTTAATGATATTTAGACATATTATAGATGATGTTTGATAACTAAGTTCAACAGACCTCCGTTATTTCTGTTGGTTTGAAAAGGTAGATGTTTCGAATTAGTTTCTGTGGGGTTAATTGGGAAGCACCGCCTTGTAGGTTCTTTTTGAGTGGAGTTTAACCCCAAAAAGGATTACCATCTGGTAATGACTAACAGTTTCCTATTGAAAATGGCCATTTATAGTGGATTTACCCAGCTATAAAATAGTGATTTTCCATAGTTTTTTGTTAGTTTACCAGAGGGTAAAACGCAACAGTATCAACTAGCTTCGAGGATGGAATCTTCCTGACAAAAAGGGTTTAGGGTGTGCAACGGTCACTGGGATTTACAAAATTGAACACGGATTTTTCGCCAGCTTGATCGGGGTTGATGAGCTTGGGCTCTAGCCATCCACAACAATGTGTGTAAAGCATCAATATACCATCCATGTGTTGATTCTGTGCAAGTTTGGGGCCAGCCATTTTTTTCCACGGTCAATTGAGTTGTGAAAAGGACTAGCCATTGAGTTGTGAAAATTGGCCCGGCCATTGATTTATCAATAGCCAATAGCATTGCCATGTTTGATCAACGGAGGTTACACATAATTATGTGAAACCACCAAGCAGTTGTGTGGGTTCTATCACCATTTTTGGTGCTGATACAGCTATTCTTATGTTTGTTGTTGAAAAACCTTATTTGTTTTTCGGTTATGTGATTTGGTCATCATGATTCCCATTCTTCTTGATGAAATCCGAGCTCTGATGAAATCCACATCTTTAGTCATGATTCAATTCAATTTTTCAATGGTTCCAGAAGAAAAATGAATCGAAAACATGGTGAAATGCAGCTATTTTGTTGTTTAAACATGTTAAAACTCCCAAGCTTCGTGGGTGAACTCCGACTCGACTAAGGACAGCAGCTCCAGCTCCCTCTCCGACGACTGGGCAGACTTGGAGAGAGAACCTGTTCAGCGGCCAAGGCCGGGGCCAGGGGGGGCCATGTAGGGCTGGTGTTATGAGAATCTTTTGTTTTGTTCGTACTATAATTAGACTATATAATAATCATCTATAATCATCATTATAATAATCATCTATAATAATCATCTATAATAATCATCTTGTAGGGCCACAGATTGAGTCCGGACCAAGGATTGTTTTTTTTATTTTATTTTTTGTTCGTTTTGTTTTTCATGTTTCCCTTTTTCATATCATTATCCGATCATGTGAAATTGTAATGTTCATTTTGTTCATTCTCCAATCATGTGCAAGTGGCATTCTCATTTTTTATCATGTTCTCTTTATGTGCAATTATATGTGTTCCATTTTTTTGCATTCTACCATCATGTGAACTTGTCATTCAGCATCGAAAATGAATGGAAGCAAAATCAGAAACAGAAAACACAATATATACCAAGTGAGAAATGAAAACTAAGAAAGAAACGACAGCAAAAATGAACAACACAAAAAGAAACACGTATACCTAAACCCACACGAAAAAAATGAAAACAAAAACAAAAATGAAAACAACAACGAAAAACAAATGAAAATGAACAATGGAACTAAAAAAGAATACGAAAAAATGAAGATGAAAAATTATATTTAAAAAAAAATGAAAAAAACAAATGAAATTTAAAAAAAGAAAAACAACTAGCAAAAAAAAGACGCAAAAGGGTTCGAGAAAATGCTCCTTTTGAATCCTTTTGACAATTTCCAAGGTCAATTTAAAATGCAAAGGAAGCAAAAATAGCCAAAACGAAAAAACGAAAAGGGTTCGAGAAAAAACTTCTTTTGGCATCTTTTGGCAATTTTCAAGGCAAAGGAAGGACAAATAACCAAAACGATACAAAACCGAAAAAAAAAAACGAAAAGGGTTTGAGAAAAAGTTTCTTTTGGCAACTCCCAAGGACAATTTTAAAGGCAAAGGAAGGAAAAATGAAAATGCCAAAGGGAGGAAACACCTGGAAAAACAGGAATGAAAAAACAATGAAATAAATAACTGGGATAAAAAGGGCATGATCTTTTTCAAGCAAAAAAAGGATGATCAAAATGAACAACTGGTTGGTGGTTTCAAACATGATTTTTATTTTCCATTTCATATATGGGATGTCATCCTTCCCATTGACGAACTCATATTTTTCAGAGGGGTGGCTCAACCAGCAACCAGAACATGTCAAGGAATTGGTCCTTGAAGCTATCTTGGCTGCTATAGTCTCCCTAGTTGAATCGTGGATTTCTGTTGGATTTCTGAAAAAAATGATTTCCAGTCCCTGGCTGAGCTGAAAATGTTGGATTTCACATGAATTCAGCAAGAAAAAATGTGATCTACCCGGCCTGGTAAACATACAAAAAACTATGGAACATCACCATTATTGATGCGTAAATCAACTATTTCTATGGGTCATTTTCAATAGCTATGTTAAATTCCCAGAGGCTAATGGGGTTCAATGGGTATTCAATGAGGCTTTCCCATGGGAACCAACAAACCTTGGGATTTTAGCCCAGATATGTCATGGCACAGAATTATTGTGTCATATAGGGCCCCAAAGCAACAAAAAACAATGATTTCACCAAGAGAAAATGATGATTTACATAGATTGATAGTTGATGTATGATAGCAATGTGCAAGTTTAATCATGGTTTATGGTAGATATATTGAACAACAATTGAACCACAAAAATAGAAACCATAAAACAACACAAACATAGAAACCATTTAAAAAACACAAAAATAGAAACCATTAAAAAACCATATAGAATTTATTCATTGTGTTTTGATAGAAACCAGAAAAATTCGAGGACTCTCCAACAAGATCATCATGGCTCTGTTTGATCTGGCTTTTGTTCGCCAGGAAAATTGCCAGGGTCAGTATATACCATGGTCATCATGAACTACCAGATTTTACCACGGAAAATGATGATTTTTCGTGATGTTTGCCGCTGGAAACTATGGGTACACAATGTTCAGACACACATTTACAGCTACATTTACCCTCTGGTAGTTTAACATAGCTATTGAAAATGGCCCATTTATAGTTGATTTATCCATTAAAAATGGTGATGTTCCATAGTCTTTTGTATGTTTACCAGAGGGTATATGATTTAATATGCACATATGTTGGACCTTGTCAAGGCTGACAGGGAACACCATGGAACACCGCTTTGTTAACAAGCTTAAAGAGATACATCACTGCGTGGCGACGACTGCCATCTGGTAAGCATAGCTATGGAAAACCAGCACTTGTCATTGATAGCTATGATCTTATCTGGTTGGTGGTTTGGAACATGTTTTATGACTTTCCATATCTTGGGAATGTCATCATCCCAACTGACGAAACAAAGATTTTTCAGATTCAGAGGGGTTGGTTGAAACCACCAACCAGTTTGTCATTGATAGCTGTGATATTATCCATGGACGTGTCCATTTTCCATAGCTATGTTGGATTATCATTATCAACCATCATTGACCATCATTAACCATATAATAACCATATAATAACCATATAATAATCATGCAATAACCATATAATAACCATATAATAACCATATAATAATCATGCAATAACCATATAATAACCATATAATAACCATATAATAACCATATAATAACCATATGTTAACCATATGTTAACCATATAATAACCATATGTTAACCATATAATAACCATATAATAACCATATAATAACCATATAATAACCATATAATAACCATATGTTAACCATATAATAACCATATGTTAACCATATAATAACCATATAATAACCATATAATAACCATATAATAACCATATAATAACCATATGTTAACCATATAATAACCATATAATAACCATATAATAACCATATGTTAACCATATAATAACCATATAATAACCATATAATATCCATATAATAACCATATAATAACCATATGTTAACCATATAATAACCATATGTTAACCATATAATAACCATATAATAACCATATAATAACCATATAATAACCATATAATAACCATATAATAACCATATAATAACCATATAATAACCATATAATAACCATATAATAACCATAGAAGAACCATATAATAACCATATAATAACCATTTAATAACCATATAATAACCATAGAAGAACCATATAATAACCATATAAGAACCATAGAAGAACCATATAAATAACCATATAATAACCATATAATAACCATAGAAGAACCATATAATAACCATATAATAACCATATAATAACCATATAATAACCATATAATAACCATAGAAGAACCATATATTAACCATATAATAACCATATAAACCATATAATAACCATATAATAACCATATAGAAGAACCATATAATAACCATATAATAACCATATAATAACCATATAATAACCATCCATATAATAACCATATAATAACCATATAACCATATACCATATAATAACCATATAATAACCATATATAATAACCATATAATAACCATATAATAACCATATAATAACCATATAATAACCATATAATAACCATATAATAACCATATAATAACCATATGTTAACCATATGTTAACCATATAATAACCATATAATAACCATATAATAACCATATAATAACCATATAATAACCATATAATAACCATATGTTAACCATATAATAACCATATAATAACCATATAATAACCATACAATAACAGTATATTATTGTATATTAACCACATATTAACCAACATAGCTATGTTGGATTACAAGCTGGTAGAGCAACCGGAGATGGATTTTTTTTCTCCAGCGATGCGGTTCCCCTTTTTTTCTCATTGGATTCCAAGATAAAAATGACATTTTAGGAGGTGTTAGATTCTCATGGAAAATTTTAGGTTCTATATTTTTTCTAATAAATTCTCTATATTCCCTTTTGAACGCAGTGACTTGGGGTGATTGGAATAGATTTCTGCAGTGTATCCTCATTGGATTCCCGCTCTATCCCAGTTTATCCAGATTCCACAAGACTTGGTGTATTAAAATTCCACACTGCCCTAATTTCTTCCCCCGTTCATATAGGAAAAAAAACAGAAACCATGGTGAACAGTAGGGGGTAAAGAAAAGCACATAAAATGGTGGTGTTTAGTATTAGGGGGAAGGGACTATTAGTAATGTCACGAAGAATAGTGTTATCAACAATTATTACTGGAACGTCCAGAAGCCATTAGAACTACTATCATTATTTATATATTATATTATATATACACAAACATTAGATGAGTTATTATGGAACTAAGAAATCATATGTTATTGGCATCTAAGAACTCATTATATATGCATGATATTATCATATTATACCAGATCTAAATTAGTTATTCACAGCCATATAATATAAACCAGATGCCATGAAGGGAATATTTGTGCTGCTCGGCTCAGCGTTTTCAGGTCAGGAAGGCCCTACAACTTGTTGCATCCATCCTCGCAAAGGTCGGCGAGGCCAGCGCACAAAGGTCAGATGTGTTAGGGCTTTAACCATGACAATGATGCATTGCAGGTATGATGATGATGATGATGATGATGATGATGATGATGATGACGATGACGATGACGATGACGATGACGATGACGATGACGATGACGATGACGATGACGATGACGATGATGATGATGATGATGATGATGGCGATGATGATGAGGAGGAGGAGGATGAGGAGGATGAGGAGGAGGATGAGGAGGAGGACAACGGCAATGATAATGATGATACTGATGATACTGATGATGAGAATGACAATGAGGATCAATGATCATCAATGAGATAGCAATCAGATAGCAATGAGATAGAAAGTGGTAGTAATTATCATAATTGTCATTTGGAGGTTTCCTAAAATGGGGGTGCCCCCAAATCATCCATTTTAGTGGGATTGTCCATTAAAAACCATCCAGCTATTGGGGTACCACCACTTATGGAACCCCCCATTCTTCATCTCAAAGTCCACCTAAAACATGCGCTGGCTGTCCCAAAAAAAAAACCAGGCACAAGACGGAAGGAGCCGACTCCTTTGGAAGCGCGAGCACCAAGGACGATGTCAAGTCGCGGTGGTGCCATAAATGCCATAGATGCCATAGACTATGGTTTATGATATGGTGGTTTCCATAAATGGGGTACCCAAAATGGATGGTTTATAGTGGAAAATTCCATTAAAATGGATGATTTGGGGATAGCCCAATTTTAGGAAACCACCATAGCTGGCCCCCAGTTCCGTTTGTCGGTTTATAAACCCCAATTACTGACAGGTCATATCTACCAAAAACCCAAGTCAACGGAGATATGTTTACCAACTGAACGCTATCCACTCAGGGGCCACACCTTCTGTGAATTACCCTCTGGTAATTTAACATTGCTATTGAAATTCCACATTTATAGTTGATTTACCTATTCAAAATGGTGATTTTCTATAGCTATGTTAGTTTACCAGAGGGTACTTGGCGAGAAAAATGGATGGTTATTAGACCCAGGAAGCAACTGCTCCAAGTCGAAGACAATGTGTCTTTCGATGTTGAAAGGATCATGTTGTGTCCCCAGAAGCATCAAAAGTCCCAAAAGGTTCCAAACCAACAAGAAAAAGTGCGTATGAAACATCAATTTGGGGTGGATACCCTTTGGTAATAAAAGATGCTTCTCCATTGTGCCAAGCCGGGCTGTTCGGGGATAGTCCAATGAAAAAATCCCCCATTTTTTTTGATGATCTTTTCCAGCTACAAACCTCCCTTTTATCTTAACTTATAGATGATGGCCCCATTGAAATGCCCATTAATTCAAAAAATCCCATAACCAAAAGATGTGTCTTGGATGTTTATGGTGGGCAAAAATACCCATGTATTAAAACATAAAGCGCATAATTAATCATAATTCCCCCCATATTTACTGTTTTCATTTCAAGAAGATACACTTCTGGCCCTTAACAGCTATATAAATGGAATGAAATAACTCCTGCAACTAAGGTGAACAAATATCAGGCTTTTGGCTCGCCTGTTATAACTGTTAAGGCCTAAAACTGTATGTTTTAGTATATTATATAATATGTTGTATTGTTCGCCTAAGTTGCAGGAGTTATTTCATCCGATGGCCATAACTGTTAAGGGCCAGAACTGTATCTTCTAGAAGTGGAAACTTTTGAAGGGTTATGAAGTTATGAACCCCATCAGCCCCACTTGACGTTTTCAGCCCGTTGTTTCAACGCCAGGACTCTTCCACTTTAACGTCGCCTGTTGCGACGTTGCATGTTTTCGACCCGAAGCGGTTGATGTATAGGAGCCAGGCTGGAGCGAAGCCATGAAGATCCATGAAATCTGATGGGAAATTCATGGGATACAATAGGAAATTCATGGGATATATATATATATATATAAAGATATAGTGGGGATTTATAGGGATTTCTGGTGATATATAGGGATCTAGTGGGATTTCATGGGATTCAAGAGGATTGAATGGTGATTTCATGATTTCCTGCGAGGGGCCCAGGGGATATGACAGGGGATGATGTCGGAAGAGGAATCCTTAGGATTAGGAATCCCTAACCAAAGAATGGAATGACAGAGGGTTTTAAGCATAGCTCTTTTATATTCATTTATAGCCTATTTATAGCTGTTCATTTGATAACTTCACAGAGGCCAATTTAGAACGAGGAATTTTTAGTTTTTGCTTGGTTTCCAATAACTAGTATCTAGATGTAGTTACGTATTTATAGATTGATTGGTTTCAATTAGCTATAACTATCTACAGTAGTTCGATACATCTACTAGACTATGTATCGAACTACTGTAGTCAACTGGAGTGAACATTCTCAAACAGTCACATTTCACGGTTCGGCGGGCGGGCTCCATTTTTTGCGAAGTGGTTCTATGTGGTTCTCCCAAGATTTTGGAATATGACTGCCATCTGGTAAGCATAGCTATGGAAAACCAGCATTTGTCATTGATAGCTATGATATATTACTGGTTTAGGTGGTTTGGAACATGATTGGATTATGACTTTCCATTCAGTTGGGAATGGAACAATCATCCCAACTGACTCATATTTTTCAGAGGGGTAGGTATACCACCAACCAGATCATTATATAATGGTATATCATGGCTATATACTGGGAGAGTTGTTTGCAACAATGAGAGGATATTGATGATAAACATGGGGATACCCTCAAATAAACTAACATAGCTATGGAGTAGATTCGATGAACCATATAGTTCTATTGAATATGGTGATGTTCCATAGCTATGTTAGTTTACCAGAGGGTACCATCTTGAGCACTTTCAGTTTTAGCAGAGATATCAGAGCAGATGACCAAACATGTTGTTCTTGTTGAGAAATATCATGTCTCGACTATCGTCATTTATCGCATCAAGACCGGACCATAAAAATACCCTTCGGAAATCAGACATGGCACGATGAAGTCTAGAATTAATATTCAATACTATGATTAATCATATTATATATATATACATATTATAGATTATATACTATGGGATAGTAATTTCTATTCACCAACTATGATATATAACTATTATATACTATATTTCCATATCATATGCCATTGACCAAGTCACATAGATTAAAGGAAATCCCATAGGCTTGAATCATAGTTCTCCTAATTGTGGATGTTCGAGAGTTATGTCATGTGATGTCTTAATTCGCTGGTAAACGTTTACATAACTATGGAAAATCACCATTTTTGATGGGTAAATCCACTATAAATGGCAATTTTCAATGGGCAAATCCACTATTCCTATGGCCATTTTCAATAGCTATGTTAAATTACCAGAGGGTAATTCGCTGGAAGGTGTCCCAATCATGGAATGACATAACATGACATAACTATCGAACAATAGCATGACATGTTACACTTGTTATGTCACAATCATGGAATGTCTTCAAACATCGCCACGGTGTCAGGCGAAAAAGTTTGTCACGGTGGGCAGTTTGTTCACCTTGATCCTTGGTCTTCGACGTCATGACGTCTCATTTAAATCATTTGGATGATGAAAAATGGTGTGGCTTACGGCTTGAACAGCTTGGTGGTTTGGAACATGAATTTTATGTTTTATTGGAATATATGGTTTTTATATGGTTTATATATGTTTTTTTTTCATATATTGGGAATGTCATTTCATCCCAATTGACGAACTCCATGATTTTTCAGAGGGGTTGGTAGGTATACCACCAAAGTCAGATTGTTATTAACCATTAACCATATAATAACCATCATCATTACCCATTATAAAAACAGTATATCCTACAAAAAACTACGGAAATTGTTCACCATTTTCTAGCTGGGTAAATCCACTATTTGCTGTTCTCCTTGGGGGATGGATTTGACCATTAAGTCACTGAATCCACCAGCATTCTGAGGAGGTCTTTCGGCCTCCTGCCATGGCTGTTTTGGCTGGTCAGAGCATTACTTAGTTGGTGGCTTTTAAATGCTTTTAATATGTTTTAATCATCTTGTGGGTCCAAGAAAAGGTGGATTAGCCTCTGGTCAACAAAGAGTTTGCGAACTTGAAAAGGGTCATTTTTCATGGGAAAACTCACTATAAATGGTGATTTTCCATAGTTATGTTGGTTTACCAGCGGGTAATTGCCCTTCATGTTAGTTCTTGTTCCTTGTTGTCCATGTCTTTGTTTGTCTTCATTGAACAATGGACACATTCAAAAATCCCGGTACCCATTGGTAATTTAACAGTTCGCATAGCTACAAGGTGAGGCCCCCAATTAAGCTGGTTTAAACACCCATTACCATAGTTCACCTAGAGATGTTCATGAATTTTGCTATCTAACTCCATGAAATCCCATTAGATCACATTAAATCCCATTATATGATTCCATTCAAATCCCATTAAATCACATGTTTGTTGCTGGTAAACATCTCGATTTTGGTTGAAAACGGCGCCTCACAAAAATGCTCACCGTGGCTCGCTGAGGATTTGTTTGGCCGGACTTATATATGGCCGCCTCTCCATGCGCAGGGGCAGCAAGTATGGTGCCTTGGAGCCGATAAACTGGTCATAGCCTAAGGATTTTCCAAGAAAAATCTAGGCCTCAAAAATTTTCGGCCCACCATATATATGGTATTGACCAGTAGGTAGTACCTATAAATGTAGCCTATTTTCCTTAATGTAGGCATATGTTTCCCTTATATATGGTAGATTGGTAGGTACCTCCAATCAATCGGTTCCTGACATGGCCATTGAATTTTGCAAGCTATAAACCTCCATTTAACTTCGATGATGTTCCCCCTTAAATGCCCACAAGGAAATCACGACAACCAAAAGATACGGAGGAATTGTATCCATTCTATTGGAATCAAGTGCATAATCATAATCTCTACCCTCTGGTAAACTAACATACCTATGGAAAATCACATTTTTTCATGGGAAAATCCACTATAAATGACCATGTTCAATAGCTATGTTTGTTTACCAGAGGGTATTTATAGTGCTTCCATTTCTGGAAGATACAGTTATGCCATGTTATGCCCCTATTAGCAGTTATGGCCATGGGATAAGATAATTCCTACTGGCCTAAGGTGAAACATATCACTTCACTGAGGTTTTTGGCTCGCCAGTTATAAGTGCTAAGGGCTATAACATGCTAAAACGTAGTAAACATACCAACAGCCATGCACATCCATGATTTTCCCTTAGATCTATGTTAGTTTATTGGAGGCTAAACCATCACAAAGCATTGGCAACATACTTAGAAATGGAAAGAAATAGCTGGTCTAAACACTGGAGGTTGATGATGAAGATTTATCACATGAGCTCTTTTTAAACTCAGATTGTTTGATTCAGAGAAGTTCATGAAACATGAAGGAATGCAACAGAAACATGCAGGGTCTCTCTCTCTCTCTCTCTCTGTAACTCTTTCTGTCATCTTCTCTCTGTGTCTCTGTATCTCTCCCTCTGTCTATCTATCTGTCTATCTATCTCAAGTGTCGTGTAAGTGTAGTTGCAGTTGCAGTTGTAGTTGTAGTGTAATGGGCTGTAGTGTAGTGTAGTTGTAGTCTGGTGTAGCGTAGTGCAGTTGCAGTTGCAATTGTAGCTGTACCTGTAGTGTAGTGTAGTGTAGTGAAGTGAAGTGAAGTGGAGTGTGATGTGGTATAGTTGCAGTTGTACTTGTATTTGTAGGTGTGGGTGTAGGGTGGTGTAGTGTGGTGTAGTGTAGTTGTAGTTGTAGTGGAGTTGTAGTTGCTGGAGCATTTGTAGTTGTAGTGTAGGGAAGCAGAGAGAGAGAGAGAGCCTCAGAGACTCAGAGACTCAACCGCCTTTCGATCCATCAGTTCATTGGATTGGTTTAAGGGAAAATCTTCACCGGAAACCCATGGGTTTTTACCATCAAATTGATCGGGCTTTCCGGTTAAAATTTTCCCATCATCCAATTCGATCCATCAGTGGCTTCACTCTGCCATCCATCACAACAACTCACCTCTCCTATAGTTCTCCTGTCTTTGAAACTCCCGCCACCGCCGACCGTGCGGTACTACTACTATACCCGTCATACTCAGATCACTCAGATCATTACCACAGTTACATTCCTGCAGTTATGGCCATTTATGAGTTATAACTGGTTATTTCTATGGGATTATACATAAACTGTAGTTATTTCAGTACTTATAACTGGTATGACTCGGGCCATAATTGTACCAATAATTGTTTTATAACTCCAATTTCACTATGGTTTATAGGTGATATATCTATAGTTAATGGGCTTACCACAGTTTCTGCTTGGTGGTTTGGAACATGTTTTATTTTTCCATATATTGGGAATGTCATAATCCCAACTGACGAACTCATATTTTTCAGATTGGTTGAAACCACCAACCAGGTTATAATATCTACGTATTCATATCTACCACATCTACTATCTATGGTTTATAGGTGTTTATATAGGGGCTTACCACAGTTATTCCCTAATAAATCCCACCATGGTTTCTTCAAATCCCCAGATGTTTCACGGTTTCACGAGGCGACCTCTGGGGAACTCGGGCCTAGGCGAAGGTGCTCCTGATGTGTTTCTCCGTCTAGGCCGGGGCACGGCACGGGTGAATTTCTCAAACGTGGCTAGCTGGGAAATCCACTCGAACTGGGGCTTTCAATCGGAAAATCACCGAACGAAATATAGTCTATTTTCCAGCAAGCCATGTTTACATGTTTAATTACCGGAGGGTAATCTATTGGGGAGTATGATAGGCAATTGTATAGGGAAACCGTTTTCAAGCAGTTTTTAATGAGAGGGGATTTTCACGGTATTTTTTTCATGGTTCAGTGCCATCTTGGGGGGCCACCTAAGCTGGTTTATCATTTGGTGAGCTGTTGAGGGAATGCAATGTATTAATCGGGGGCTTCACCTTGTACCATTGACCATGCCCTTTTGGTGATCCTCATGTCAGATTGTTAGCATGCGTTATCCCAAAAATAGTTATACAAATTCCTGAATGGGATAATTAGCAGTCATTTTCAATCCATGGGATCTGTTCAGTATATCTTTATGGCCTCCGCACAGGAATCTTCCTGCCGCCCTTTGTTTCTGCCATGTTCTCGCTGTTGCTCCGCAAAAATGCGATACCTGGCAGGTGAACGCCCTGATCATTTGAAGGGTAGTCACTGGTAGTCCTTAAATGGGGATGAGTCAAAACCTATTCGTACTATATTTGGGGAATAAACATCCATTAACCAGCTATTTTAGAATATTTTAGGGTATCTAGGGCACCAGGTTTTGACTCATAGCCAAATGTGAAGAACCCAAGAAGAGCCATATCTGGTAGGACCACCATCTACCGGGACCCGATGCCATGGTTATCCATTTGTTCGTAAATTTTATGTTGAAATATGTGAAAACTATGGCCCGCGGAATGTGTTGAAACATTTGCCTCAACATCATTATTTTGGGATGCAGCGGTCATGGTTGGCCCACTCCATTTTTTTGTCCCCGCCCTGGAATTCTTGTCGGGTGAACTGGTTCAAACATGTTGAACCATGGTGGTTATATCGTGGGCACCGCCAAGTCCGGTCATGCTCAAAGAGGAAATGTAAGAAACCCTGTGACACCCTACTCCCCGAGGTTGGTATACCCTCTGGTAATCAAACATGGCTAGCTGGGAAATCCCCGAACTAAATGGAGGTTTTAGTTGAAAAAATGGTTGTTCCAGTGCCAAGGTTGATGACCGGAGGGTATCATAGATATCATTGGTGAACATCCTACAAGTCGTATTGTCGGATCACAGCAAGCAGATACTGCACATTTTCAGAACCTGGTTGGCATCCATGTGCAAATCAAAAGGCCACATATTATGGTTCATTTGAACTGCCATTTTGATATATGTTGATATATGTTGATCATGTTGGCTCTTCATTGCTGCTTTGTGTCTATTTCTAGGTCAATCTTAGATGGATACAAACTAATCCTGACTAGTCTTTTGGTATCAACGGGAATATCTACGTTCACCAGCAAAGAATTTGTCATTTTTGCGTATCTAAGATTGGCAATGTATTTATCACCATTGATCACTATCAATCACTATCAATCACTATTAATCACCATTAATCTCTATTAATGCCATTAAACAATGATTTGGCCTATTTTTCCATACGTTTTTGAAGCGCCCTGGCGATGCGCTCAGGAATCCAATACGAGCAACTCTGGCCGTTCGAAGCCTCGCGTGGTTGTGCTTCTTCGTGTGGGGATTCCCACGAGGGTTCGACGGTTCGAGGGACCTCGTGGTGAAATGTTTATTTGTTGATTTTTCGCCACGCAAACTATTTCTAACTATATATATTATGCAACTATATATAAAATGATAATGAAAGATAGATATATATATATAATTTATATATTTATGTATATATATAATATGCTGTATCTACCATAGTTGCCATGTAATTTTTCTGATTGCAGTTCAACCTTATTGCCAACGAAAACTTTTTCAGCCACCAAAATCGCCGGTGTTGTTTCAAGGTCGCTGGCGTTCCTCTTGGTGACCTCAGTGATCTGGCACGCGGCTGCACCGAGCATCAAAGTGGCGCCCAAGGAATCGGACGTCGTCTTCCTGAAAGGCGCTGGGCCGAAAGGGGCCGAAAGGGGCCGCTGGGCGGCTGGGCATGGTTCCAATGCTTACTAAGTGAGTAGCCCATGGTGAGTTTCATGGTGATTCAATGGTGATTTCATGGTGATTTCATAGTGATTTAATGGTGATTTACTGGTGATTTACAGGGATTTATGTGGATTTAATGGGATTTACTGGTGATCTAATGATGGATTTAATGGGATTTAATAATGATTTCATGGTGATTTAATGGGATTTAATGGTGATTTACTGGTGAGTTTCATGATGTTAAGAGGATTGACCATTTGGTACATAGCCATTGAACATGGCGAGATCGTTGAACATGGCGTTGACAAAAAATGGTGAGTTTATGTCGCAAACTGTAAACGTTTATCGCAGGGTATGGCATGTAAGATGGCCAGAAATAAGTAGCAGTTCCAAGTCGAGGTGCAAATACGCATTTATAATAAGTCCATATAGATAAATGGAATGATAGCCATATTTATAGCGATTTATGATCATCTAGAACTGGTGAAAGGCCTTTAACGGTACAGCCATGGATGTCAAAGTCTGTTCAGACGCCGGGGACCACAGATCGTTTAGTCGACTTCTAATGGCAGACCCTTATCCATATGATGGGATGTGATGTAATACCTTGTTTCTCGCCAGTGATAGTAACCTCATGTAATCCAGGATATATTTCTTACCATCTTTTGACTGAATCTTGGGGATGGTGTGTGAATGTTTGTGAAATATTAAACTAAATTTGGTGTTGCTGGGCTATGGTTCAAACTCAGAAATTTGCTAGTTGTTACACTCTTGAGCCACCCAATGTTTGGGTCAACAATTGAGCAGCCACAGCTGCGGATGTGAAATGCATGGTCTCATCATGTGCCATACTTTGCAAAAGCTGATTTGGGGGGGGCCTACGGCTCTCTTCTTCACTTTCCTATCAACTTGGTCATGGTCTGGCAAGTCACTCGTTCTATATTTTTTCTGGATTGCTCCAGCAGATGTACTTTACAGTTTACAGATGTTTACGGTTTACATAGTAAACCAACATCAACACAGCCTGGTTGGTGGTTTGGAACATGTTTTATTTTCCACAATATATTGGGATAATCCTTCCCATTGACTTTCATATTTTTCAAGATGGTTAAAACCACCAACCAGATATAGAACCAAGCAACATGGCACAGAACACCACCACTTCCAACTGACTTTCACTCCATCATGTTTCAGAGGGGTAGGGCTCAACCACCAACCAGGTTCCCTTACATGGGCCTGAAAAATAGGCCAAAAATATATGGAATCGGTACCTCCAATCAATCGGTTCCTAAAATGGCCAGTGGGGCCATTGAGGGTACCCTCTGGTAATTTAACATAGCTATGGAAAATCACCATTTTTAATGGGAAAACTCACTATAAATGGCAATTTTTAATAGCTACGTTAGTCATTACCAGAGGGTAGGTATACCTCAACCACCAACCAGTCATGGTGGATATCTCCTTGGTTCCTACGAAAACGACGGCCAGGCACTTCGTTGGAGATGCCGGATCTGCCGATGTTTTTCCACCCCACCGGAGTGGCCGATCTTCGGTATGAAAAAACATGGCTGGCTGGAAAATCTATGACGTTCTATTCCTTTTTTAAGGGGAGAATCATTTATAAATCATTTATAAATGGTGATGGTTCACGATTTTTCCATGTTTGATTACAGGGTATATTTATGTATATTTGTTGGTAAAGGAGACATCAGCAATGCTTCTTAAAAGCAATTGGCATTCGAAAAGTGTAGAACAAACCGATGTGGAATCAGCTAATCAAACCTGGCCTGTAAACCACCAGTAGAAAAATTGCCAACTAATCAATGGAAAACCATCCATTTTCGTTGACTTTTGCAGCTGTAAGATCAACTCCCGGAGTTCTGAAAAACGAGCCCAGTTTCACGGTAGCCTCCGCTAAAACATAGCAATTGGATGCAATTGGAACATCATTTAGTTTAATTTATGGAGGTTTCCTAAAATAGGGGTACCCCCAGTTCTCATCCATTTATAGCAATCGGATTTTCCATGAAATAAACCATCCAGCGAGACTGGGGTACCTCTATTCATAGTTCGATGATATTTCCAGTGAACTACCCTCTGGTAAACGTTTACATAAATGGAAAATCACCATTTTTAATGGGAAAACTCACTATAAATGACCATTTTCAATAGCTACGTTAAATTACCAGAGGGTAAAGTTCAAATCTCCTTCATGTTGGTGAAAACTTCGTCCACCTCTGTGATAGATTCTATTGTTGATCATGGAAGGGGTTATTAATGGCTTGATATATACCATTCATATCCCAAGCTTTGTTAGTGGAGTCCGATTTCACATTGTTAAAAAAAATCTGAATTTGCTAGGTTCGATCCCACCTGTTTAAACCTGTTGACTGTTAAATTGGTCCATGCTGTTGCTCCAATCGCTCTTCTTGTTGGTAAAATGGCTGCTAAACTAGTCTACTTTGTTGGTTGCAACAGTGTAACCCCAAATTACTAAGATGCCGAAAATCCATGAAAAACATACCCTCTGGTAAACTAACATAACTATAGAAAATCACCATTTTCAATGGGAAAATTCACTATAAATGGTCATTTTCAATAGCTATGTTAGTTTACCAGAGGGTAGTTGCAGTTGTTTTTTTGTTATGTTACACTTACAGTCGCTGTCTTAGGGGCCCCACCAACCGGGTTGGGCCTCAAGGCCAGTGGGAATCTGCTGCTGCTCAGCGCCGCCTTCCGCATCGCGCGCTTTGAGTTCAGCGGAGTCCGAGCTCGTTCCGAGGGACCCGGAGGGATGCGACCGGGGGTTCCCGGTGGGTTTAAGGCAAAAACATGGAAAATACGTGAAAATACACCATTTAGATCCATTTAATGTAGTGATTGTTGTAGGAAAATCATGGTTTGATATCAGATATCTGATTGAAATGTTTGTTGGTATGCGTTATCGAGGGCCTTTCTCAACAAGAGGAATCGTTGTTTTTGTTGGGCCAAGTCATTTATCGTTACCCCAAGCTGAGTCTTGAATGTCTACATCCCTGGCTAGCTGCTTACAAAAAAAAACTGTCTCATGAGTCCAAGCATCTAGACAAAACCAGAAGATTCTTTTCGAGTTGGATCATGTGACAATCTGCAATGTGGGGCCCCCACACGATAGCTAAGTTGGTTTATAAGTCCAATAATTGTGGTTCATTATACTTATAACTGGTTGGTGGTTTGGAACATGTTTTAGTTTCCCATATATTGGGAATGTCGTATTCCCAACTGACTTTCATATGTTTCAAGATGGTTAAAACCACCAACCAGCTATAGTATTCATGGGGGTTATATTCACCAACGTTCACATTCATAAGCGTTTTTTCGGGGCACCACATTGTGGAGATCTTCGAGTTCCTTCATCAGCAACTGATGTTTTTGGAACGGGATTCAGCTGGCTATGGATAAATCCCTAGAGATACCATTTATAGGGATGAACATCCATAAATCCCAGCTATTTTGGTGTTCACCATGAATATAGGGTTTTGACCCATATCCAGCTGAGGCTTAGTGAATGAAGTCACTTTGCCCGCTTTGGAAATTGGAGATCTCACTTTCGCACCTGCAGCTCGGCATGTGGGATTTTGTGGGTCCTGACCACCAGAAACGGTGGATGTTCTCCGGTCCTGACTGAGGCCACTAGTTGAAAGGAATTCAACTTGGAATGATAGCTACCCTCTGGTAATTTAACATAGCTATTGAAAATGGCCATTTATAGTGGACTTTCCCATAAAAAAATAGTAACAAGTAAGGATTGTTACCTTCTAATGGCCAGATTGTTGACCTTCAAAATGATTCATACTCAACATTAGCTAATGTCAATGATATCTGATTGAATCACTCTGGCTAAAAAACTCATGTTTTAGTTTTTGTTGTGGCCATTTGCCCTCATGAAGAAGGTTTTTTGTTTCGACAAGTCGTCGGACACACTGTGGATGGTTGCGAAATCCTACACCAAAAGATGGTTGAAATATGTTGAAGCCCAACAATGGGATGTTTACCACCGTTTTCAACTGGTGGATTTCGCATCCATCCACTGTATCATACCATCTTTGGTGACATCCGTTGCTAGTTTGGTCCCGAAAGCAGGGGCGAGCTAAGGACAACGGCACTGTAGCTTTGGCTGGTCGTGACGCTCGGCATTTTATGCCCCAAATTCCTGTCCTGTTGGTTGCACGATTGGTTGTTGGGGTTGGTTGGGGGGATTCGATGTGTTTTGCAGATTGGAAGGGAGCCTCTAATTATGAACCAACTGGTAGAAAGGCATGAAACAGTATGTCAGTATCTGTCAGAACAGTAGAATGTCTTTTTGGAGATGTTTTTTGAGCCAGACGTTGTTTGTGTTTACAACATTTTACAACCAAAAAGGAGCAATAATTTTCTCTTTGGCTTGTATCATCGTGTATCATGTAATTAGCGGTGGTATAAAGTGATATAAGATGATACAAGATGATACACCTCTAAAGTGATATCTTATAATTGGCCTGTATCATCTTGTATCATGTCACTTGTTCTTTTTGCACTTCCCAAATCTTTTTTCAGGAAGCCTTTTGTTACATGTGATTCCGAGATGTTTCCAGCAGCTCCACAAAAGGTGACATGGAAGATGCATTTGGATTCCCATCCCATTGTAGAGAATGGCGTCACAATGTCGGGCTCGTCATGTAACTAGTACCCTCTGGTAAACGTTTACATAACCTATGGAAAATCACCATGTCTAGTGGGTAAATGCACTATAAATGGCCAGTAACTAGGTAGTCACGTTCATTTCACCACTTGCTTTCCAAGATCCTGCAAATCCAAACAAATCAGGATCTGAAAATCTTTGTTCGACCGATTTTGCCAGCTTAAATCTGTGCAATTGAGGATGTGTTTAAAATCAGAAGATAGTGAGTCATTATGTCCCCGCTTGTTCCACAATCAAGATTTCATTAGCTTCATCGAATTCATAAGATTTACTCAAACTTCATTTGAATCAACCGTGATTGCTCCTGCATATCCAAGTAGCTCAGGAAAGTATCATCTTCAAGTATTTACCCTCCAGTAAACTAACAGTTTGCAATGGAAAATGGACCATTTAGTTCGTTGATTTCCCTATTTAAAATAGTGATTTTCCATAGCAAACTGTTAGTCATTACCAGAGGGTGCCAGCCGTGTTTCATGATGAAACTCATATTAATGTTCGATCCAAATTAATGCATCCCGGTTGCTGGTGTTTTACAGTTTACCAACGACAAGATATGACCCAGTATGCTCCAGTCATGGCCCAAAATCTCCCAAGTTATACTGGTTTAGGTGGTTTGGAACATGAATTTTATGACTTTCCGTTCAGTTGGGAATGTCATGGAATGTCATCATCCCAACTGACTCATATTTTTCAGAGGGGTGGCTCAACCACCAACCAGTATAGCAGTTATAAGTTACAAGAAATCATCCCATAAAAATGCTGTACTTTATCAAGTTCATCCCGTAGAAAGCTTCAGGAATCATCATGAATCACATGTTTAGCCACTACTGTGGATGGTTGCGAAATCCTGCACCAGTTGATAGATGGTTTGTCCCATTATTTACAGGATTTCAACCATCCAAGGTGGCGCAGGATTTCGCAACCATCCACAGTATCAATCATTATGAATCACTATTTGCGATATCACCATTTAATCACTATAGAAATCACTTTCTTGAAATCACCAGTTATAATTCCATAGAAATCAGTTGTTTCCCCCATTCTTTGTGTATAAAATCCCATAGAAATCACTGAAATCACCAGTTTTTTTTCCCATGAACCGCCCAGGATATGGTGAGCTATTTACCTTCCAATTCCTTGCTGGAAACGGCTGCCACGGGACGTGTGGCGTCCGTGGCGTGGCGTTCCTTACCTGCGAGCCATTTCGGCATCCAGGACGAAGCCAAGGGATGGGATGGGGCTGAGCTGACACAGCGAAGGTCGTCATGTTTTTCGCAAGAAAAATCGTCTAACCACCACCATATCAATCCATATCAAATACCCTCTGGTAAACTAACATAACTATGGAAAATCACCATTTTTAATAGGTAAATCAACTATAAATAGCCATTTCCAATAGCTATGTTACATTACCAGAGGGTACTAGGAAAATAAGATCAAAATACGATGAACATACTATAAAATACCCATTTTGAAGCAGCAAACATGGTGATTTGACCAACAGAAATATGTTGATTTGGGCAAGAATGAAGATCTTTGCCGCCTTTTAATTACCACCAACCATCGGGAACATTGCCAGCATCACGTTTCCCTCTTGAACCCGTTATAAATTGGAATATATATGATATATAATTTACATAATTATATAATATTACATTTAGAAATTATATATATATAATATATGTTCACATATATAAACAAAATCATTTTGCACATAAAAAAAAAAAACTCCAACCAGTGTTTTCTGTACGTCCGGCAGCAGACCTCATTTGGCGCGCCAGGATGGAAACGATCCCGGTCCTGCGGAGGCGTTACAGGCGCGCTGGGACGCGACTTTTGGTGATCCATGGTGCGAAAAATCCCAAGTTCTGGGAGCCTCTGGGAGCCTGTGGATCTACCCGGCATTTATAGGGGATTTATAGGGGATATATAGGGGATATAATGGGGATATATAGGGATTTATGGGGAATATAATGGGGATTAGCCTCTGGTAAACTAACAGTTTGCAAACTTGAAAATGGCCATAGAAAGTTCATTGATTTACCCAGCTATAAAATGGTGATTTTCCATAGTTATATTAATTTACTTGTGGGAATATATGGGATAATATGTAAGTTAGAAATATGTGTTAAATTTGTTGAAATATCCCATAAACATATCCCAGTTAAATATGGGAATGTCAACTCCGATATCTTTGTGGGAATATAAGTTGTTGATTATGAATTGACATCCGATCCAGAACGATTCAGCTTTGTCAGTTTGTGTTTTTTGTTCTTGAATGTTCCATTATTTCAAACCCAAATGCTCCATGTATGATATGGAATATTTACCAACATTTGCCCTTGCCCAAAATCACCCAGTTTTGTAGGTATAAATATACCAGCACCATGGTTCGCATATGAGAAAAAGTGTTCATTCGATTCGCAATTAACCCAACAGTTCCTGGTTGGTGGTTTGGAACATGAATTTTATTTTTCCATCTCTTGGGAATGTCATCATCCCAACTGACTTTCATATTTTTCAGAGGGGTGGCTCAACCACCAACCAGGTTCAGCTCAGTTCGTTTGTTTCAGGCCTTGGCGTACTGGCCGCAGCAGGACCACCGACGCAATCGCTGGAGTGGTGGGGCAGAGAAAAGGTGCTGTTGATCTATGTTGATCTTGGATTTTTTGAAGGGCATGGATTTCAAACTGAAAAAAACATCCGGGTGATTTTGAGGGTTTCTATATACAGCAGACTGGAGATGTTCATCAACTTTGTAAGGTTGGAAACCTTTGGTTCATTGAAATCCTCGACCATTTCTGGGTCCAGAAATGTGAAAAATCGGAGATCTTAGTTCATGAACAGAAACTAAGCATGGAAATCCGAACTTGTGGGTGCCAGATCCAGTCCCCATTGGCTTTTCTCATGGTGAAAAGACCATGGTGAAATCTCCCGTATGAAAATCCTCAGGAGAAACTCATGTACCATCGACATCACTGGAACCTGGGTCAGTAGAACCTCAGATTTTCTCACGGACGCTCCAACCATGCGAGGTGTGTTTCTTGGTTGACCACACTAACTATAGCTATATCTACCACAAGCAAACCATTGTTCTTGTGAAATTCGAGCTCTATGTTTACCAACTGAGTTATCTGTTGGTAAACATAGCCTCCGCTCTCGTTTCGGACCCCCTACTTAAGCATCTCATTTCGGACCCGGGTGACCAACTTGGGCCCCACCAACATATCGCACAGGATATGTTGGTGATCAGCAAGGCAGATCTAGGCATCGTGGCCTGTAAGGCGGGTGTTTTTTTTTTGAGGCTTGGATGGCTGGTTGGATATGGATGGCAGACTTGACCTCTGGATGATTTTCGAGTGGTCTTCTATGGATGCAAATATGGAAGAAACTTGATCTGGCAATGTGGGAATAGCCTCTGGTAATGTGGATCTACCCGGCCTGGCCTGGTAAATAGTGGATTTATAGGGATTTGCTAGGTCAATCTTAGATGGATACAAACTAATCCTGACTAGTCTTTTGGTATCAATGGGAATATCTACCTTCACCAGCAAAGAATTTGTCACGTATCTAAGATTGGCAATGGGATGAACATATGGATGAAACTTGATGAAACCCTGGTTTAGGTGGTTTGGAATCATGGAATTTTATGACTTGCCATACATTGGGAATGTCATAATCCCAACTGACGAACTCATATTTTTCAGATGGGTGGCTCAACCACCAACCAGATGAAACTTGATGGAACTTCTGTTTTTTGGTGCCCATCATGGTGCCAATGTTCAGGGAAGATCGGGACTTGTTGGTCAAAAGCTGTTTGACCAGCTACAAAGCGGAAGCCCTTCTCCATCCATCACCCATCTATAGATTAGTTAATGCTAACCCTCAATAACATACCATGTTATATCATGTTATATCATGTTATATCATGTTATATCATGTTATACCATGTTATACCATGTGTTATATCATGTTATACCATGTGTTGTATCATGTTACATCATGTTATATCATGTGACATCCCCATAAACCATACCAACGTGTCCGTGTCCAACACCGTCCCGTCGCATGTCCCGGGTCAGGCACATGACGATCGAGGGAGGGTGCAACCCTTGGTACAGGCTGAGATGATGGTCATGGAAAAGCTACTGGCTGAGTTGTCAGGTGGTTACAAGAATTTTGATAGTACAAAAGCAATAATTCAATATAATTTAATGACTAATGTGACAATTTGATAAATACGTGTATATATATATATTTATACACTAAATATCATATATATATATATATTGATAAGTAGATACTGAATAGTAAGATTGGTTGATTTGGAGCCATAATTCCAAGCTCTGTGGCCAATTGTTGTGCTGAGTTTTTGCTCCGTCCTATCACAGCTGGCACTGGTCAGTCTTTCGACTGTTTTTGAAGCTTTTGCTCTTTGGTATTTTTGGGGCTCCACAAGTTTATCTGGTTGGTGGTTTGGAAGCATGGATTTTTATGACTTTCCATTCAGTTGGGAATGTCATAGTTAATCCCAACTGACGAACTCCATGATTTTCAGAGGGGTGGCGAAAAACCACCAACCAGTTATCATAGTTTTTCCAGGTGATCTGGCCGGATTCAAAGATATGGGGGCCTTTGAGATTCTGTTCTTGGTACTGTCGGATATCTTCTTAACCGAATTGGACCCATGGGAAGCGTGTGAGTTCAAAAAATGGCCTGGAACGGTAGGTTTAGCCGTCCTCTTGTAATCGAGCATCATGGAATATCCGGAGTCGAACATCGCCCATTTACAAAGCTATTTCTAGGGATTTATAGGGATTTATAGGGATTTCTAGGGATTTCTAGGGATTTATAGGGATTTCTAGGGATTTATAGGGATTTATAGGGATTTCTAGGGATTTATAGGGATTTATAGGGATTTATAGGGATTTATAGGGATTTATAGGGGATATAATGGATAATACCCTCTGGTAATGACTAACATAGCTATTGAATATGGCCCAGTCGAAAGTTCGTTGATTTACCGAGCTATAAAATGGATTGATTTTCCATCGTTTTGTGTAAACGTTTACCAGAGGGTAGATCCGGAAGTTCCCAGTGAAAATGACAATCGAGGTTTGGGCTTGGCACCAGTGTGGCTGGACTTCATGTGGATGCGCTTGAAGAAGTGTTGCAACTTGTCTGCATTGCAGCATTCCAATGCATTCCAGGCATTGCAAGTGGATAGACCCCAGAGAAAGCCAGAAAACTCACCAGGGTCTATGGGAATATTTTCCAAGATCAAGGTTGCAAGGTCTATGTTTATTGGAATGAGATGTGAAAACTCCCCCTAATACTCAACCACAGGGTTGATTGTTTTTTTTTTTAAAGTTGTTTTTAAGTTGATCGGGGTTGATTGGGGGCTTTTATATGCCAGTGATGTTGATTGATTGAAAGCCACGGTCCAATCAGTGGGAGTCATCCTAGGGATCTTCCATCGCCTTATGATGGAATGTGGAGTTTGATTTGAGAGTTTCACATAGGTCAAATATGTTCGCAGGAAGACTTTGGATCTACAGGTGATTAGGAATTATACAGCAGAAATGTTTCCAGCCAATTTGGGCAAATGACCAAGCGGCAAATTCCCACAGTTGGCCCCAAAGCGGAATTTCACCGAAGGTGGACACGCTTGGATACCTGATTTGTCATATTTGATGGTGGTTATCTATCAGCAACTCCACACATCAAACAGAGCAGGCATTGCCACATGTTCTTTTTTTTCACTTGGAGGTAAAATGCCAATACCCTGAGTAAACAAATTTGGCATTGGTGTTCAGTGTTTTGATGATTTCATTGTTTTGATGAGTTGAGTTCAGGGGTAATCCCTGACTGATTGGTGGTTTCAATATGCTGTTTCAAGTATTATTGTATATTTGATTATATTTGTATCTTCAAGCATAGAAATGGGATCATGATCCCAAAAAAAACTGTCACATGCCTTTCATTTTTTCAGATGGCTCAGCCGCTAGAGGGGCAATCTCCACTGCAGACACGCTGGTTTACCCCACGAACTAAAGTTTCATCTATATTTGAAAAAAAAAGCTAGTAAACCATCCCCAATTTTACCATAAATGGATATAAATGGCTGGTATCAACCATCATATGCGTGGTTTATTGGTTTACTACCAGTACATCATTGTTGTTTGAGTTATCTTTACCAACTTAGCTATCTAGATGAGCCCCCCCACCTGCCAAGGTATGTCTTGTTCCATCGCACTGGACGGCATGCTGAAATTCACGCCATAGATCTGCTGCTTGGTCGATCTGCGTGACCGTGGGCAGTTCAGATGAAGTTGTTGAACTTAATTCACCAAGAAAGGTGTGTCAACATAATCTGGTTGGTGGTTTGGAACATGAATTTTATTTTTCCATATATATATATATATACATAATATATATATATATTGGGAACAGTAACCCTAAATGACTAATAATTTTCAGAGGGCTTGAAACCACCAACCAGTAATAATTTGCTTGTACTTACGTTAAGGTTTAGCAGTATCAAGCTGACTCATCTTAAAGCTAATATTTACAAAGAAAGATGTGTGGCCTGCAAAATATTGTGGAGTAGTAACTGCTCATCATAATAACAAGAACCGGGATCTGGAGAACTCTTCGCAGCCAGTCACGGCTGTATGTAACATGCTCTAGCGTATACTTTAAAAAACGTGAGATAATGTAGTTCAATTATGTTCAATTTTAATGTAAAGTCACGTATCGAGTGCGTCACTTCATGTAGTGTGATATCCTGTAGCGTAACATCATGAAGCGTGACTTGAATCTCCTGCGTATGTAAAATGCGCTGACGTAGCCTCAAGTAGTTTTCTACTAGGCAGCGTAATATCATGTAACGTCGTTGACATCTCCTGTGTATGTAACATGCTCTAACGTCACATCAAGTAGTGTGATGACATGTAGCGTGACATGATGTAACGTGACATCAGGTAGTGTCACGTGTCCTGCGTTTGTGTGTATTACATGATGTAGACTGCTGACCCATCCGCATACCAGAAAATGTGAGCAACATGATTTCGATGTCAACACTGTGTGCAAGTGCATGTGAACGTTACTGCAACTTCCCACCCCACCCCGTCTGTAGGAAAACCCAGGAAAAACTGCGGCCGTAAATGGCTCATAGTTTGATAGTGGTTGGTAGCCATCATACGTATTCATAAGTTGATTAATCTCACTGCCAGCAGCCCGGGTAAAACACCCGGGCCGGTGGGTGAACATGGTAAATTCTAATCGTATTAAGACATATCAAGACATATCAGGACAATGTATCTGAATATATCCCATATGCTCCATGTATGGAATATTTACCAACATTTGCCCCATAAATGACCCAAATGTAGGTAAATATACCAAACATGGAGCATATGGGTATCTGAACCATAATTCCCAACAACACCAGTTTGCACCCAGCAAGTTTCCAGAAACCCGCATGGAAACCACGTACAAACAGCCGACGAAGTGATGACCCTTTTATAAAGGGTGACCCCAGGGACGCCCAGAGTATCACCCAGCTAATATGAAAAACTACTTTTTTCTGCGTCTTATTTCTGCGTCTTACTGAAAACATTTGCTATATTGCATGTGTCATAAATAGTTAGTGCATGATATTATGCAATATTTATGTATATTTATGTTGTATGTCAATATATATATAAATATATATATATATATAGTACCAAATAGTGTATATATTATTGTGTTACATATACCCAGACCCTCCAAGTACCGATAAACACGGATAAAACGTACCAGTTTTGGGCTACGTAAGATATCTATCGTTTATGGCTACTTGGGTTTGTTTGAAGATCGGGTACCCCATAACCCCATTGTTGATCATCATTTTCCCATCAACAATTACCATATTATGAGTGGGTATATCCACTTTTCAGGCACATCCACTTGGAGGGTCTATCTATGGTTTATATTGGTATATAAGCCCGATAAATATGATAGTCACTATTGGTTATGTATGTTTCACTGGCTAAATCCCATGAAATCCCATTTTTTATCCCCATGAAATTCCCATGAAATCCCCATAAATCCATCGTTAAATCACCAGTAAATCCCCATGAAATCCCAATAAATCCCCCATGAAATCCACCATTAGGCGTGACGAGCTGGGCCGCTTGCTGCACGTGCTACGTCTGCCCGACCTGGACTCCGCCGACGGCAGCGAGGCGGACCACGACGTGGTGTGCCGTGGCGAGCGCAGCGAGTTCGGTGGTTGGACATGGTTCGGGGAAGGGATTCACAGGATTCACATACCCATACAATGTGAGGCCCCCAAGATAGCTAAGTTGGTGCAAATAACTCAAATAACTATGGCTTAGGGTATTTGTAACCACAGTTACTGGGGCTTATAAACCAACTTATATCTTGGGGGCCTCACATTGTAGGATCCATGGTGCTGCTATATATGGTGTGCCATGGATCCCATCAATATACCCCCTTTATGTTAGCATGTATATACCAGAACCATGGATTCGTCATGGGATATGGAGATATTTCCCAGGATTGTTACCCTCTGGTTATTTAACGTAGCCATAGAAAATGATCATTATTAATAGGTAAACCATTGGTAAACCATCTATTTCTATGGGCAATGGCTTCCATGGCTATGTTAGTCAAAACCAAATGTTTTTTTTTTTTGCGTGTAAATGAGGGCTTCCATAGTCATGGGGAGTCCCCAAACTGATTGGTTTTTTTTAGGGAAAATCCTAGCTAGAAATGGATGAGAACTGGGGGTAGCCCTATGACTTAGGAAAGCCCCATTAAAAATCACATCAAGACTGATTGGTGGTTTGGAACATGGCAAAAAATGATCACTGGTGCTAAACGTAGGGAATTTAGGATATGCTTGATAAATGACTGTTGGGGTTGACGATGCTTATCATTTGATGGGAAAACATCATTTAGAGGGGCTTTAACCAGGAAATTATGGCGATATAATTTATAAATTGCGGTTGGTTGATGATGAACCCTTTTATGGAGATACTGTTTTTCATGTGTATAATCATATTATGATCATAAATCTGATCCTTCTTTGTTGGTTGATGAGTTTTCTTTCGCTTCTTATATACTTACACCCAACATATCTATTGGTGATCAAACTGAATCTGTGGAATCCCGATTGAGCACTAGCGGATGTGAGTTGTCAGGTTTCTGAGTCATGATTTGTCATGATTTTTCCGGGGGCATGTGTCATGCATATCACGGACGCACTGGTGGTTTTTTGTGGGTACCCATAGGATCCATGGTGCTGCTATATATATATGGTAACATTTACCATCAATATACCCCAAATGTTAGCATATATACCATACATGGAGCATATGGGGTAATGTTTTTCAGAAATATCACGGACGCACCGTTTTTAGACTCGTGAAGTGCATAGCAGATGCGCGGATCGGCTGATGGATCGGCTGATGGATCGGCTGATGGTTTCGCATGCACTACTGTGCAACCAACAAGATCTTGGGCGAATTGCCACATCCTCACTGATCCATTGATTCATGGAGGGTGCCTGCGAAATCACCAAAAAAGGTGAACCGAATGCCTGAAGTGTGTTTCATGAAACGAAAAGATAGAAATGCAGATACAAGTTGGGCCTCCTGTTTACAATAGCTAGGTCATGCTAGGTCAACATATATATCTCCAAATAACTCAGGTTTATGGAAGAGAAAGCGGGCTGAGATCTGGTGTACCAACAATCGCAACTGGCCCCACCTTGACTTCAGGGAGAGACGCAGAGCCTTTTGTAAATTGATCTGGGTAAACTGTAACGACCTCACTGTTCTCCCTCACTGGAATAATGGTTAGTAAGGGAAATCATCCCCAAATGGCCAACATTTCAGGTTCGTGAAATATTATAATTTACCCATATATATATATATATAAATATCGTAGTATATGTTCATAAATCATAATATTCATATGTGTGTGATTCTCCAGGTTTCTTATTATTCTTTACCCAGACTGTGGTGCGAAAAAGACAGAAAGACCATGTTGGTGAGACCATCCCTCTGATAGCCTCTAATCATAGCCATGGTACCATCTGGTTATGACATTCACAGTTCGCCATGGTTAAGCCTCATCATAGAAATAGATGGTTTACCTGGGTTTACCGTTCTTAAAAATGGTGATTTTCCATGGCTATGTTAGTCATAACCAGATGGTAGGTGATTTTCTCAGTTCAATGGCCATTTTGGGTGGGATTTCTTGAAAAAATATCACGCTGCAACTCTTGCAACTCTTGATACGACCCATCGATGGTTTCCTCTTGAGTTTGGCTGTTGATAACACCATAACGCCAACACATGATAACACATTTTTCGGTTTAAATTCTATGAACATCCCACAATATGTTCCTTTCGCCATAAATCCAATAAATCCAGCTGTTTTTGGGACAGCAAATCCCCATAGGTTTTCCGATGTTTTCCGTTGAAAAACCCCACGAGTTCCCGACGCGACAAGCCCGACGTGTTCGCCCAGGTGGGGTGCCCTGTCCAGTTGGCATCCGCCAGATCCCTCACGCAGGTTGGGCCCCGCGGTTTTCGTTTGGCCATGGCGTTTTTTGATAGTGAAAGAACTGGTGATTTCTATAGTGATTATAACACCAACATAGGGAAATAATTGAGAAATGGAATTATCACTGGTGATTTCTATAGTGATTATAACACAAACATAGGGAAATAACTGAAATAACTGAGAAATGAAATTATCACTGGTGATTTCTAGAGTGATTAGTAGTGATTAAATGGTGACCAATAATGGTTGATAATTGTTAATAGTGGCTAAGCATGTGATTAATGATGGTTACAACTGGTTATTTCTATGGGATTATACATAAACCAAAAATGGTGATATTTCAGTACTTATAACTGGTATTTTGGACCATAACTGTATATGGTATAGATGGCCTATATTTAGCTTGAAGATTTATGTAATGAACTAACAACACATGTGCTTTTTCGTTTTCTTTGTTCACTGGAGGGTATCTGTGTTCTTGGCAGATGATGTATACAATGCATTGGGAAATGTGACCAACGACATTGGATAGATAGGCATGAGCATACCAATACGATCTTAAATATGACCAGCAGAATTCAACAGACGACAAGCAGCCATGGCGAGTGCACATTGAAATAGCTATGATTGGTGAATCATCTACTTGCACCCTGGTACCCGGTCCAATCTGTGTCACTTGGTCTATTGAGATACCAAAGTTAGAAGTTCAGCATGCCAAGTGGAGAAGAAACGGTCAGAGAAGTTCTGAAAAGGGGACATAGTTGGTGGTTCCAGCCAAGCCAGGGGAAATTTAGTGGTAAATGAACCTGGCACTGGAAAATCCATCTACTTGTAAATGATGTTCCTTTGAATGATTGGCATCTATTTCGAACAAACAAGGACAAATCGGATATTGTTCCTCGGAAAAAAGTGCATTGTCCCATGAAAAAGGTGGTTGTTTCTCCACATGTCTGTGGATCTTCCCAACAAAAAAACTGAGTTGTAGCCCTTAACATGTTGTAGCAATTTATAACCCACTGAGGAGACCTTTTTTTTCAGACATCATAATTTTGCGTGACTCGGGACTCGCCGGGTAGGCCGCAACTCTTGGTGGCCACACGAACACCTGCCAAGGTGGGGGTTCTGAGTCGTTAAGGGGACGTTACCCTCTGGTAAACTAACATAGCTCTGGAAAATCACCATTTTTAATAGGTGATTCAACTATGACTAGGCCATTTTCTATAGATATGTTAGTTTACTGGAGGGTATTTAGTGGGATTATCACGGTGATTCTATTGGATTATCATGGGATAGTAAGGGATGATTTCACCATCCTGGGAGTAGTCTAGGGTATAGATTATTTTACCACCAAGCTAATTATATATGTTTGATGGGATAATTACTATCACCAACCTACAATCATTGGGTTTAATCATCAATATAATCCCCCGAAAGAAAAACATTAGGTTGATGATTAAACCAGATTAAACCCAATGATTATGACGGATTATCATGCATTATGATGCATTATGTGTGATTGAATCTAATGCAGTAAAATGTAGTATGATAGGAGAGTTGTAGTTCTGATATGGATATATAGTAGTATAATAGGATTATACGGACAATCCATTAAATTATGACCAATCCATAGATGATATATATATATATATTATGGATTATAGGTTGGTGATTAAAACTCATAATAACGTGTGTAAGTTTATATATTGGATTGTACTTTCCAATATATTGAGGATTATCACAATCCACTATCTGGATGAGCAAGGTGAGATATCAATTCTACAAGTGAAGATGATTTACCTGAAAAATCTCTACCATGATATGCACTTACAGAACCTATAACAGCCTATAACACTAAAATATGTTACATTAACCCCAAGTCATAGATAGAAAAGTGCAACCAAGTCTTCACTGACTTTGATCAAGCATTCGGATTATTCACTATTCCATAGCAATACCAAGTCATAGATAGAATAGTTGGAAGCCTGGAAATGTGAAGCGAATGTATGTACCCTCTGGTAAACTAACATAAGTATGGAAAATAACCATTTTATAGCTGGGTAAATCAACTATAAAAGGCCATTTCAATAGCAAACTGTTAGTTTACTGGAGGGTAAATATCATCTAGTTCACATCCTGGTTGCACACTTTTCTGCATTTTTTAAGGGGGTTGCCATATGTGAACATCTGGTTGGTGACATCCCCAGAAAAGGAACATGACTTAGTCACGATGGAAAAAGTTTCGGCTGGTGGTTCGCTATGGAAAACTTATCACTAGTAGCTACTTAATAAATGATCTGGTTGGTGGTTTGGAACCATGGAATTTGGATTGACTTTCCATTCAGTTGGGAATGTCATCATTAATCCCAACCGACGAACTCATATTTTTCAGAGGGGTGGCTCAACCACCAACCAGTGATGCTGCATGAAATCAGGGTATCCCATTTCGGGTCTGCCTTGGGTATCCCCGGTAACCAACATTAAGCAACCATGTTTGTCGGTAAGGTGCTTTTATGAACACAAGGGCATTTGCTTCGTTAAAACATAACATCACATTAGGGGATGTAACGGGTTTATGGGGACAAATGCCAGTAACCAGAAATTTGAGTGGAGTTTATGATCTTAATATATTGTAATGATAACCAAGCATTTTTCTTGGCTGGTAAAGATTTAGTTTGCCACTCATTATAGTAATTATTTTATATTGTCTCATCTTGGGAGTATCAGATTCTCAACTTAAAAAATAGACTGGTGACTTAGCTTAGGACTGGGAAATCCACCATCAAGCATTGGCCATTTCAGGTACCTAAGTCGAAGCTACCTAGCCCAAAAAAAAGTAGAAATAGAAGTAAGGGGATGTTATGATATACTGTAGCCTCAAATTATATGGCTTTATATGGTACAATCCCTCCATTTTAGGTACCTGAAATGATCCGGAGATGTCCATTGCCATTTTTGATTGCATATCACATGGAAGGTAGACCACGGTCTGTAGCGGACATACCCTCTGGTAAACGTTTACAGTTTGCGAACTGGGAAATCATCATTCGTAATAGGTAAATCAACTATTTCTATGGGCAATTTTCAATAGCAAACTGTTAGTTTACCGGAGGGTAGGTTCTCTACCCTTTGCTGTGCTCTCACATCGCCATGGAAAATTGCATTTTTCCCCACCTGCCAGGGGAGGGTTGTTAGATTTTATGTCAGTTGCCTGCTCCTCTCCTCCTCTCCTCTCCTCCTCCTCCTGCTCAACCGCGACCCTCGACGCACAGTGTTCTCTGTCGGACCTCAACCACGACCATCCACGCCCAGTGTTCCCTGCCGGACCTCAACCACGACCATCCCCGCCCAGTGTTCCCTGCCGGACCTCAACCACGACCATCCACGCCCAGTGTTCCCTGCCGGACCTCAACCGCGAGTATCCACGCCAAGTGTTCCCTGCCGGACCTCATGTAGGAAGATATGGGACAAAGAATGTGCAGAAGAAAGTTAGAAAGAATGTCAGACAAGTATGTTATATATTACTTGCAAACTCGCGCGTGTGTGTTAGAGTGACCGGGGCAATGCCACTTCTTACTTTGCAGGTGGCAAAGCTTGAAGCAATCAGTTTGAACAGATGACAGAGTCACTGGGGTGGACAGAGACATTTCCACTTCTGTACCTTTGGAGCTGTTTGCAAAGACGCTTGAGACAGGCAACATCTTACAGCCTGCCAACGAGATCTCCTTAGCTGACAATCTCGAAGAGCTGATCCGCAAAATGCCGCACAGAGTGCAGACAGAACACCATGCTGCCCAGGCGGCATTGATGACCATTGATACAGTGATTCATTTGAAGAAGTCGAAGCGGTTTCTGGATGCTCACCTGCCAGAAATCACAACAGCCATGCGCACGTGCACGCCTGCTGCTCCTTTGTCCGAGGATCACTTGGCTCAGCTGCGCACTCGCAAAATCGAAAATTGCAAGAAAGAACTAACCACGGACTTGTTCAAGCATGGTCACGTCATTGGAATGTATTGGGAGAACATTGCTCGCAGCATGGTGGAACGGGCAAATCGAGATGCGCAAGACCTGGATGTGCCGTTATTTTGTTTGCAAGCTGCTGACCAAAGGCATTCCAGAAAAAATAAAGCCATAGACAAGCAGCTGACACATCAGCTGCTCACTGTTCCAAACCCGCATCGCACTGGCAAATTGCAAGGCATGCTACTGGTGCACGAGAACATGGTTGTGCGACTGGCGGATGTCTTGGCTCCACACCTTGGATTGGTTAAAGACAAACTGGCAGTGGTAGTGAAAGTGGATTTGCACCATGAAGATCAGAAGCGCCTGGACCGTCGGGAACCTGGATTCTGTCATTTTTTTCCGGACTACATGGCCAAAGGTATCTGGGTGAAATTACTTAAAGGAAAGAATTCGCCCATTGAAGATGCTCTGTTGCAGACGTGGGAAGAAAAGTTTCAGAATGCGGCCGATCACACAACTGACGCAAAGACATTGTTCTTTGTGGAATTGGTGCATGCAGAGTTCAAAATTGATTTGAAGCTAGGCGAGGAAACCGAGAAAATTGAAGTGATTCGCTGGCAGTTTCCTCTTTTGCATGGCATGCTGCGCACTGCTTACAGCGCGCAAGGCTTGACTTTGGACGGAGGTGTGCTGGTTGATTTGCGTCGTGGTGGTGGCCTAGAGGATGCCGACTGGTGGCTAGCCATCTATGTCATGCTGACGCGTGCCCGCAAACTGAAGAATCTCATCTTGCTGGGGTTCACGGAGCAAGTGGAGGAGCTTTTACGCAGAGGCCCTCCTACCTACTTGCGAGAACTGACTGACAAGTTGGAAACCAAAGCTGCTTCGACGCTGGAGCGGCTGCAGTCCTGGCCTGTCTATGATGCATTGCAAGCATCCTGACACAGTGCTCTGCCAGTGGGACCTAATCGGTTTTGACTGAAGAGGTCCGGGGGAGGCATAGGCCTGACACGTTGCTCTACCTGTGGGACCTAATCGGTTTTGATTGAAGAGGTCTGGTGGAGGAATAGAGAGTTGCAGCTGCAGCGATCTGGTGAAGTAACACTGGCATGGTTTTGTCTAGTTTACACACGAGCTTGCGAGCTTTTGACTTTGGTTCAGGTGGTCCACTGGCTTGTTTCAGTCATGTTTTTACAAACATGTTTGACAGGCGGTGTGCTGACATGTTTGGGCATGTTTGTTTGTTTGGCTCAGGTGGTCCACTGGCCTGTTTGGTCATGTTTAAGCAAACCTGTTGAGAGCTCTGGAGTTTACTTCACATGGCCCACTGACATGTTTATATCCTGTTTGACAGACTGACATGCACAATGACCTGCCAGGTGAAACAAATGATTGGGATAGTTAGTTGGGCAAAAGTCCCGTGACAAAAGCTTCAGACAAAAGTGGTGTCAACAAGCTGTTTTGAAATGTCATGGTGGGGATCACTCGAAGCAAAGTAATTTTCATAGGTAAATCACCTCCAAACGATTACCGGAGGGCAATGTGAATAGATCACCTATGTAAGTCGACCACAGAGATACATGAGCTAATTGAAATTCAAAACGACCTTCAACTTACTGGTTCTTAGGAGCGAAATCGGATGATTGCTTATATATATATATACATATACATATATATACATATATATATATACATATATATATATATATATGTATATATACGCTGTTATGGATTGGATCCCATTCCCTACATTTCCAGAGTTTAGCACCAGTAAGCTTCGCCCCACATCCCAGCTGCCGTTTAACCGTATAACCCAGGTGTTTTCCTTTGACCTGCCATTGCTGAGAGACTTGGCAGCAGTTCATGGTCTGGCTGGTGGTTCAAAAAAGGGATGCAAAGAAGATATCTTACATCTGGTTGGTGGTTTCAAACATGACTTTTATTTTCCATTTCATATATGGGATGTCATCCTTCCCATTGACTTTCATATGTTTCAAGATGGTTAAAACCACCAACGAGTACATGTTCACATTACTAAATATGAGTGACGACTTCTATTCGGCGAAGTGAAGAGTAGTCTTGGCGTGTACAGCAGTTGCCGAAAATACCATATGTTGGTTGCAAAAGGAGGTAGCAACACCCCGTCGACTACGTCATGTACCAAAAATTGTCGCGGCTCATATACATACATGCATACATACATACATACATACATGCAGACAGACAGACATACAGACATACACGCATACACGCAAAAACGCATACACGCATACACGCATACACGCAGACACGCAGACACACAGACACACACAGACACACACACAGACGCACACAGACGCACACAGACGCACACAGACGCACACAGACGCACTCAGACGCACACAGACATACATACATATACATATACATATATACATATACATATACATACAGACATACATACATACATACGTACGTACGTACGTACATACACATACACATACACATACACCTACACGTACACGTACACATACACATACACATGCGCAGACACAGACACAGGCACAAACATAGACATAGACATAGACATACGTAGACATACATAGACATACATAGACATACATAGACATACATGCATGCATGCATACATATATACACACACAGACATACATGCATGCATGCATACAAACATACATACCAACCTACCTACCTGCATGCATGCATGCACACATACATACATATGTCGTGTTTACATACAACGTACACATTTACCTACATGTGAAGCCTATCCAAACATGCATATTTTAAGATGCGTGCACATGTACTTCTCATATCTATCTACCTTTGCAATATAGTGTATACTACCTACATGATCTACATGTTGCTGTATGGTACTGGTAGTTTCATGTTCTTATCCATTTTAATTCGAGATTTTTTGTGGAACTATTCCCATCAGCCATGAATATGGAGATACAAAGCAATAGATTCATTGACTATTCAAGGGTTTTACGCAAAGGGAACCAGGTATATCCCCAACATGCTCATGTTTTTACAGAACATGATGATGAAACAATGGATTTTATGTAGAATAGCATTTTTTCAGGGTAGCATGTTTTCAGACAAAACCCAATGTTCAACGGATTTGCTTTAAGGAGACCATAAACTTGTACACATTAATTGAATTGTCCACAGATATCCCCATTTATTGGTTTGGTTGATTTGCTGCTTGATATTAGTTGATATTGGTTGATACATAGACTATCCCCTGCCACCACGTTGTCTGACTGCCGGATTCAAACCAATCGGAGGGCCCATGAACTTCCCATGAAATATCTCCATTATTCAACTACCAAATCAGGAACCGATTGATTGGAGGTACCTACCATACGTAAGGCCTAAATTTTCCGGAAATATCCCAACAAAATATGGCCAAAAAATGCCAAACAGTGCCGTGCTGCCATCTATTGGATCCTGAAATGGATGTGGGTCAAAATGGAAGACCTAGGGACCACCGATGTTAGTCTAGTTTAGTATTAACCATCCAATTATTGGGATACCTAATTTTGACCCATACCCAAATGTCCATTGAATTATGATGAATTATGACCGTTGCTTTATAAAGTTAATAGCTCCATGTTTACAACGGTGAAATCTCTTTTTTGAAATCCCATGACATCCCATCGACATCCCTATGAAATCACCATGGAAAAATCTTAAATCTCTATTAAATCATCAGTAAATCCCATTGAATCACCATGAAACCATCATGAAATCCCATGAAATCTCAATAAATCCTTCTGAAATCCCATGAAATCGTTCGTGCATGACCAGAGGCTCGGTTCAAGTTGTTTGGTCGGTACCGTCTCAACCGCCGCGCCCAGGACATTGCCATCCGGATGGATCCAATTGCAAGCCACGTTGAGGGCTGCGCTTCGCAGCGCAGCGCGAATGTCATGGAGAATGAGATGCGAATTGATACAGTGATCATTGAGATAGTGACATGAATGACAATGATATAATTTAATAGAAATTACTATAATAGAAATTAATGTCTATCAATATTTCTATCATTCCCATTCTGTCATTCTGTCATGATATGATTTCGAATGGGAATGGTAGAAAATCCCATGGAATTCCAATAAATCATAAAATGTCATAGAAACTGACATGGGAATTGAATGGGATTTTTAATTGGGATATGTTTGTTTTGTTCGGTTGATTCTTAGTTCGGAGATTATACGACCAAATATCATGGTCTGGTTGGCGGTTTGGAACATTTTTTGTTTTCCCATATATTGAGGATAATCCTTCCCATTGACTAATATTTTTCAAGATGGTTAAAACCACCAACCAGTGGGGGGTATCACAATTCATTAGAGGAATCCTGGTCTGAACCAATTGGTTTTTCATGGCTCAGGTGAGGCTCCCGTTGATGAAATCGCCGATAGAAAACCTCTGAGTGTTGCTATTTCCTGTCCCCAGCAACTTCTTACTCAAACGCAAACACAGAACTAGCAATTTGCTGCACAGAAATGCTCTAAAGATTTTCCATGAGAATTTAAATCATAACATGAAGAAATCAGCCAGCAATGGCTGCGGAAAAACTTCAGAATCCCATGGCTTGATTCCAAGACATTTTTCAGCAACGAGCTTAGACGTCTACACATGATGATATGATCTGGAGGTTTCAAAAAAAAACATGGGTACCCCCAAATGATCCATTTCCTATTATATAAAAAACCATGATCGGATCGGAATACTGAATACTCTTCTAATTTAGATTCCTATTTTTAATAAAGATATTAGAAACTGATTGGTGGTTTCAAATATATATGAAGGGCGTTTCCAGTTCAATAAACCATCCAGCGGGATCCGTCGAGTCCCACCCAGTCCTCGACTTTTCCCCGTTTTTGTGATTACAAACGAATGTGTTCATAAATGATAGGAGTAGAACTAGAAAATCATATACAAAATGTATAGTAAATTTAAGATGATAAATAATGTGTATATATATATGTATCATTATATATATATGATGTATTCCAAACGAATGTGGTTAAAACAATCATAAACCATCCCCCAGTCATCGCCATTTTTATAGGTGTTATAAACTTACCATTCCCAGTCTCAGTCATGGGTGGTAAACATGACATTGTTTTAACCACATTACAACAGTTTCAATCAGTTTCACCTTGCTGGCACTTCCCACACCTGGTACTTTAGCATGTTTGTACATGCTGTTGATGCTGTTGCCATGTTTGGGTCATGAGCCGGCAATGGGAGATAGTTTCAAGGTGAAATAAGAAACTTTATGTCCGACAGAGTCCGACATGTTTTCTGATTGCGATTTCATCGTGACTTGTTGGGTAATATGGCTACAGTCAAGCAGCACAGTCCAGGAACTTTAAGAATTTTCAAAGCAAAATTCCGAGTCCAAAGCTGGGGATATACTTTGGCAATTCAACATAGCTATGGAAAATCATGTTTAATTAGTAAAACATGTATATATATATATATATATCAGTATATCAAATTATAAATCATTAACTCTGAATAGCATTTGGATGTTCCTTGAATCTTCCGGTAGCGACAGCCTAGCCTGAACTTTTTTCTGCATGCCGAATGGGAGTTCAGAGCTGCTTCGGGCATAAACTGAAGCTTTGATGTGACAGGTTAAAACCATTCAAACTCAACAAGAATAGATGAGAACTGAGTGGTTGAATTCACATATTTGTTGTTCAAATTTGGGATTACCGGTGGCAATCTGAGATTTAGCCGCTAAGCATTCAGTTGAGTTTTCCTTTTGAGATGTTCACCTTAGTAATTCGTAGAGTTTGGATCCATGCCCAATATTGCAGCATTTTATTTGAAACAAAAAACATATTGTTTTTAAGCAATGGATATGTTATTTGTTCCATGAGATCTTTTTGCAAGCTGCAGATTGGCAGCAGCAGCTCAAAGTTTTTCACATGTGTAAACTGTAAACACCGAAACAGCTCATGAATAACTCAACTGTGCACATGAATCACGCCACTGCTAGCACTTGGTGTATTGGCCGGTGCTGCAGAGCGACGGAGTCCTTCAAAACGATGGACCCAGCACGAGGACACCGGTTCACCATCCAGAATCCAGCTGTTTTCCATTGTTACATGAGCCCCGAATGAAGGCCAATAACGTTTTCATTACGGCCTTTATGATTTGGAGACAGCACCAACAATTTGAATCAAACATCACCATGAGTTTATACTGTATGAGTTTATATATTGTCATTCAGTATCCATCATTCATCTATATTTGGAGACATTGACTGTGTTCTGATTTCGGCAAGATTGATGTCGCATTTGCTGATTTCAGTGGTACTCCGAACAGGTATGTGGTTTCGCTTTTGAGCCCACAATCAGTTGCTGTCCCCAGCTGTTCAGTTGCTTCGTTTTATGGGGGACTCAGTCACAACAAAACACAGTGATGGATATCTCCATCAAAAGTTCTTAGATATCACAAAAAATACTGGTTGGTGGTTTGGAACCATGGAATTTTATGACTTTCCATATATTGGGATTATATAATGGATTATAGTGGTTTAATGGATTTTACTGGATTTTTCCATCTATTGGGAATGTCATCATCCCAACTGACGAACTCCATCATTTTTCAGAGGGGTAGGTATACCACCAATCAGTTGGGGATTTGCTTTTTTTTCACAAAAAAAGTTCTTGAGATCAACGGTTGAGGATGACAAACGATCCTCAGAGTATTTTGTATAGACTCGGCCCCAAAGCATCTAGGGGGCTATACATAGGGGATTATATATATATATAATTGTATATATATATTATTATTATTATTATTATTATTATTTAGGAGGCTCCTTGTCCTCTTTATTTAGGGTTATGGTGAGGATGGATACCCCTAGCTGGAACTATATCTTGGGTGGCTGGAACTATTTAAAATGATGGTTAGAACTACTTTAACTCCTGTTAAACATCTTCAAAAAACCCGTCAGAACTATATTCATTTTTGTCTAAAAATGGTCAGAACTATATTGTTTTTATCCAAAAATGGTCAGAACTATATTGCAGTTTTTTCCAACAATGGTCAGAATTATATTGATTTTTGACCATAAACAGTCAAAGCTATAAAGCCATGTAAGACCATGTGTCAAGTTTATGACACAATTCTTAGTGGGCAAATCCCGGATGGTTGGGCCATTTTTCGGGCAACAAACGCCCACACTAATATATCCTCAAGAATAACATTCAACATGCAGGAATTATGTTATATCATGTTGTATAAGTTGTATATTATATTTGCATATTGCGTATCACAAATCATTGTGCAATCCTTGGCCAGGGCTGAGTTGAAATCAGATGGCCTGGAAATTCAAGGGAAAGCAGGCCCAGGAAATTCAATAAAAAGGTCCAGTTTGAAGTTTGCATAGTATATATGTGCCTGACCTTAAACAGATGCTAGTGATACTAGCTACGCCAACAAACCTGATGGCTTTATTATTGCATTGTTCCTCCAACGCAGGTCCAGTTGGGAGTGTGACAAAGCAACCCACATGTGGCCAGTATTTCTGCTCAATATAGGCAAGGTCTCCCATTGGTCGGAATGACCACAGCAGTTTCGGGGGATCGGTCGGGGCTCGATGATGCTTCAACTGTTTGGGGAACTTCAGACTCAGAGCCTGAAGCAGTTGCAGATTCTGAACTTCCACCTGACCTTCTTGAGTGACTTGTTTAAACGGCCATGTCATGTTCATGTTCTCCCTCCCAACGGTTTCTAACTTGATCCATTTGTTTTTGTACACCTTATTGCGATCAGGAAGGACCACACACACACAATCAAACCGTTGGTTTTTCCCGACCGATATGCAGTTCAAAGTTGAAGTACACATCAACAGCAGCATTCCTTGTTGTTCATTTCACTTTGGGGGTAAGAAATTTCAAAAAAAAAGCAGTCTGACTGCAAATGGTCGAAGGAGATTATATATGATGCTGTGACCGCCATCCAACCTTTGATGTCGACAGGAAATTTGACTTAATTTTTCGGTTTCGAGTACATCAGCTTCATGATGTTCAGATCCCTGCTTGAACAGTTGAATTTAGGAAACCATTTTTTTGGGCGTGGTGTATGTGAAAAACCCTGCTTTCCACCCAAGCTCCACTTAGGACATGGGCTTGGAGAAGCCTGGTTACATGTTGTGGACCAAGAACATCATTCAGTTTCCCGAGCCCAACATCCCACAGCTTTCTGCTTCGGAGCACTAGCTGTTGGAGAATTGCTCGACACTTGGCCAAAGTCGATGTTGTTTGCAAATCAAATTTGATGTCCTGTCTTTTTGCTTTGAACGCAACAGAACGTAAGATTTACTCATCACGGCATTACGGCAAAACTTGTAGCTTTGAAATTCCAAAGGCTAGTGGTTCCTTTATTCCTGTTTGTCCGCAGTCAAACGCGGATTGGTTTCGCGCATCAGGATCAGTTTGGTTGAGGAATGCGCTGGAGCAGCTACGGCAACATATGCAATGCAACCAAGCTGGTCCAAACTTGTTATCTCAAGCGGGTATTGCAACTTTCTGGGGTGTGTGCGGGGCTTTCCGCTGGGTGAAGTCTAGCGAGGTTCGCAGAAAGTGAATCATTGTCTTGTGGGGTCCAGTGTGCGTGGCCCAGCCAAGGCAGGAGCTGAACCGCAACTTGAAGCGTCCAATACCTTTCCTTACACTGGCTGTCTCAGACATTAGCGAGTCAAAGCGGGACTTCATTGTTGCACACCATGGGGATTGCAGACCCTTGGCCAGGAAGAGGGGCCAGGCGATATCAGATAGCAAAAGCATATATATTTATATATATCACATCACTTCAGAATAATTATCACGATATGATATGATATGATATGAAATGAAATGACCCTCCTATATA